CAAAATACACAATTTTTTTAAGTTTTGGGTTTTTGTGGTGCGGTTTTTTGTGCCCTGGTGGGGGGCCGGGTGTGTTGTGGGTGTTTTTCGCGGTTTTCCCCCCCCCCCCCCCCCCCCCCCCCCCCCCCCAACAGGACGAGATAGCGAAGTTGCGAGACGCAGCATACTGACGTGGGAGTGCAACAGGGGTCACGCCTCAGAGAACCCGAAATTGCCAGAGTCGCTGGCAGCATCACCGAAGAAGATCATCTTCATCGGGCCCCCCGGCTCGGCCATGCGATCGCTAGGTGACAAGATTTCCTCGACCATCGTTGCCCAACACGCGGATGTGCCCTGCATTCCGTGGTCGGGAACCGGCGTCAACCAAGTCGATGTTGACGAGCACGGCCTCGTAACCGTCGCGGACGATGTCTACACAAAGGGCTGTGTCACCTCGTGGCAGGAGGGTCTTCAGAAGGCAAAGGAGATCGGCTTCCCTGTTATGGTCAAGGCCTCCGAAGGCGGCGGCGGCAAGGGCATCCGGAAGTGCGTAAGCGAGGAGGGGTTCGAAGAGCTGTACAAGGCTGCTGCCAGCGAGATCCCCGGTTCCCCCATCTTCATCATGAAGCTTGCCGGCAACGCGCGGCACTTGGAGGTCCAGCTGCTCGCGGATCAGTATGGGAACAACATCTCCGTCTTCGGTAGAGATTGCTCAGTTCAGCGGCGACACCAGAAGATTATCGAGGAGGCCCCCGTCACAATTGCCAAGCCGGACACGTTCAAGGCCATGGAGGATGCTGCGGTCAGACTGGGCAAGCTTGTCGGCTACGTCTCGGCCGGAACTGTCGAGTATCTCTACTCCCACGCCGATGACAAGTTCTACTTCCTCGAGCTCAATCCCCGTCTGCAGGTCGAGCACCCGACGACCGAAGGTGTCAGCGGCGTCAACCTGCCTGCCGCCCAGCTGCAGATTGCCATGGGTCTTCCGCTCCACCGGATCCGCGACATCCGACTCCTCTACGGCGTCGACCCCAAGACCTCGACTGAGATCGACTTCGAGTTCAAGACTCCCGAGAGCGAGAAGACACAGAGGCGGCCGACTCCAAAGGGCCACCTTACTGCCTGCAGAATCACGTCCGAGGATCCTGGCGAGGGTTTCAAGCCATCCAACGGTGTCATGCACGAGTTGAACTTCCGAAGCAGCTCCAACGTGTGGGGTTACTTCTCCGTTGGCACGGCCGGTGGCATTCACAGTTTCTCCGACTCTCAGTTCGGCCACATTTTCGCCTACGGAGAGAACCGATCGGCGTCGCGAAAGCACATGGTCATTGCGCTGAAGGAGCTGAGTATCCGCGGCGATTTCCGGACGACGGTCGAATATCTCATCAAGCTGCTCGAGACAGAGGCATTCGAGGATAATACCATCACCACCGGCTGGCTGGACGAGCTGATCTCGAACAAGCTGACGGCCGAGCGCCCTGATCCAATGCTGGCAGTCGTTTGCGGAGCTATCACAAAAGCCCACATCGCCAGCGAGCAATGCATCGCCGAGTATCGCAACAGCCTAGAGAAGGGCCAAGTCCCGTCCAAGGAGATACTCAAGACCGTCTTCCCCATCGATTTCATCTACGAGGGGTACCGGTACAAATTCACCGCCACACGGTCCAGCCTCGACAGCTACCATCTCTTCATCAACGGTTCCAAGTGCACTGTCGGCGTCCGCGCGCTCAGCGACGGTGGCCTGCTGATCCTGCTTGACGGGCGAAGCCACAATGTCTACTGGAAGGAAGAAGTCGACGCAACTCGCATGTCGGTGGACAACCGGACATGTCTCCTGGAGCAGGAGAACGACCCGACTCAGCTCCGGTCGCCCAGCCCAGGCAAGCTTGTCAAGTACTCGGTCGTGAATGGGCAGCACGTCAAGGCCGGCCAGACATTTGCCGAGGTCGAGGTCATGAAGATGTATATGCCCCTGGTTGCGCAGGAGGATGGCGTTGTCCAGCTTATCAAGCAGCCCGGCGCCACTCTCGAGGCTGGTGATATCCTGGGCATCCTCGCGCTGGATGACCCGAGCCGAGTGAAGCAGGCCGAGTCCTTCGTTGGTCAGCTCCCCGAGTTCGGCCCGCCCGTCGTTGTCGGCAACAAGCCCGCGCAGAGATTCCACGTGCTCTTCAACATCCTGAAGGATATCCTCCTAGGATTCGACAACCAAGTCATCATGGCTCAGACCCTCGACGAGCTCATCCAAGTCTTGCGGAACCCCGAGCTGCCGTACAGCGAGTTCGCCGCCCAGTTCTCCGCCCTCCATGCTAGGATGCCCAACAAGCTTGACGCTCAGTTCACCCAGGTCCTGGACCGTGCCAAGTCCAGGCAGAACGAGTTCCCGGCAAAGAGTCTCGTCAAGGTCTTCCAGAAGTTCCTGGACGACAACGTCGCACCCGGCGATGCCAACACGCTGAGGGACACCCTGGCTCCGCTCACACAAGTTCTCGATCTCTACACCGAGGGCCAGAAGGTGCGTGAGCTGAATGCCATGACCGAGCTGCTTGGTATGTACACCGACACCGAGCGTCTCTTCTCCGGTCGCCGATCGCAAGACGAGGAGGTCATCCTGAAACTCCGCGACGACAACAAGGAGGACACGCAAAAGGTCGTCCAGACGGTCCTTTCGCACAGCAGGGTAGCGGCGAAGAATTCTCTGGTCCTGGCCATCTTGGAAGAGTATCGCCCCAACAAGCCAAACGTCGGCAATGTGGGCAAATACCTACGGCCTCTTCTGCGCAAGCTGGCGGAGCTGGAGTCGCGCCAGACGGCAAAGGTCTCGCTGAAGGCGCGCGAGATTCTCATCCAGTGCGCCCTCCCTTCGCTCGAGGAGCGCAGGGCCCAGTTGGAGCACATTCTGAGATCGTCTGTCGTCGAGTCCAGATACGGCGAGAGCGGCTGGGACCACCGGGAGCCAAACCTGGACATCATCAAGGAGGTCGTCGACTCCAAGTACACCGTCTTCGACGTCCTGACCCTGTTTTTCGCCCATGACGACCCGTGGGTCTCCGTTGCAGCCCTCGAGGTCTATGTCCGCCGCGCCTATCGTGCCTACATCCTCAAGCACATCGAGTACCACGGCGACGAGACCGACACGCCGTCTTTCGTGTCTTGGGATTTCACCCTCCGCAAGATTGGCCAGTCCGAGTTTGGCCTGCCTCTGCAGTCGGGTGCTCCGCCGTCGCCGGCGACCCCGATCGACTACGGTGTTAGTGGTGTTAAGCGTATCAGCTCAATCAGCGACATGTCGTACCTCAGCCACAAGTCCCAGGAGGAGCCCAATCGCAAGGGTGTCATTGTGCCCTGCAAGTACCTCGACGATGCCGATGACTTGCTGGCCAAGGCTCTCGAGACCCTCCCTCTCTCGGGACCCCGAAACCGAAAGAAGTCTGGGCTGATCCCCGACCTCAATGGCAAGCGTCGCCCACCGCCTCCGCGTCTGGAGAGCTTCGACGAGCTCTCTGCCGTCGTCAATGTCGCCATCCGCGACGCCGAGCGCCGTGACGACCAGGAGATCCTCGACGACATCCATGCCATCGTCGAGCAATTCAAAGACGAGCTCCTGGCCCGCCGTGTGCGTCGGCTGACATTCATCTGCGGCCGGAATGATGGCTCCTACCCGGGGTACTACACCTTCCGCGGTCCCGAATACGCCGAGGACGACAGCATTCGTCACATCGAGCCTGCGCTCGCTTTCCAGCTTGAGCTCGGACGCCTCTCCAAGTTCAAGATCAAGCCCGTCTTTACGGAGAACAAGAACATCCACGTGTACGAGGCTGTTGGAAAGGGCGTCGAGACCGACAAGCGGTACTTCACCCGCGCCGTCATCCGGCCGGGCCGCCTGCGAGACGAGATCCCGACGGCCGAGTACCTCATTTCCGAGGCTGACCGCGTCATCAACGACATCTTCGACGCGCTGGAGATCATTGGGAACAACAACTCGGACCTGAACCACATGTTCATCAACTTCACGCCCGTGTTCCAGCTGCAGCCTCAGGAGGTCGAGCACTCGCTGCAGGGCTTCTTGGACCGCTTCGGCCCCCGCGGCTGGCGTCTGCGCGTTGCCCAGGTCGAGATCCGCATCATCTGCACGGATCCGACCACGGGCATGCCGTATCCCCTGCGTGTCATCATCACCAACACGTCGGGATACGTCATCCAGGTCGAGATGTATGCCGAGCGCAAGTCGGAGAAGGGCGACTGGGTGTTCCACTCGATTGGCGGCACCACCAAGATCGGCTCCATGCACCTGATGCCCGTCTCCACCCCGTATCCGACCAAGAACTGGCTTCAGCCCAAGCGGTACAAGGCGCACTTGATGGGCACCCAGTATGTCTACGACTTCCCCGAGCTCTTCCGCCAGGCGATCCAGAACAGCTGGAAGAAGGCCGTCAGCAAGCACCCCAGCCTCGCCGAGAAGCAGCCTGCTGTCGGGGACTGCATTGACTACAACGAGCTTGTGCTCGACCAGGACAACCTCGCCGAGGTGTCTCGTGATCCCGGCACCAACACCCACGGCATGGTCGGCTGGCTCATGAACGCCCGCACTCCCGAGTACCCCCGTGGCCGCAAGTTCGTCGTCGTCGCCAACGACATCACCTATCAGATCGGCTCCTTCGGGCCCAAGGAGGACGACTTCTTCAACAAGTGCACCGAGCTCGCTCGGAAGCTTGGCATCCCTCGCATCTACCTCTCGGCAAACTCTGGCGCGCGCCTGGGCCTGGCAAACTCGCTGATGCCCCACTTCAGTGTTGCCTGGAACGACGCTACGAACCCGGAGCTGGGCTTCAAGTATCTCTACCTCAACGACGAGGCCAAGAAGCGCTTCGAGAACGATGTCATCACCGAAGAGGTTGTCGAGGATGGCGAGAAGCGACACAAGATTGTCACCATCATCGGCGCCGAGGATGGCCTGGGTGTCGAGTGCCTGCGCGGCTCGGGTCTCATCGCTGGTGCGACGAGCCGGGCGTACAACGACATCTTCACGGTCACGCTCGTTACCTGCCGATCAGTTGGTATGGTTTTCTCTTCTTCTTTCCTTGTATCTTTCTCCGTCGCCGCTGCTGCTGCTGCTACTTAACCCTAGGGGGGAATTGTGCTAACGGCTCGATGATAGGTATCGGTGCTTACCTAGTCCGGCTTGGTCAGCGTGCAGTTCAGATCGAGGGCCAGCCCATCATCCTCACTGGTGCACCTGCTCTGAACAACCTACTCGGCCGCGAGGTCTACACGTCTAACCTGCAGCTTGGTGGCACGCAAATCATGTACCGCAACGGTGTCTCCCACCAAACCGCCAACGACGACTTCGCCGGTGTCTCCAAGATCGTTGAGTGGATGTCGTTCGTCCCTGACAAGCGCAACAGCCCGGTGCCGATCAGCCCAAGCATTGACACGTGGGATCGAGACATCGTCTATACCCCGCCCCAGAGGCAGCCCTACGATGTCAGGTGGATGATCGCCGGCAAGGAGGACGAAGACGGATTCCAGCCCGGTCTCTTCGACAAGGACTCGTTCGTCGAGACTCTTGGCGGATGGGCGCGCACCGTCGTCGTCGGCCGCGCCCGCCTCGGTGGCATCCCCATGGGTGTCATCGCCGTTGAGACGCGGTCGGTCGAGAACATCACGCCGGCCGACCCGGCCAACCCGGACTCGATCGAGCAGGTGGCCAACGAGGCCGGCGGGGTCTGGTATCCCAACTCGGCCTTCAAGACGGCCCAGGCCATCAACGACTTCAACTATGGCGAGCAGCTGCCACTCATGATCCTGGCCAACTGGCGCGGCTTCTCGGGCGGCCAGCGCGACATGTACAACGAGGTCCTCAAGTACGGATCGTTCATTGTCGACGCTCTCGTCAAGTTCGAGCAGCCCATCTTCGTCTACATCCCGCCGTTTGGCGAGCTCCGTGGTGGCTCGTGGGTCGTGGTCGACCCCACCATCAACCCCACCGCCATGGAAATGTACGCCGACGCCGAGGCGCGCGGCGGCGTCCTCGAGCCGGAGGGCATCGTCGGCATCAAGTACCGCAAGGACAAGCAGCTCGACACCATGGCGCGCCTGGACCCCGTCTACGGCAGCCTGAGGAAGCAGCTCGCCGAGAACGGCCTCTCCAAGGAGCAGACGGACGAGCTGAAGATGAAGATGACGGCCCGCGAGGAGCAGCTCCTGCCCGTCTACGCGCAGATCAGCATCCAGTTCGCCGACCTGCACGACCGCGCCGGCCGCATGAAGGCCAAGGGCGTCATCCGCGATGTGCTCGAGTGGCAAAACGCCCGGCGCTTCTTCTACTGGCGCGTCCGCAGACGCCTCAACGAGGAGTACATCCTCCGGCGCATGGCCGCGTCCGTCAGCCCGGGCGGCGGCGGCAAGGCGGTGGCCAACACCGCCGCCCCGCCGTCGGGCCAGGCCAACCCGCAGGCGCGGGCGCGGCACCTGCAGCTGCTGGCGGCGTGGTGCGGGGTGGAGAACTTCGACCGCAGCGACCGTGAGGTGGCGGTGTGGTACGAGGAGAACAGGAAGGCGGTCCACGACAAGGTGGAGCTGCTCAGGGCCGAGGCCATCACGGCCGAGATGAGGGAGCTCGTGCGCGCGGGGGCCACGGCGGGCAAGGACGGCAACGGCGGCGGCGGGTCGGCGGCCTGGAAGGGCGTGCGCGACCTGCTGAGGGTCATGCCTGTCGAGGAGAGGGAACAGGTGCTCAAGTTTTTGAAGGGTTGAGGGGGGGGGGGACCACGTGTGCATGAGCCGGCTGGTGGGGAGGCCGGGTGTTTCATTATAGACTGGGTACAAGAGGCATGTCTGGGTGCGAGTCCTTGTTTTGTTTTTTTATCTTTTTCTGTCTGTTTTTGTGTTGGTCGTTTGTCGATGGTTGATCCCTCTGTAATCCTGGTTGGCGGATAGAGTTCTTTCCTAGCTTTACATCGCACTTCCTCTACCTACCTAGGGGAGCCGCATTGCATATCTCTCCGTGTATGATACCGTGTCTTTTATGTGTAGCTCCCTAATACGCTCACCGACTGGAAGCCTTGTTCCGTTTTACCGCCGAATGTCTAATCACTGAAAATGTGGGATCTGAATGATATAACTCGAAGACAGGGGCAAGTTATCTCTGTGCCTGAATTGACCCATATTTTTGTATCAAAAAGGGGTAATTATGAGGTCACTTGCGTCATTGCCTCTCATCAAGCATCAGATCCTGGCATAAATATGGGACATTGTTCAAAATCCTGTATCGTTTTGTCCTAGCGCTTCAGGTTCAGCCAAACAAAGGAAATGCAAGTCGTCGAACGAAGAATCCGTCGTTGAATCTCTCAACTACTTTCCATAAGACACCGCAACATGGACTACCCGCAGAAAACAGAGATCCAGAAGAAAGCCGCGGAGGGCTCGCCGATCACGCAACCCGAAGCATCGGCTCTCGCGAGCGATGAGACAGACATGACGGGGTTCGGCCCCATCAAAGGCGGCACCGCAGGTGAGAGGCTCGAAACGCATCCTCATCCTAGTCTCCCAGGGCAATAGGAACTGATTATTATCATGTCTGTCAGCCACGGCCCAGAGCATCCATGACAGGCAGAGGAACTTCACCACCACAGCTGGTGATCTCGCCAGGAAACCGCCGGAGGAGATCACGAAGGGGGATGCGGCTGATGTGCAGAAGAAGGAGGTACGTTGAGCGGTTTACATGGGTCCTTGGCCCTGCAGTTAACTTGGGGGATAGGCGCGCGCTTTGGGGGGTGTTCCCCCTGGGAGAGGTTCGACGTCGGCCTATGTACAGTCAATGGCAGATCATAATGCACGAGAGCGAGGGGCTTAGGAGCGGGAAGGGAGGGGATAGAGGACATGAGGGGTGGGTCTCACTATTCAGGGGTTCTGTAACTCGAAACTGGTGCTTGATGCACTCTTGGAGGCCAGAAGTAGTGTATTTCGGATTGTCGTCTCTTGGAGATTACTTGCATGGACTAGTTCACGTCTGGGAACACCTCCAGGCCAAGACAGCCAAGTGTGAAGTCGATTCATGGTATGATGGCCCACCTCCCACGACCCCCTATTTGAACCTGCGTAACGCCCTTTTCCGGCTTCCAGATGACACACTAGATATACCTCGTAGCCGTATTTGGATGCATTTTAAAGGTCTACAATGCCTCCCACACGTCAGAACAGACGGCCAGATCCCTCACCAAATTCAAGTGACTGTGGTTGCTTTCTAGTTACCCAAACGCTCCAACACATTGTAACATAGAACAAAGCAGGCATCGGCACCAGCTGCAAGCCTCTTGGTAGGCAAGGCGCATCGCACTTGGTAGATCATGATCCGAGGATAGTCCTCCCTTTCAATCGTAAACTTCTGCGTCCTCAGTCTCGGTGAGCAACAAGATCTCCCCAACAGCACCTAGACAGACAAACTCACCCTCAGCCTTCCTGCCGCCATCCAGGCCACCGCCCTCGACATCAGGCGCCTCAATCTCGAGGGCCATGTCGACGCGGATCCAGTCCCTGTAGCCCCTCTTCTCGACGAGGTCCAGCTGGTTCCGGAACTCGCGCTCGGGCACGCTCGAGATGGGCAGGCGGTCGTCATGGAAGCCGCTCCACACAAAGTAGCGCTCGACCTCGTAGTCGATGATCGGGGCGCGCCCGAGGACGCTGACGTAGCGCGTCGAGTCGCGCACCTGCTGCAGGCAGGCCGCGTCGATCGAGTGCAGGAAGGCCACCTTGGTGTCGAGCGTGATGCGGGCCGCGAAGACGAGGGGGGAGAGGGTGCGTCGCACGCGCGCTGAGTTCCAGTAGAAGGTGCATCGGAGCTCTACTAGCATTGGCATGGTTGTGTAGAGATCCATGCTGTCGGGGTACAAGTTACCACAAGGTCAGCTTGATGGGAATGCTGAGGGAGTGTATGAAACCGAATGGCTGATCCAGCCAGCAGCATGGTGTGCCTCTGAGGTGAGGTCAGGTTTCTGCTCGTTTTATAGTGTCTCATATCTAAACCAGATGTTACATCGGTGGTATAAGGTAGAAGTCACAGAGATAAAGGCCTCCTTGATGGGAAGTGCTTAATAGGGACCTAGAAAGCGTTCAAGGAGCATGAAGATGGAGAGCTCAAAGATTCAAAGTATCCATGTCATTCTCTCCCAACATAGAGCTCAGGGATGAAGCTAAATGAGTCCGAAGCTCTCTCTAAGCCCGAATAGAGGCTTGACGTCCTCGACCGGTGCATCCACAAATGCATGCCGGAGTAGTTTGTCAGACTTCCCTTGGGCCTTTTTTTGGCTCGTGACAAGGAACTCCAGCACCCACAGTTAGCAACCGGAGCAGGTTACTCATCCTTTGTCAAATTCTTACCATGTTAATCTTCTTCCTTGAAACGTGGGCCATGAGAATCACAATCAATCAACTTTAAAGGGGACTATCTTATCTTGAAAGAGCAACTCCAGTTTCCATCAGATTGTATTATCAAAGAAGTCTCCTCCTTTTCGGAATAGATAACATCACCCATCGTTTTCAAGATCCAGCCATGGCACACGAAGCGGGCTCCTCGACCGTCCACGACCGAACTGCCGCCTGATGAGCTAGAGGAGCTCCTATACTGTGAGATACAGCTCGTCCTCCGCCGGGCACCGCCGGGCAGCGCCGGGCCAGCCGCAAAACGCAGCGCTCAGTAATGCTGTCTACGCACTCTAGAGTACTACCAACGTCGCTGGAGGCCGAGGTTCCAGCATATGCGAGGCTATTCGACCATCATGTCGTGCTGTCACGCCCCATTTGGTTGCCAGTCCGGAGACGCAATAACAGATCCGCTCTCGATGAAACCCGGCGCAACTAGAGACTCTAGTCGTCAGTACTAACTCACCCCGCATAGAACAATAAAAGTCTCCTCACCTGTCGTCCCGACAAGAGTCCAGTCGCCCAAGCTCCTCGCGCTCTGCCACTCCCACCTCTCAATCGCATACTGCGGCTGCTGGCCCGCAAACACGTCCGGCCCGAGCGTCACGACCCTGACGGGCGTGCCATCGTCGTGCGACAGCGACAGCGTCAGGGGCGCCCCCGCGTAGTGGTGCCAGACCTCGACAGCGTCGATCTTGTGCCAGTACGAGTCGCCCTCGGAGCCCTCGAGGAGGTAGTAAATGGCGGTGCTGAGGGAGCGGTTGGTCCCCGGGACGACGCCCGGGTCCTGGAAGGTCTGGATGTAGTAGCCCTTTTCGTCGTTGGCCGTGAGGTTCAGCTGGGCGATGACCTCCTGCGCCGTGCGCTTGCTTATCGGGGTGGGGTAGTCCTGGCCGCAGTCTCCTGGCGTGGGTGTTGCGAGGACGCGAAGGGAAGACGGGAGGAGGGCGATAGCGCCCAGGAATGCAGTGATTTGAACCATGTCGTTTGGACTCTTCCGCCAATTCTACGCTGTCTAGACAATTTCGACCACAGAACCAGTGGAAAAAGAGAGAAGACCAATGATGACGAACCTGAATTTGTGCAATGGGTATCTAAATACTGCTGATTGTCACGTGTGTCAGCCTCCTTAGGTCTACATTGGAGGTGCAGATCTTGTTTGGCGATCGTCGAAAAAGCTTAGCCCCCACGATCCTTCGGTTCAGGGGGGGAAAGTAGCAACTTATAAAATTGATAGCACAATTTGGAGTGGGACAGATGAGCACGAAGAAAGCCTGCCTCTTCTTTTTGAGACGTCATCATCACCAAATCCATTCTCCTCGTCGGCTTCGTCCTCTAGAGACTCGTGTTCCCCATCATCTTCCTCATATCTACATCCATCTGACGATGTATCAGATTGTGAGGACCAGTAGACACTGCCCACTTGTATGTACTATGTTTAGACGCCCTGACGGCTCTCGACTCATCGGGCGCCCGATCCAAGAGACAGGTTGCACAATACTTCCCTTCGACACTGAACTGCCAAGGTAGGAAGTCAGGATGTATGAAATGCTTGCCCCCGAGTACAACCATTGATAGAAGCAGACACATCTCGCCAGTGATTTTAAGGAGACCGTCTTCAATGGCTCCTAAGTTAATTGAATGCTTCGGTTTGGTGCCGGTCACAGCAAGTTTGGCTGGGAGAGACGTGCAATGGCTTGCGCAGGACGTTTCTATTCTGAGGATGACATGTGGTTAGATTCATAGAGTAAAATAGTTTCTCCCATAATATAAGAGGCCCCTAAATTTTTGTCAGTAGTGCAGTGGGATAAACTTCCAACAACATGCGCCTCCTTGTAGGAACGGTTGGCTTCGCCACTGGCCAGTCTGTGTGGCCCAATTTTCTCTCGGTGTCGGCAGGCACCTGAATCCCACAGCATGTACTAGTTTCGACTTCATTGGCTGCAGCTGAGTGGCTGTGATGTAAGGCGCCCAGACTTGGGCCAACCAACACCAAGTTTAGAGGCTGGCGCCTGCCAACGGCACCCCATGAAACAAGACCCTGGCCCTTTCAACCACCGCCTTTCGGGCCACCGACCAGTGAATGGGAATGGGCGCGACGTTAATCGCGGCACGAATCAGGAACGCCGCCCTGAGAATTGTTTCGGAGGAACGAGAAGCTAGCCGCCAGCCTCACTCGTACAAGTATAAGGATCGCAGGCGACTCCCACCTGGGTCAGTCTTGACGATCAGACAATCTGACCATTATCTGTCGACATAGACAGACTCAGTCGAAATACTTAATAACCCCCCCCACACAATATCTCAAAGCCTACAATCATGTCCCACTACGACTCAAGACTACCCCCAGAAGGACGACCGGGCAGCATGCCTCCCCAGCGAGCACAACTCGGCAACCCATCAGGCGGGCCCGGGAATTTCCCGCAGAAGTGGCACCTCTACCAGCCTGGCTGGACCCGGCAGTTCAAGATCGGCGAGCGCCAGGACGCGCCCCTCTTCGCCGTCGTGCCGCACACGGGCTGGTTCGGCCGCCCGCGCCTGACGCTGCACGCCGGCGAGGGGAAGAAGTCCGACGTCGTCGCCGCAGTCAAGAAGCCGCCGCCGTCCCTGGGGGGCCTGGCGAACAGGCATGGCTTCCGGATCGTCTTCCCCGGCGAGGAGGGGATGCCCGAGGACGTCGTCGACGTCAAGGCGTGCCTCCTCTCGGTCGGGGCGGCAGCGCTGCGCCAGCACCGTAGCTACCGGTTCACCGTCAAGGTCGGAAGCGGCTGGGAGCGTCGCGCCGAGACGTTTGAGTGGCGGTACACGCACGGCAAGACCGTCCGGGTCCTCCGCGAGGGGAGGGGCGATGGGGGGTTGCGGAAGGCCATGAACAGGATTGAGGGTGGGTGGGAGCTTGTCCGGCTGGACTCGGAAGTGGACTTCAGCCAGGGTCCGTCTGGCGGGGAGGAGGTCGTCGCCGTGTGGGGGGAGGCCTCGGTCAGCCTGCACAAGAAGGCGTCCTTCGCGTTCCTGAACTCGGGCGCTACTGGCAGGCTGGGGAACCGCTTTGCCAACGTGGCTGTTATCAGTGGCATGGCTCTATGGGATGAGGAACAGCGCCAGCGCCATCAACGTCAGGCAACTGCTGCGGCGTAGGCATGGGTCGATGGCGTCAACTGGTTAGATATGGTCTGGGATAGCAACGGGCGGCGGGGTTGGAGTTCTGGGGGTCAATTTGCCACATGGATAAATGTATAGATAGATCTGCAGGTCCAAGTCTCGGCCGATACTCATTCCATTTCTTTGATCTCGTTCTGCTGGAGGTACAGCGGCCAGACGAAACCTGCCATGACGAAGAACTGAGTGCTGAGTCGGCGCTAAGATAGACTTATTCTGCTGCCATGTTATCAAGGCGGTGAAGAAGTTGTTACCTATCACCTGCCCCACCAGCCCCTCCAAAAGGGCCTAGACTGAGCCGCGATAAGAAAGATGGGACTGAGAAATTCAACCGGTGCAAAACATTCGAGCGGACTCTAAATCTTGCACGCCGTCACTTCACACCTACCTACCTTTGATGACGGGCGATGAGAACAATCCATCTGCTTTCAAGATGGAGACCGACAATTCTCCTGTCACAAGTGCAGGCCAGCCCTCAGCCGCTGGCGAAAGTCAGAATAAGCCACATGGCAACGACGGGAATGCGCGCAAGGGATTCAAGCGCGACCATCGAGGAAACCGCAACCCCCACGACAAGAAACGGAAGCACCCCGGATATGGGAGCCACAAGTATGTCATTACATCGAATTGACCTCATGAAACGTGTCTATGCTGCCATAGCGACCCCATAGATCATAGATTCCATGCCGACTCGGCTGACCAGTTTCTAGAGGGGCCATGCCCGACAGACGATCCGCAAATGAGCAGCGAGACCGAGCCCAGGCGAATCGCGCTGAGAAGCGCCGGAAAATTCTTGGAGATGATGGAACCGGCGAGAGCTACATGAGCATCAACTTCACCGCGGAGGAGATCGCCGCCGAGGAACGCCGACCGAAACGCAAGGTCGCTGTCCTGATTGGCTACGCGGGGACTGGGTACTCGGGCCTCCAGATGAACCACAAGGAGAAGACTATCGAGGGCGACCTCTTCGCCGCCTTCGTCGCTGCGGGCGCCATCTCCAAGGCTAACGCCAACGACCCGAAGAAGTCGAGCTTCGTGCGATGTGCTAGGACCGACAAGGGCGTTCACGCTGCCGGAAACGTCCTCTCCCTCAAGCTCATCGTCGAGGACGAGGACATTGTCGAAAAGATCAACGAGCACCTCTCGCCGCAGATCAGGGTCTGGGATATCCAGCGGACGAATAACAGCTTCAGCAGCTACCAAGCCTGCGACTCCAGGTGGTACGAGTATTTGATGCCTAGCTATGCTCTGCTGCCGCCTCTGCCCGACAGCTTTCTCGGAAAGAAGGTTATCGAGTCGGCAAAGGAGAAGGGGGTGTATGATGAATACATGAAGCGGTTGGATGATGTCGAGGGCTTCTGGGAGGAAGTTGAAAAGACCGACATCCAGCCGATACTGGAGAAATTGACCCCCGAGGTCCGGGCCAAGGCTGTGGAGGCTACAAAGGGTGCACAGATTCAGGACTTGGATGAAAAGGATGTTGTCACCACGGTGCCGGAACCCGCCGTTTCTGACAACCCTGTCAATACGAAGCCTGAGGCGACAGTGGAAGCTGGGGCCGCCACCGAAGACGCCACCGAAGGCACATCTGACGATAAATCTGCCGAAAATGGCGCCACCCCGGCTCCGGCTCCAGCCCCGATTCCGACCTTGACTCCGCTCGAGGCTGCCATCAAGGAGATGAAGGCGGCTTATGTGGCTGCCAAACGGCGCTACCGTGTTACCCCGGCTCGCCTACACAAGCTCCAGGAAGCTCTCGACCTCTACAAGGGCACGCACAACTTCCACAACTACACCGTTTTGAAGAGCGCCACCGACCCGTCGGCTAAACGGCACATCAAGTCCTTCATGGTCAACCAGACACCCATTTCCATCCGGGACACAGAATGGCTGTCCATCAAGGTCCATGGCCAGTCGTTCATGATGCACCAGATCCGCAAGATGATTGCCATGGCAGTCATGGTGACGAGATGCGGCGCCGGAATGGACGTCATCTCGCAGAGCTACGAATCCCGGCGGATCAGCATCCCCAAGGCGCCCGGGCTGGGCCTCATGCTGGAGCGTCCCATGTTCATCGAGTACAACAAGCGGGCGACCAATGAGCTCGGGCGACAACCCATCGACTTTGCCAAGAACGAGGAGAAGATCCAGGCGTTCAAGGACGAGCAAATCTACAAGCGGATGTTTGAGACGGAGGAGAAGGACAATGCGTGAGTAGTTGCCAGCACACTCCTGATCTGCCCAAACGAACTGCTGACAACCCCCCTTCTCTAGATTCCACACCTTCTTCCACCAGCTCGATAACTTCCGGACAGACTACTTCCTCTGGGTCACGGCCGGCGGCATCGAAGCCGCCTATGAGCGGGCAGATCGCGGAGGAGATAAGATACCCAAGGCATTGGTGGCGGAACTCGGCGATGAGGCTGACGGTGTGGTGGAAGCGGACAATTAAAACGATAGAGTTTTCCTGCTTCCGGCGCGACATCACTTGGTCGCTCGCGGCGAGGTAACTGGTTTCAGTGGTGGTCAGCTATTACATGACCTCCCCACCTCGGTATCTTGACCAATTCGGTCAAATGAATTTGCTTTCCAAGCTATATTGCATTGCGATTGCCGCCCGATTTCACCATTAACAGCTGCAGGGTGACAAGCTGTGTCTGTGCATGTAGCAACAATGGACAACGAATGCGGTTTCGCATCCCTCCGCTGGCAATGGACAATCATGGTGTGGTTGCGCTGCCAAAACTGACCAGTGATGCTCAAAGTTGCATCCCACCAGCTTTGAAACAGAGCGTATCGCCCAACACATTCTAAAGTCAAAGAAGAATTGAAAAAAGCTTGAATGGTTCCGGTCCCTTTACATCTTCCCATGCTGGAATAAGCATTTCTAGGGTAAGACAAGTCAGGTCCAAGAACCAAGCATGCGAGTACCTGAGGCCAGGGGCCCTGACTAAATTAAGCCAATAATATGGCTCCCAAAATCCAAGCCGGCGTCATCGCCGCATGCGCATCCTTCAGATGCAAGCAGGCGGCCAGGGAGCCAATCAGCGAGCCTCAAATGTCCAGACTGCCTAGCCCCACCAGCAATCATCAGATGACGACAATCAGGCTCACCATGTGCCCTGCCTCGAGGAGGCCTGTCGCAGATTGGAGATTGGAGGTTGGCCCTGTTCTTGCCTAGTACCAGGTAGCAGGTAAACCAGGGCGCTGCGCCTCCACCCGCTTTCGCCCCCCTTCTGAGTCACCATCATCGAGCTCCCAATGACGCTGCGTTTCACCACACCCTGGCCCCCCAAATATACTATTCGGTCTCCCCGGCCCAGCGCCAGCCCCGGTGACTCTCTGATATGGCTCTGATTGGGCCAATCAGGAATCCCGCTGAATGGCATTCCCCTCAAGGGCCCCCTTATAAATCAACTCTTCTCGAATGTCTGGGAGCCTTCGCCGAGTCGACACCACCGGCGTACTTTTTGCGCACTTCTCCATGCCAAGCGAAGGGCGTATGTACAGCTTTTCGTCTCATCTTTTCCCGAATATCACAATAGGACACATATCCTGTCATCCCTGACTTTCACATATAAGCCCATCCATCATGGGACTCGCCCTGCACAACCATCTGGACTCGTCCTGTCTTTCCAACCTCCTCGAGGACCGGCACCCGCCGGCCCAGAGCGAGGCCGAGGAGAACACGCAATGCCCCTTCTTCTTTACCACGGAGAGGTACGAAACCCTCGCCGAGCGCCGCGAATGCCAAAGGCGGCGCCGCCTGCGAGCACGCCAGCTCCAGCTCCAGGGCCACAGCCACCCCGCCAGCAGTGGCGGGAGGCCGCCCCGTAGAGCGCACATGGGCCGCGACCTGGACGAGAAGGAGGGCCGCGACCTGGCCCGGAGCCCCGGCGGCGACGGCGGCGGCGGCCGCCGAACCACCCGCCGCCCCCCCTCGCTGGAGCGCCAGGAGGCCTTCCGCGACGGGAGGACGGCCAAGAAGCGCGTCTTCCCGCGCCGCTCCGGCGGTGATGGCGGGGCGGGAGAAGACGACGACGACGACGACCCGGTCAAGGCAGAGCTGTATCGCCTGGGCTTGCTCTACGATGATGAGCATGAGCGTGGGTCCGGGTTCACCTTCGACGCTATCGCTCGCAGCGAGCCGGCGTACAGGCTCAATCTCCGGTCTGGCAAGCGCGGTCGCAAAGCGAGGGGTTCTTCGTCTTCTTCTTCCGGGGACGAGGACGCTCTCGGCGACCTCCCGCTAGACCTCTCGTTCGCGGCGCTCGGGGAGGACGAGGCGCTCGCGCAGTTCCTTGTCTCCCCCGGGGAAGAGGGACGTGGACCGGCTCGGGGGGACGGCGCTGGTGGCGACGTCGCGGGCCGGAACGGGGCGGCTAGGATCGTCCGGCCGTCTGTGACGGTCATCTACGAGCTTGAGACGGACGGGTCAACGAGCGTGTCGTTCCAGGAATCCACTGTTCAAACACAGACGACTCACGACTTGCCCGATCTGATCTCCGACAATGGCAGCGAGCACGACGACAGGGAGGAGGTCGGCGACGAGGAGACGGGCGAGTGGGAGATGGTTCAGACGCGCGACGCGCCTGCCCCCGGCGGCGGCGGAGGAGGAGGAGGAGGAGGAGACGTGACAGCCACGGCAACAGCAACGGCGACAACACCCGCCAACCCCGACGCCTGGGTCGTGCTGGACTGACAACAGAAGACTTTTGGCTCGTAGCAGGTCCGCATGTGAGGTCCCCCGCGCGCCACTCGGGACCTCGACAATCCGCTTTTTGCCGGACTGGCCCTCTTTTATCTTTTGTTTCTGCACAGCACACCCGGACGGGGGAACAGTGGGAGGCGCGGATTGTGGTGTTTGGGGGGGGGGGCGGGCGAGAAGGGCTGGGCCCAACCTAGCTAGTGTGTGCTCGTGGCTGAGGCTGCTTGAGCTCGCTGCTGGGTTGGAGGCTCGTGTATCATCTCTGTGTTGGTGCTGTAGCACGAGTTGTTTGGGGTGTTTTTCTTTTGATTCTGTTTCTTATCGTGGTTTCGCGCTCGGATTGTTTGGGGCGCCCCTTTTTTTCTTAGATGTTAAGACTTGGATTTGCGTATTTCATTTCATATTTCATTCATTATCAAAGGATATCCGCATTAATAGCAAAACTCTCATGCAAAAATTCCACCTGCCCGGCCTCACAACTTCCACTCAGGCGGACAACTTCTTATTCGCCCACCCCAGCCTCAAGTTGCCCAGATCAAACACGACGAACTGCGCCTTGAGCAAAACATCCCCGAATATACTGAACCCGATATTATCAGAGCCTTGTATCCCGCCAAAGCAATGCGTCGAGTTCACCGCATGGTAGTTCATATACCGCCCCGGCACCACCCCCCTATAATACCCGATCCCAAACGTCCAATCCGGCAACACCTCGTTGCATGGGAACACCCACCCCCCGGCCCCCTTATCAGGCCCCGCCCCCTTGACGGCAGCATAGTAGGCCTTCACCATGGCATCCGGCAGCAACAGCAGCGACGTCCCCGTATCGGCGATGACCTTCCACGGCGTCGCCACGTACGCCGCCTTGCCGACGGCGTACCCCGACGGCGAGAAGGCCCAGTACACGCTCGACTTGTTGACCGGCACGTACTGCATGGTCCCCTCGTACGCACCGGCGTCCACGAACCCGAAGTCGTACTTGCCCGCGGCCCCGCCGTCGGCGCCGGCGCCGACCGCGGTGCGCAGGTCCGCCGCGAACAGCGGCGCCTTCAGGTCCGCCTTGATGGTGTCCATGAAGGTGTTCTGGCGGGCAGGGCGAACCGTGTTGCCAGACGACATGCCAAGCCCCATCAGGCCCGAGATGTCGGCGTCGGCGGCTAGGCCGGCGGAGACCTTGTGCGCCGACTGGACGGACTGGGCGGCGGCGCGCACGGCGGGGGAGCCCAGGGAGACGACGTCGGTGTAGGTTGTGCCCGAGGCGCCCGAGCCGTCGCCGTAGGTTATTGACCAGGTCTGGCCTTGTTGGACTTTGCTGGTTGTTGAGCTGGCCGGGCGGTAGATGGGCTGGCCGGAGAGGCCGGTTTTGGAGGTGTCGGAGGAGAGGACCCAGCTGCGGGAGGGGGGCGCGACGGGTGTTAGGGAGATGGGAAAATTTGAGAGTGGCTGGGGTTCGGGACTTACAAGTCTGCGGATCCTGTGTCGATGACCACGTTGAGCTTCTGCGGCGGAGTGCCGATCGTGATGGGCGTGATGTACTCGTAGTCGTAGTCCCGGGGCGGCCGGGCGGACACTGACCCGGACACGTTCCCTCTCTTCTTCCCGCTCTTCTGGGCGCTGTTGATCCGGACGGCGGTTTGCAGCTGGGGGGTCAGTGGGGCGTTGTATTTCGCGTACGCCCGCAGCAGCGCGTTGAGCCCATCCTGCTGCTGGAAGTTCTCGTTCCTCACTTGCGGTATGCTGAATGTGCTTCCGCCCGTCGCGGGTCCGGGTTCTGGGTCTGTCGGGAGGGCGAGCGTGGAGGGGATGATGGCTACTGTTGCGAGAGCGGCAACGAAGACGGCTCGGAGAGAATCCATTTCGAAGTGTCGAACTTAGTATCAAACTTAGCCCTGAGAACGAGTGAATAGTCGAAAGGCAACATGGGGCCGCAACACCAACTTGGAGACAAAAATGAGTGACAGGGATGCAGCGAGCAAATGTAGACGCCTCAATATCAGTCGCCATTCGGGTCTTTATATCGGTTGCAACTATACGCGTGTTCTCGCGACTGGCGCACCGCGTTGGCATGAAGAATTAAAGAGGTTGGCTGAAGGTGGCTGGCTGGCAATCCAGGGGCAACATTGATCGAGAACATGGAGCCCCCCTCCCCCACCCCCTTTGGGTCACAGAATGTCTCAATACCAGACAGACATTGAATTACTGCCCACCAGAGACCAAATCGGCATTGGCACCCGGTATCACTCTCAGACCTCGAGCTTCTGTCGCTGAAGTTGCGAACTGAAGCTTACAAGAGTATACGCAGAGTTGAGAACTGGACCAATTTATGCACTTCTTCACATTGGGGTTTTAGTAGGAGATATGTCCAAGGGAGGTAGTGAGACATGGGACCGGTGCCAAGAGATGTCCGTTTAATTAAGCTATTAGATGTCCTGGTATACGCCAAGAGTGATCAGGGCAAGCCAAACCCAAGTCTAAAAGAGGCTGTGGTGGGTTTTGGAGTTTTCATCAAGAATCCAAGCCCATCTCATCCCTTGCCTAAACTTGGTTCCGCTAGCAAGCCTTGCCGCCAACTTTAGACCATCAACGGCCGATCGCATGGCTTAGCATTCTTGGATGTAGAAGGTTTACGCGAAGTTGTGTAACCCGTACTTTGATGATCAGACACCGCTCATCCTCCATCGCTAGTGTGCCAGGCCAAATTCCCAGTCCTCCAGCCACCTAACCGCATTTACAGCGTTCTCCCTGTCCAAATCACTCCACTGCCCCAGGGTCTCTGCAAGGTACGCAATGGTCGCGCGAACTAGATTGCCCGCCTCTGAGGGCGGCCGCAAGAGGGGCTCCACCCTATCCAGCTCGCTGTCGTCTTCAGGATTTCGACGCAGACGATTGGCCCAATGAAGAAGTCGCGTGTTCCATCCCAGTCGTAGTAGACATTGCCAATGAGGTCGAATGAGTGCTCCCACAGGCGAGAGAGATAATCTTTGACCTGAGATGCGACTGAGATGTAGCTTGCGTCGTACCCTCGCCTGTTGTATGCCCACAGTTCGTAGATTCTGACACCACCCACACGCTCCATAAAGATGCACTCTAGGCCAAGGGGGTTCCTGGCGCTGGAGTCGAAGAAGAAGACACGTGGAGTGGGGATGCCCAGCCTATCCACCAGCATCATGGTCGCTACCTCACTCTCGACTTTGTAGTATGGATCCCACGGCATGGCGATCCGCAGAAGAAGCTGGCTAGGCAGAGGCTCCTGCTTCATGCGGCTACCACCCTCGGATTCCTGCTCGGCGTCCTTGTTTGCTGATTCGAAGTCGATCAGGAAGAGTCGGTTAAATCGACCACGGGAGAAGAAAGTGAGTGTCAAGTGACGCGGAAAGTACTGCGGAAGGAGGGAGTGATCCAGGTAGTAATTAACCAAGTCCGTCGCATCCTGAACCCCAGGCTTCTTGCCTCGTCGCCACAGTGGCTCTGCCTCCCCGAACCCATCGTAAAAATCTTCATCAAAATCATCGGCGTCGCCGTCAGTGCCGTCTCGGTACCATGAAAAACCCATCTGGCTTGCTCAGCCCAGACACGGTCCGCCGAGCGTGGACCGGAATGCTGGAGCCGATGAGGGAGCGGGTGGCACAGCGTCATTGTTGCAGATCTGAGATTGACTCTGTCGAATGGAAAATGCCGAAGTGTAGAAGACTATTGGCGTGTCATTTGCTGGAACTTCCTCGAAATGCCATCTGAGATTAAACATACAGGCTGTCTTGTCTGGGGTACGTCGTCCTTGGCACAGTCAACTCTCTGAGGCGCACTACCGGGTCTCTTCTCTCTCTCCGTCTGCCTCGGAAACTACCTCAGCGCCGAGAGTCTCTTCCCAAACCGCAGGATCTGGTTGCAAACTTGCCCATTACATCCACCAACCTTGCACCCGCGATGGCCGAGTGGAGAATCAGATAACCTGCAACCCAGGCTTACAAGTGGGTGCCTCTATAGGAACTTCCCGAATCACACGGAGAGGCGAACAAATCATGTAAATGCACTGTCTGTGATGAGATAATTTATCACAATAGCTCAAGAACCTAGCAACGAACCAATAACCCGGCGCACAATACCTCCTTCGTTATTCTCAGCGCCCCTCCGCGAACGCTGATTGTGCTCCCGGATGTAGTCGGTTATATACCCGGGAACCTCCTTGACGAGATTCTTCTCGTCGGGCACCGGTGTCCCCAGAGTCTCGTGGTATGGGATGACACCCGTCCAGACCCTCTCCCTGACCTCGGTGTTCTTCATGTCCTTCCTGTCGTCCTTGACGCCCGAGTCGCGAATCTTTGCGCTCGCGCCGTCGATGCGGACCCTGAGGATGCGCGTGGACGCTATCTCGGTGTCGTCGGGCGGGATGCGCGTGTTCTCCCACCGCCGCGGCACGATGCCGTCGGTGATGAGCTCCATGGCCCACAGGTTCTCGTCGCGGTCTGCCACGGGGTCCAGCAGCTCGGCGTGCCCGTGCACCACGGCCGAGCGGTAGTCGTAGCTGTGGTTGAAGGGCGTCAGCGCCAGGACGAAGTTGACCACCTGCGTCGCGGCGATGCACACTGGCACGCCCTCGCCCCCCCCTCCGCCTCCGCCGCCGGGTTGGTCTGGCAGCCTAAACATGCGTGCCGAGACGTAGCCGTGTACGTAGCAGCACGGGGCATCATCGTCCCTGAACTTGCCGATGCGGGCGATCATGGGGAGGATCACCGGCACGGGGTTCGACGGGTCGGGCACGAAGCTGACGTGGGCGACGGGCGTGGCGTTGATGATAGAGTGGATTGTATCCTCGTCATAATGGCCTGGATAACACCCAAAGCTGTTAGTCACAATCCTCTCCATCTTGTCTTGTAGGTCGAGGTGACCGGCCTCGTTCTCGATGTCTATTGACAGAGTTCTGTGCTGTCTTGGGGAAGCTTGAGTCACTCATGGCCAAATTCTGGACGTTTTCAATTCTCCTTTCGTATGCGTAATAGAGTCACCTGGGAATCGAAGATTCCGAGTCAGAGGTGGAAAGAAGGAAGAGGACTCATATGAAAAGAAGGAAGAGGACTCATCGCTCATGTGATCAGCGACTCTCGAGGAAGAGTCATACAGGAGTTGTCCAATTACGTGATTGCCCCGCCCCAACCATCCAATCGTGTATTGGGTGTTTGTCACGATTGGCGGCGGGCTGCATGGGAGGCACTCCTATTACTCCGCAAGATCGTCGCATCTAGCTTAGTTCCCCAGGGAATATGCCGTGCTTATGCCTTATATGTCGTGAGCTGGAAACTGGAGATTCTAGCTGGGCGCACCCAAGTGGCTTCTGGCGCGAAATTTGATGGGCTCCTTAGCATGTTGAGCCGGTTGAGTTGAATTTAACCAGGTAATTAGAATTAGAATTGACTTCACATCACAGCCCAGCTCTACAACATCTGCTGAGCCTAATGCTCAGAGCTAACAAGGCATTTGGTCTGGTTGTCAGATCTCCGAGACTCCCATCTCCGTGTGGTGCATACATCCCCCTGGGAATTTCTTGTTATCCTCTTATTCTGGAAATGAAATAGGGGAAGATAATAACTCATGGGACAACGTAGATTGGCCTGGCTAACAATTGCGCTTACAAAGGCCTCTTTGCCCTGAACAAGTGGCTCACCATTTAATAATTACACGGTAAGCGTTGGGGTCATATTGCGCACCTTAGGGAAACCATCTGGCAATCAGTGAACTAGAGGCGGAGGGAGATGACTACTAAGATTATTGGAATGGAGACGTCCTCGCTTCGTGAGATATTATGAATCAGCGATTTGGTTCCTTAAGTTGAGGGCAATTTGAACAAGACAGAAACGGTATCAACCTCGGCGGCGTCTGATACACGGCGAGCTGAGTGAAGGTACAGACAAAAACTTCTAGTTTCAACCTCTGCTGGAGGACTAAGCCTACTCTAACTATCCAACATACGACATCAGCAGGAAGCGAGAAATAACGTTCAATAATTATAATCTATTCAAGGAACCGTCCAGTTCCCAGTCACAACTCGTAATGTAGATGTACCAGTGTTCTACCACCAAAATGCAAAGCCACATCATTACCTGCACAATTCGCCAAGGAGCATTGCCACCTAAAGCTCAGCATCTTGCCCATAAAGTCGAGGTTTGGGGGACAATTTAGGTTGACCATGGCAACGTCACAGCGTTTCAAGCGACTGCACCCACTGGCATTTTATACCTCTTATAACTAACAAAATCAAGCAAGGCTTGATCTCAGTTTCGGTACCATCCATCCGACCCCTTCGGCCCCATCCATCCGACCTCTTCGGTAACATCCATCCGACTCCACGTTGTTGAAGCTTCTCAAATGTGACGCATCTCTTTCCAATTCTGGCCCAATGTTATTACACTTCACCCCCCGCTAACCGTTTCCGTTGTAGTCTCATGATGCCTCCACCATTAGCTCCAGCACCCTACTGCACCATTGACTTCTGTGAGCTGGGGAAACGAACACGCTGAACTGAAGGGACAACTCCACAGCTCTATCCTTGGACCCACCCGACGTATCTAAGCGTGATTCTGATACACGATATTGGTTCATACACATCTGTCAGTAATACGAAGCTTTGCTGCTCGGGTTAAAGTTCCAACGGAAGCTTGAACAGCTTAATGGCGTTCCCCCTCGCCACGGCTTCCTTTTGGTCTGCCGGCAAGTCGACCCCCTTCCACCATTCCTGTGCCTCCTCAATGGTGTCGTACGGGTAATCTAGTCTCCAAATCAGCAAATTGAGGCAGATGCAGTCAAGGAGAGCAGCAGCTTCGGGGATTCAACATACCGATCGAATAGAGACATCTGTCGACCCCTATCTCATCGATGCATAGCTTCAATCCCACAGTCGAGAAATGGCCCGAGGTCGTGATGGAGACATTATGGGTGAAGTAGTACGAGTAGTCCTCCTTCGACGGGCGCGCCGCCTTCTTCACCGGCTTGTTATACCAGTGATCGGCCCGCCACAGATTGAACGGAATCCTACGCGGGTAGGCAAATTAACGGGCGGCTCGGGACGGGAACTGCAGCCAAGCAAGCAAAGCAAAAGGGAGAAGAAGCCAAGGGGGGAAACTCACCCTTCTCCCAGGTGGCCAATAACCAGCTGCACCTTGGGATACAAATCGAAGATGCCGCTAGAGCACAGGGCGTACACGTGGTAGCTCAGATCGAGGTGAAACTGCACGGCGGCGCCGATCAACTGCCGCTTGCTGGGGCCGTACCTGGCGCGGGGCCCCAGCGCGTCCGACGCTGCGGGGTAGCGGGGGTGGAGATAGACTGGCACATCCAGCTCCTGCACCGCCGCCCAGAAGGGATGATACTTTGGGTCGTCGTAGAACGCCTTGCCGAGCGTCCGCTCCTTCCCGGCCCCGCCGTCGTCGTCGACGTAGACGTCCTGAAAGTCGTTGATGATGGCGCCGAACATGCCCAGCTCCGTGACGGCGCGGCGCAGCTCGCGCGCCGCCACATCGGCGTCGTGCATGGCCAGCGACGCGAGGGCGCCGAACCGAGACGGCCGCAGGGCCACCTGCGCGGAGAGCCAGTCGTTGGCGGACGACGCCATGGCGGCGGAGGCGGCCGGGTCGGGCTCGCCCTGGGGGCCCGCCGAGGTCAGCGATAGGAGCATGTACTCGACGCCCGTGGCGTCCATGCGGGCCAGGCGGTCAGAGTGGATGTCCAGGAGGGCCTTGGTCAGGCCGTGCTCGCGGATGTCCTGCTGCGTCGAGGCGGGCGAGAAGAAGGCCGCCGACTTGGCAAGGAAGGGGATGCCGTCTGGGTTTACCACGGCCTCCTCGATGGCGATGGTGCCTTTGCGGGTCGCCATCTTGGGGAAGGGACGGATTCGTCTGGTCTTGGCGTTGTGGTTGTGGTTGTGGTTGTGGTTGCGGTTGCGGTTGCGGTTGCGGTTATGCGGCTCAATAGATTTCCTGGACAGGTTAGTAGTTAGTGACTTGGCGTTTATCCTCCGATCATCACCAAACGTTGCTGGGCAGCACAAGTTTATATCTAATGCGTACAACCCTCCCTCCCTCCCCCCCGTTCCTGCAGCCCCACGTACTATTGACTCCACTTCCCATGGGCTCCGCGATGCTGCGGGGTTCTTTTGCAACTATACCCGGACGGGCAGGGATTCGTGTCCGGCAGTTGGGTAAACATCGGGAACAAGGCAGGTCAGTAATGAATGCTACTCTAATAGGACCAATTCCCAGGCGATATATTTTGCCCGTTGTCACGTCCTGTGTTGTTCGCTTGGGTCCCCTCTTCTTCCATTGTTCTCCCCCAATTCCTCTCTCTTGCGGTCTCGGAAGTAATCCCATGGTCAGAAATCATGCCGTTTGGCATCATCGATGTGCACACTGACCGGCCGCTGCCGGGCACGGAGCTTCTTATTCGTAAGGAGCAGGCGGGCATTGTCATAGATGGCGACACTAGCGAGTTGAAGCGGGTCATGTACAAGGTAAATACATCGTGCGTCCACTCTACTAGTAGTAGGTAGTAATTAGTTCTAACATTGTGGGTTCATAGGGAAACGAGACCATCCTCGTCCCACAACCCTCTGATACCGATCCCAACGACCCTCTGGTAAGGTCTCGAGGACGAGGACAGAAAAATGGTACTCTGCGATGAGCTATGAGAAGGGCTGACAATGGCATAGCTTTGGCCAAGATGGAAGAAAGAGACGGCATTCGTGGTGTTGTTCCTCAACAACATCATTTTCGCGGCGCTGCCGGGTCCCATCATCGCCCCTTCGACCTTTGCTCTCGCCGGCATCCTCGACGTGCCCATCACCAAGATTGCAGAACTATCGGGCTACCAACTCCTGATCGTCGGTGCCATAGGGTCTGGTTCCCCCCCCCCCCCCCCCCCCCCCCCCGCCCCTTTAGCCTAGCAGAAGTTGAAGCTCACCATTGCTCTCCTCCAGTCCCCTCGTCTCCGTGCTCGCCCAAAAGTACGGTAAGCGACCGCAGTTCCTCTTCGCGGCGGTAATGGGCACGCTCGGGACCATCATCTGCATCGCCGGCTCCCAACAGATGAGCTACAGCACCCTACTTGGGGGTCGCATGGTCCAGGGCCTGGGTACCACCGCCTGGGAGAGCCTGTCGCTCGCGGCCATGGGCGACATGTTCTACCTGCACGAGCGCGGCCTCCGCACCTCTATCACCGTCGCCACCCTGACCTGCACGCCGTCCCTCGTGTCCATCATCGGCGGCGTGCTGACCCAGAACCGCGGCTGGAAGACAATCTTCATCGCCTCCCTGCCCTTCAACCTGCTGGGTCTGGTGGGCGCCATCTTCTTCCTACCGGAGTCCCAGTTCCGCCGGCCGGGCGGTTCCGGCTCAGCCAAGGCTCCCGCCGCCGCGGAATCGTCGTGGTCGGAGAAGCAGGACACCGGCGCGGCCGTGGTCGAGGCGGAGTCGTCCGACGCAGCGCCAACGACCCCGGTCAAACCCAGGATGACGTACTGGCAGAGCCTGGCGCCGTGGTCGGGCACCTACTCGGAAAAGGCGGTAGGCCACCTCCTGAGCGAGATCTTCGTCCACCTGATCAACCCGGCCGTGATCTGGATCCAGCTGGTCAGCGCCGTGCTCATCTCGCTGTACGTCGTGACGGCGTTCATCACGTCGCAGATCTGGACCCCCGCGCCCTACAACCTCAATATCGCGCAGAACGGCTACTTCTACACGGGCGGGTTCGTCGGCGGCGTGCTGGCCACGGTCGCGGGCCCCGTGTGCGACTGGACGGCCCGGACGCTGTCGCGGCTCAACGGGGGCGTCTTCGAGGCCGAGTTTCGCATCCCCGTCAACATCTTTGGCGTCGTCTTCTGCTCGCTCGGGTGGTTCCTGTTCATGTGGGACGTCAATAACCCGAGGCCAGACGGGTACTACCTCGGCGCTTTCTGCTACGGCGCCGCGTCTTTTGGTATTTCCATCCCCTCCACCGCCGCGGGGCTGTATATCCTGTGAGTAATTCCTTTGTCGAACTAGGAGTGTTTTCTCCATCCTCGTTTTTATCCCCTTTCTTTGGCTCGTTTGTTGGGACTGACTTGGGGGTTCCCACAGTGACTCGTTTCCGAGGCATTCAACCGAGGTGTTCATCCTCCAGATGATGATCAAGAACTTCCTGTTCTACGCGTTTTCCACCATGATGAACACGTGGGCGGGCACGGCTGGTCCCGGGGTTATCTTCCGCACTTGGGGCATCGTGTCCATCGCTCTTCTCGCCACCTGTATTCCGATGTGTAAGTCTACTACCCCCCAATCGAGGGGCGTATGAGCCTTGAACATGCTGCTGACTGGCACCGTGTTGTAGATGTCTTTGGCAAGGTCAACCGGAAGTTCATGAGCGACCTTTATGCCAAGCATAAGATCTTCAGAGCCATCGGGTAAGAATTGGGAATGGAAGGACGCCCACGTAAAGCAGCCCTGAGGAAACACCTAGGAGAAATTCTTCGGACCCTTTAATGATAGGACATCGAATGCGAGAAATTTAGCAAGGGATTTATGAGCGCTGTGAATCTGGTTTGTTATATTTTGCCACATAAATAGTACATTATAGCCACTGAAAAGCAGGGAATGCTATTTCATCCCACAATATCGAAATCAGTGCATGGCCAACCAACTCGCCGCTATTTTAGGGTCGACGTTTGCTTCATTTTCGTCAACCGAGTTAGAGAGATCCTTGTGGCAACACCGATCTCACCAGTTGGACCTTTTTTAGTGCCCCCTTTTTTTGTCCTCACCAAAACTGTTGTATAGTGGAGTTAAGTTTTTCGGGCAACAGAGCTCCAGTGCCGCCATCGGGGAAAATGGCGTCAGCGACGACAATGCGCCTTCCTATCATGGATGATAATAGCGGGAATAGTGGGGCCGCTAGCTCGCCGAAACCATTTCCGACATCATCGACACTCGTCAACTTCGCCGTTCCAACAAATTTCTTCTCTGGTGCCATCGATCAAAAAGCGATCAATTACACCATGGAAAAGTCAGCGTTACCCTTGGCTGCTGAGCCACTGCCGAGTGAGAATTCAGCACCCAGATCTCGCAGAACAGCTTGCTTGCTGCTGGTTCCTCTTGTGTTAGCTGGGTATCTCTGCGCGCCTTTCTTAGCCGGACCATTTCCCTCCAGCTTCATTCCGGGCGGCGATTCCAAGAGCTTCAAAAACCAGTGTACTCAGCCAGACCCGCTCTTCCCCGGGGAATCAGGCAATGAAGCTCTGAAACGTTCATATGACTACATCTCCACCGATGATTTCAGAAACGCCACTGTCAAACGACTCTCCGGCGCCGTCAGGGTCAAGTCAGAGTCTTTCGATGACCTGGGAGCGATTGGCGAGGACTCAAGATGGGATGTCATGTATGACTTCTCCGCCTACCTGAAGACCACGTTTCCCCTCATTCACGAGAAGCTCCGGGTGGAAAAGGTCAACACTCACGGTTTGCTCTACACGTGGGAGGGCAGCGACGACTCTCTGAAGCCGACCCTACTCATGGCCCATCAGGATACCGTACCCGTGCCCCCACAGACCATTCCCGCCTGGACATACCCTCCCTGGAGCGGCAAGTACGACGGGAAGTACATCTGGGGACGCGGCGCCGCCGACTGCAAGGACCAGCTCATCGCTGTAATGGAAGCCGTTGAGCTGCTTCTCGAAGCCAAGTTTGAGCCCAAGCGCACCATCCTCCTCTCCTTTGGCTTCGACGAGGAATGTTCCGGTCGGCAAGGGGGCGGACACCTGGCCCCATTCATCCGCAAGCGATATGGCGACGACGGCATCGCCGTTATTGTGGATGAGGGCGCCACCTTCGAGAAGGCCTGGGGGACGGTATTTGCCAAGCCCGGGATGGCGGAGAAGGGTAAAACTGACGTCCACATCACCGTCCGGATGCCAGGTGGGCACTCGTCAATCCCGCCCGACCACACCGGCATCGGAGTACTCAGCGAGATCATCACCCTAATCGAGGCAGAGCAGTACCGCACGCGCCTCGTCGACGAGAACCCCTACTACGCCCAGCTAAAATGCGGAGCGGAGCATTCGCCCGACTTCCCGCGCAAGCTGAAGAAGCTCCTCTCCCGGCGCACACGCGCATCCTCCCACCGCGTCTGCAAGGCCAAGCCCGACCGCCTTGCCCTCGAGGCAGCCAAGCAGGGCCCGGATGTCAAATACCTCATGCAGACGTCGCAGGCCGTGGACGTCATCTCCGGCGGCGCCAAGGTCAACGCCATACCTGAGCGCGCTACGGTGACGGTCAACCACCGCATCAACATCGGCGAGACGCCCTCGACGGTATGGGACCGCCTCACGGAGCTCGTGCGGCCCGTGGCGAAGCGACACAACCTCACGCTGCACGCCTTTGATGGCGCCGACGAGGAGCCACTGTCCATCTCACTCGTCGCGTCCAACACGACGCTCGACACCGCTCCTGTGACGCCGGCCGACGCTACGCCGTTCGAGGTGGTGGCGGGCACGACGCGCGCGCTGTACGGGCGCGAGACGGTAGTCACGCCGGGGATCATGACGGGGAACACGGATACGAGGTATTACTGGGACCTGACGAGACACATCTTCCGCTTCGGACCCGGCTTCGATCCTGAATCCGATAGCTCGATGGGCGGAGGGAATATCCACACCGTTGACGAGAGGGCCAGCGTGGCGGGACACATCAATTCTGTGAGGTGGTTTACCTTGTTCGTGAGGAACATGGACGATGCGGACATCTGATGGCTGTCGTGTCGGGAATTGGGTTGAGCCATATCTTGTGTCTTCGGCTTGGAAACGTTGTGTTACATGGCAGATACTACGGTTGGCCATGTTACTGGTGTAGGCATGCATGCCTTACACTTCAATCCCTATTTATGTGGTACCTCTGCATCCGCAATATGCCCGCACTCTTTCTCCGGCTCAACATCGACCTGCCTAAACTTAAATTATACAACCAGTTAGCTTCAACTCTGAGGAGCCCCTCTTTCCCCACATTCGGCAGCCATCGCATGCGCTGTTGATCGTATCCCGTTCCGGGAGGACGTATCGGGATAACGTTGGAGCTTCCTAATGCAGCAAGAGGCGAAGGTCGCACTACATAATAGAATCAGATGAAGATGAGATACGGGAAACTCCCCTCACAAAAGTTAAAATGTCCTTGACAGCAATCCTCGACCACTCCGGCGTTCATTCAGACCGACCGCAAGAAGAAAGATGGCCATGAGGCGTTCTTGGTTCAAACCGCCGAGCGACAATGCCTCAGTCCCGGAGATAAGCCCAATCGAGCCATCAGAGAGTAATACAAGCTCGTCCGGGGAAAAGCAAGATGTGAAGAGCCGCGAAGTAGATGTGTCGCAAGCTACCCAGGACCTCATGAAGGTCAAGATTGCACACCAGTGGGACCCTAACCTGCCCCCGGAGAAAATCGAAGCCATCGACAAAGCCCTCAAGGATGGCGACACCGAAGAAATCCTCGCCGCCGATGCGTTGTTCTCGGAGGACTCGCCCTACGAGGAAGTCCGCGCTGCTGTGCGGAATACTGATGGAGAGGAGGTGGCTAACACAGTTCGCGCCTGGATCTTGGGCATGGTCTTTGTGACGATTGGAAGTGCTCTGAACATGTTCTTGAGCATGAGGTATTCACTGAGCCTGTCGATTTGTCCCTTCCATGGGGAATGGTGGTGGCGCTAATACGGGCAATCAACCCCCTATATCAGGAACCCTCAGATCAACTTCCCTGCCATCGTTGTGCAGTTGCTGGTCTACCCCATCGGCTGCCTCTGGGCGAAAATCGTCCCGACCAGGGTCTTTAACACCTTTGGTATGCAGTGGACCTTCAACACTGGCCCCTTCACTATCAAGGAGCACGTCGTCATCACCTTGATGTCCAATGTCTCCATCGGGTACGCTTACAGCACCGATGCCCTGGTCGCATTGAAAGGCAAGCCGTTTTATAACCTCGACATGGGATGGGGCTTCCAGCTGCTCTTCACGCTGAGCTCTCAGCTGATCGGCATCGGGTTGGCCGGTCTCTGCCGCCGCTTCTTGGTTTGGCCTTCGGCCATGATCTGGCCGAACCAATTCGCCAACACGTCCTTGTTCCACGCCCTCCACGACCGGAGAAAGAGCGATGGCAGCCAGTCTAATGGCTGGGTAATCAGCAGGTATCGCTACTTCTTCTATGTGCTCATCGCCATGTTCTGCTACTACTGGATCCCGGCTGTTCTCTGGCAGGGCCTGTCGGTGTTCGCCTTCGTCACATGGATCCGACCCGACAACGTGGTGCTAAATCAACTGTTTGGGGGCTTCACCGGCCTGTCGCTGATACCCATCACCTTCGACTGGACATACGTCACCGCCTACCTGATGGATCCTCTGCTGTCGCCGACCCACACGCACGTCAATGTGCTCGTCGGCGTGTTCATGTTCGTCATCATCCCGACCATCGGCATGGCCTATACCGGTTCCCTATTCGCGGATTACCTCCCCATAAACACCTCACAGACCTACGACAACGCTCAGGGCGCGTACAACGTGACCAAGATCCTGGGCGACAACTTGAGGTTCGACGTGGACAAGTACAAGCAGTACTCGCCCATCTTCCTCGCGCCGACCTTTGCCCTCAACTACGGCCTCTCGTTTGCAGCGTTGATCGCGGTGCTGGTCCACGTCGCGCTCTTCCACGGCAGAGAGATCTGGTACCGGTTCCGGACGGCGAGGGATCAAGAGCCGGACATCCACATGAAGCTGATGAAGAAGTACGTCGACGCTCCCGAGTGGTGGTACGGGGCGCTCCTCGTCATCGCACTCGGGCTCGGCCTCGCCACTGCCGAGGGTTACGACTCGCAGCTGCCGTGGTGGGCGTTCCTAGTAGCGAACCTACTAGCCATCGTCTTCGTAGTGCCGACCTGCACCATCCTCGCCGTGTCCAACATAGCGCTCGCCCTCAACGTGCTGTCCCCCTACCTGGCCGGCTTCATCATCCCCGGGCGGCCCATCGGCGTCATGATCTTCAAGGTCTATAGCACCATCACCCTGGGCCAGGCCCAGACATACAGCGGCGACCTCAAGATGGCCCACTACATGAAGATCCCGCCGCGCATCACCTTCTGGTGCCAGGTCATCGCGACCGTGTGGGCGTCGTTTGTGCAGATCGCGGTCATGAACTGGACGCTGGGCACGATTGAGAACTGCTGCGATCTGTAAGTCAATCTCTCTCCCTTTACCTTTACCATTACCTTTACCTTTACCTTTACCTTTACCTCAGCATCAAAATCTTCTAACACCCCATCAAAAAAACCAGCAAGCAACCAGCCCACTTCAGCTGCCCCAACGGCCGCACCTTCTTCTCCTCCTCCATCGTCTGGGGCGCCATCGGCCCGCAGCGCATGTTCGGCCCGGGCTCCATCTACGCGCGCTTCAACTACTTCTGGCTGGTGGGCGCCCTCCTCCCGGCGGCGCTGTACGCGCTCTCCTCCCCCTCCTCGCGTCTGCCGGCCAGCTTCCGCGGCGCCGCGGCGGGCCTGCACGCCCCCGTCATGCTCGGGGCCATGAACTGGCTGCCGCCGGCGACGCCGCTCAGCTTCTCGACGTGGGCGGTCGCGGGCCTGGCGTTCAACCGCGGCATCAGGCGCCGGTGGCCCGGGTGGTGGAGGACGTATAATTATATCACCGCTGCGGCGCTGGATGCCGGGCTGGTTATTGGGACGATTGTGGTGTTTTTCGCGGTCACGCTGCCGGATGTCAGGATCCCGCAGTGGTGGGGGAATGTGGGTGTTTATGAGACGGCTGTGAGTGGACCCCTCCCCCTTTTAACCACTTTTCACCCCTTTTTTTTCTCTCTCTTTTCTCTCCTTTTTTTTTCTCTTTTTTATCTCCTTTTTTTTTTTTTCTCTAGCTCATAGACTGTGCTATTGGATGTCTTTGCTGACATTTCTCGTGCAGGATGCCGCGTATACGGCGATTCTCAAGCTTGTTGGGGAGGGTGAAACCTTTGGGCCTGCTACGTGGTGATAACTCGAAACTACTAGGGAGGTGGCTTGGATGAACTGGATGGATTTTTCGGACACTAAGCTTATTTGTAGGTAGAGTGAAGTCGCTGTGACCCGGCCTAGATATATGCCTAAATATATTCCCAGATTACCTAGATTACTGGAATATGTCCAATTCAAATCGGCAGGTGGTGGCCGATACAGACATAAGAAAAATCAAACTTGCTGCCCTTCGCCAAGTTGGACACCAAACATACCCAAATCACCCCAATAATGCCGATATAGATTCTTACACCTAAGCCTAGTGTGTAAGTAAAGGCTGAGCCTCAGCAACTCCAAGTACCTTTCCCTCATCGAATCCTCGCCGCCATGCAATGTAGAAAAGAATACCCTGGACTACGGCAAACACTGCGTTGTCGACAGCGGTAAACCCGACAAACAGGTACCAACCATGGAAACCGGGAGGGTCCTTGGGATCCCCCTCCTGGTGCCAGTCGTAATAGGTAAACAAGTACCACGAGATAGCCACGGCTGGAAAGATAACAGCCTGTAAGAAAAGTCCCCGGAGGCTGAGAGCCGTCGCTTGCCGCCATTGCAGAAGCAGAGAGGCGATGCCTATCGCGGTGATGAAGTAGTTGACGTAGAAGAAGAGCACACCGTAGTACAGAGACTCTAAAAGGCCCCTATCCGGTCTGTCCTCTTTGAACGATGGGAATTGCGACCATAAGTATAGAACGAGGATGATGATGTATAATATAGTCGCGATATATTTGTGAAATGATGGTTGATCTGATGGGCATAGCAGGCATAAGCCAAAGCTAATTATTGAAAAGATAATCGTTAGCATTTTACCAATAATATTCTTCTAATCAAGGTAAGGCAAGATCAAGTGGGTGATAATTACAATGTTACAAAACAGAGCAGCACTATGGTAAGTTGGACAAAGTTGAGCCAGTCAAGAAGAGTTCGTGGGTTGCCATGGACAAAGTGCATGGTCCCGTCAAATTGTACAACGTAGGCATATCCTAGAAAGAACTGGTGGGTTGCGCTGACAAGGTTGAAGAGGATGTAGTATGGCGAGATGCCAGAGCAGTCATTGCGTGAGATGATCTGCTGGTAGTGTGGGAGAAAGGAGATGATGGTAAGGAGGAAGAGGAGACTGCCGAGAATCAGTGAGGTGTTAGCAGATCAATAAAGCAGGTAAGGAATATCGAAACAACTGACATCCTAACAATGTAGTCCCACATAATCGACTGGTAAACCGCGTCGGCTCCCTTCCAGCGACGGCGATAAATGTTGTGTGAATGGTAAACAGCAATATGAGGTGCTGGCGAGGGTTGAGTTTGACTTCGCTGACTTCGTTTTGCGTAAAGGATTGTTCCAGGGAGAAGAATAATCTGTCTCCGTTGCTGCCTAAACAAAACCAAGATCACGCCACATGAGAGTCTTCGAGGTCCAATTGGGAAGGTTTGCATATCTAACCCCGCTTTCATGAGGCCACCACTGCTCCATCGATTAGATACTTAGATGGAACGTGACCGTCATAGCTGTAGGTACCTATTATGGAAGAGTATCTATGACTTCTTGATTCAGAATGTTACATTATCACGCACAGACCTCCACAACTGGCAGCTCCAGGCAACATGGGCATGATACTCCCATCCGCGATCCTCAACCGCCTCGTCCCATGGACGCGCAGCTTATTATCAACAACGCCGCTCATTGCCCTCGGCTTCTTCGCCGCCGTCACCATGGGCAATAATTACTAGGCACAATACTATCCCATATCCAATCCTCCAGGTCCTCCCCCTCGACATCCAAACCAGTATTAGTCTCAAGTCGGCCATACGCCGCAAAGTCCTCGCTGGCGAGATACCTTCGCAGAAACTCAGGGTAGGGTCTGGGTCGGCCCGAGATGTATACTGCCTCCCGGTTGCCGTGGTGCCGTCGAACAGGATCTTCTACACCTTTTGGTCGATGATGACCTCGACAGAACGTGCCATTGTGGCGCCGACTTCAAGCTGTTGCCCCTAAATCGGGTCCGGTTTACTTCCGGGCTTTTATTATGCTCTTAGCACAAGAAGAGAACTATATGCCTGCGCCCAACCGCGTAGGTAGTTTCCTCCACACCCGCGTACAGCCTCGTACTTCCTCGCCCACTTCCAGCCCAGCATCTCCATGGGATGCAACCTTCTCTCCGCGTCTTACACGGGAGATCCCGACTTGCACCGGCCATGGCTGGTACCGCAGTCGCTCGCCGCGCCGTAGTCGCAGCAGGTCCCGGACGGGCCGCACTCGAAGGCGTGCGAGGCCACGCGCTTGGTCTTGACGGCGTAGGTGCCGGCGCCGACGACGCAGTTGCCGCAGTACACGCCCTGGGCCAGGCCCGTGACGCACTTGCAGCCGTTCGAGCTGCAGGCCCTGCCGAAGATCTCGGCGGGCTCGGCGGCGCGGGCTTCGACCGGCTCCTGGACCGCGGCGGCTGCGGCCAAGGAGGCGGTGAGGACGCAGAGGATTGTGGATGCTCGCATGGCTGACGGTGTAGGAGGCGGCAAATATGCGGAGGTTATGTTTTGCTTGCAAGGTGCTGAGCTGGTGCTGAGCAAGCGCTGGGCAGGTTTTGGTCTCGTGGGAAAGTGGATGGAGGTGTCGCGTGCCTACCAAGGCAAGGTGCCGGGACCTTTGGTCGCTTTATATGCTCGACATTGTGTCGCCTCTCTCCCGGCAATTTTATGCCCGTCTGACGGGCTGATATGCGCCGCCGAGACAAAGTAGCATGGCCATAATCTTGCCGAGGACGGATCTTCCGATCATCCTTGTGTTGCCGCTTTGGGGATGGGGTTTTGCCGTTTTGCGGGGAAGAGTCGCATTGCAGGTCTACAGGCTTATTCTAACCCGGTCTTCGGCTATAAGTGGCCGTCAGGGTAATAAGCAGTGGCAAATGTAACAGCAGATATTTACAGGTCAAAGCAGTAGCGACACCAGTCCACCCACGAAGATAGAAATGACTGAGGGCAAGATCCTAGGGAGTCTTTTAAGCGACGGCGGTATAGTAACGGTGGCGGGGAACAAGGCGGCGGCCGGCGGGGGTGGGGGCAGCGGGGGCGGCGGCAGCGGCCTGGAAATGGACGGCGGGATTGCGATACATTAGCGCTCTCGGAGGCATAAGTGGAATACCAGCGCTTGTCGTCCTTTGATAAGACCTTGTTGGTTGGCTGTTGGTTAGCCTTCGATCTACGCGAAGGAGTTGGCCATTCCACGCGGCTTGGCAATGGAAATGGCACATAATAACAACCCCCCTAGACACAACTAGGAAGCAAGTGAACGGTAATTACTTGATCAGCGCGAGATATAGAGGGGTATCTAACAAAAAAAGACCGATCCATCGTAACATCCACCGCAACAGGCATGTCTATTACATCCCCACTCCTCGTTTGCCACAAGTACTAGCTGACAACATTGATCCGAGACGGATACGTAATTAGAAAGTAAAATTTGGGCCTCACCGACATAGACGCCAGAACGGAGGCCACTTAGCCAAGGAATCCCTGTCCCGGCTCGGCCCATGTCTTACCCGAACGAGGAGAGACGAGTACACTCCTCAACTGCGATTCATCTGAATCAGCGGTACCTCACTCGAGGCTCAGAATGACTTCCACACTCCAGCCCGAGACAACCCTAGGAGAATAACGGGAGTCCAGGACTTCGAACACCGGATGTTCCAATACCCCCATTCTTTTTTGGGTAGGCAGGCTTCACGTGTCATCGTCCTCCCCGGAAGCCTCCTCGTCCTCGCCCACGTAATCCGAGCTCCCGCATTCCAAGCTCGCGATGTACTGCTTGACAAACTTCTTGTCCACGGCCAGGCCGGCGTACATGAGCGGCGTGACGGGCACAGGTGCCGCCCCCGTTGCGCGGCGGACACTGACCACGGCCTTCATGAACTGCAGCTGGCGGCCGGCCATGCGCCACACGAACGCCGGCTTGCTGCTGTGGTAGATCTTGAACGCCGTGCTGGCCTTGATCAGCGCCCAGGCGCTCAGCTCCGGGTCGGCGGCGTCGGGGCCCTTGAGCAGGTTGACCGTCCTCGAGTCGAGCTGCGGCCGGGACCGACCGGCGAAGGATGGTTCGATGGCGCACCACTTCTGGAACACGGTGTTGACCTTTTGGGGATACCGTATCTGCGCCCCGGTGCCTTTGTCTTTGTCCTTGGCGATTGTCTCGACCCAGGTGGCTAGGACCTCGGCGATGGAGGCCTTGAGCCCGTCGAGTAGGTATTTGCGGGACTTGGACGACCTGGTCCCCTCTTCGAAGTAGTTGCAATACTCCACGAGGTCGGGGTCCCAATAGTTTGCGCCAGAGTTCATGCTGTCAGCACTGGTTCGGGAGTCGGCTGGGCCAGGGTTCATTGCCCTGTGGAGCGCTGCGAGCTCGTGCTCGATCGTGGGCTTGGCAACGACGAACTTCAAGTGGTCGATGATATGCACATGCTCGCCCCTCCTCGGCGCCAGCTCTCCTTTGTAGGCAGGCTCGGGCAGGCTGTATCGCTGGCCCAGACCATCTTTGCGAAGGCGGTCCCATTCCTCCTCCCCGAACAAGATGCCTTGCTTCGGCTGGTCAACTAGACTGCTTAGAAGAGTGCTCAGAATCACCGCCGCCTCGTCATCAACCCTGTTTTTGTGGTAGCAGAGCCTCTCTTTGAAGTTAGTGCAGATTCCCAGGAAGCTCTGGCGCATGTTGAACTCGAAGCTGCGCTCAATCATCTCCCCGATGGCTTTGCGTTTAGAGCGGTGGTTCAGCAACAAATCTCCGAGCGTTGTCGTATCTTTTCGGATGTAGCTCGAAAGATCCGGGCTGGCAGGAACCTCGGCGTTGACGAAGTTGTCCACAATATCCGGGTCCCAACAAACCCACGCCCTGTCACCGTCATAGTCACCTCCGGAGAGCTTCTCAGCAAGCGGAATGTTGCCCTTGGACGAGAAGACTATGACGTCCTTGAGGGATTGCAACTCCGGCTTGAACACAGCCCGGACCTTCTGAATGTCGCTGATAAAATGGGCAGGGGATCTCGCAACGAGGACGTCCATGTCGTGGAGCAGCGTGCCTGAGAAGCCTCCTTGCTGGAACTTGGTCGAGAAACCGACATGGACCTCGCCTTCTTCCAAAACACCCCAGAAGTCGACCACCATATATATGTAGGCTGAGCGCCCGACGGCAATGTTTAGCTTGGTTTTTAGCAGATGGCACTTCTGTTCCTGGATCTTCCAAACCTGGTCTTGGAGGAATCGCTGTTCCATCGGGTGAAATCCGCCGTCAAGTAGGAAGCCAATCGTGTCTTCCATCTTCTCCGGCAGCCCTGCCAGAAAAGGGACTTGCCCGTGCTGCAACCGGAGCTGCCGGGTCGACGTGTTCTGAGCAAGCCATGACTTGAGCTCAAGGGGTCGCTTCATAGCACTCTTCTGAGTCTCCAGCTCATCTTGAAGCCCCTTGACCAGTATTTTGCCAATAACTTCGCGCATCAGTGGTTTATTGCGAGCCCTATCCTCCAAGACCGGCAGGAACTGGAGATTCAGCCCAGCGGATCTCAGCTCAGTCGCAGTGCCGTGGACTTCTAGCGTCCGCTGGTCGTCGTCGCGTTGGTCGCACTCCCATTTCCGCTGTGAAGGATAGGTCTCGAGCCAGTCCTCATGCCCGTCATCAGTCACGTCCACCAGCCACATCCCCTTTGCAGAGCCTAGACGCGCCTGGATCGCGGACGGGATGTCGTTAAGCCCCAGGGCGTCCCGGACTTTGCGAGCGACGCTGAGAGACATGAGTGCAATGCCATCATTCATCTCCTTGCGGATGGGAGAGAGCAAGTCACGCTCCCGATGGCGAATCTGGTGAGGCTCTAGAACCAGGATGGGGCGGGTCTTGCTTAAGCCTGAACCATGGAAGGGCTTAGCTCAACGTGGTGACCACTTAAGAGTCCGTCGCACTGCCTTACCTAATTTAATGCGAGAGAATAACTTTAGATACGACTGCTTCTCATTCTGGAAAAGATTAAGGAGCCAGTCGAGCATCCTGCAAACGCTCAAGGCAGTCATCGGGGTTAGCCGGCCACCCGCACCCGAACCCGGGGACCTCGGGACGAAACCGATGCCGTTCTCGGCAAAGAAATGGACTCTCTCCTGGTACACGGGCTTGGCGTCGGGCGATATACGGAGCTCCTTGGGCGGAGACCTATAACCTGCGTCTGAAGTGAAGAAGGCAGCCCATTCCCGCCCTACAATCGAGTGTCGCTTTCCGGTGATCCAGCGAATCAGCTCGATTGTGGACTCGCCCTTGAACGGAGGCTTCCGGGAACCCGGCGAGGGCATGATGACTTCGAGGAAACGATCGGGCCCAAAGTGCCTGTTGAGGCGGCATCCCAAGTCCAATTTCAACGGCTGCATCTGAATGAAGAAGGGAGGGCCGGTTTTGGCTTGATTAAAGTCTATCGACATGGAAAGAACAACAACCATGTCGCGTGATCGGAAGTCGCCTAGGCTGGCAGCCCAGGCATCGGTGCTGGGCTTCTCTGGAAAAGACTTGCCAGCAAAGTCAAGGTGCTGATACAGGCTTTTGCGGACATTCATTGGGGATCCTGGGTCCGCCCACGAAGGATCATATTGCATATTAAGGCCTCCAAGATCAACGCTGCAGTGGAGAGCAATCCGGGTAACCTCCCAAGCAACGGCAAGGGGCGCCTTGTGAAGCCATGGCGGGAAAGCGGCTAGTCGATGGTCAGAACAGGGCAATAGCGGCACCAAGGCACTGGCTAGGATCGTCCAGCAAGGAACTTACGCCACACGGATTTCAGTCGATCCTCGAGAGAAGCTAGCCCACCGACTGAAACGGTGTGATTGGTTTGTGGAGACGGCGTCCCATCATCAGACATTGGCATATCAGGCACGTCCGAAACACTTGGGGAGGTGGTGCTAGGGCCAGGCAAGCCCGTGATGTGCTGTTTTCCAACATGAGCAGTAACACGCGACGCATTTTGGTCTAGTGCTCTACCGTCTACCCTAGTCTCTTCGGAGCAGGAGACCGATTCGGCTAAGGCACGCAAGATTGAGGACGTTGGCCGGAAAGGGTCTTGGGAAGATGCATAGACTGCCAGTCTTTTCTTCTCTTCCCTGGTCGCCTCAACTGTGCTTTGGGTATCAGGCGGGGTGCCATCCTCCGAGAAGATCGAGGGGAACATTGACACCTTGCTGGTGTTTTCCGAGGCCCTGTAAAGGGACGTGTCAAGATTCCGCATCAAGGTTGAACGCGCCGTCAATGCCCCCGAGTTTGGCCTCGGATCTGGGAGCCTTGATATTCCAACCTTCTGCCGCACAGGTACCTCATCAATGGCGTCGAAGAGCTGTTGAGCCTCCTCCTCCTCCTCCTCCTGCTGCTGTTGTTGGCCACCTTTGACCCTCTTGATGGATCCATCTGGCTTTTCACGGGCCGGCCGCTTGGACTTGGACGGCGGCGAGACGCTCGTATAACCATCAGGCTGATCCTCGACTACCGGGGCCATTGTCAAGCGGGGTTGTTGAAGAGAAGCTTTGAGCCGATCGATGAGCCCCAACAGGAGTGTTTGCAGCTCAAGCCGCTCACCGGGAGAGCTAGCTCTGCAGGCATCAGTAGAAGAGGGCAGGGAATCGGGATCTGCCCTTGGCTTAGGCACCCATTTCTGACACGCCGCCTTGGACTCATAGTGGAAAGAATGAAGGACATTGGACAAGGCTGTCTCGTTTTGATAGTAGAGAAAGTGGATGCCTCTGTAGATCTTGTCGCAGAGGTCGAAGCCCGCATCAAACCTGGCGCGTTGTCTCCGATGGGACGGGGTGAGCGACTTGTCCGGAAGCTCAATGGCAAGATTATATTCGAGGTTGAGGTTGCAAATGATCTTGTCCACCGAATCGGGCCGGTTCTTCCTCGGTGTTGTCGGTTCGGGCCGGGCCGCAGCCATGCCTGCCTTAGCCTCGAGCGACTCTGCCTGAGGAATCAGACACCGAGAATGCGGACGATGCTCAGACGCAGGTATTCTGGGGCAGGGTGTTGCAGGTTCAGGCTAAAGTGGGACCAAGCACTAAAGCAAAGGACAAGCCAATGAGCTAGAATTGGGACGGAGATCCGAGACCATGGGACAAGTCCCGTTCCTAGTAACAGCCGTCAACAACGGGACCGAGAGCGCTAGGCAATTCGGCTCCAGGATGTCTGCACAGTTGGGACAGGATGAATTAGAACCATTGAACCGGGGATACCGATTCAACTTGGCCCGTTTCGCGTCGTTGGGCTGGGACGCGGCTATTAACTCAATCCTTCAGTTTGTCTTGCAGATAGATGCTTCCTATTTGGGAAAGGCGGGGTTCTCGGAATGCGGAGTAAATGACAATCCGGCTGCAACCCTGGAGCCCGAGTGGACCCGAGCCCGGCCTGGAAGGTCACATGCTGCGCTGCGTGATCTCGCGCCCCAAGGGAGGGTCGCGTATCTGCCAATCCCGAACTTCCGCCATCTTGATGGGAAAAGAGGGGTCGCCATCTCGGACTTCCATCGGTATTCAACCCTCCTTCTAGACGACTTTGGGCAATGCCAGTGTACATTGCCGTGGAGTATCGCTGTTAGACGTGTTTCGTATCCTCTTACGTGTCGAACTACCCAAGTCTCCCAGCCTCGTGCCCGCTTCTGCGTGCGGAGATGGCAGACCAACGGGAGAACCCCAGCTTCGGCGATCTGACTCCCGAGGAGGCGAATCGGATCATCCACGCCCACCGCAAGGTGCGCTATGGTGAGTAAAGTCCCTGACGAACCATATCATATATATCTCCTGTCACTGTTGTGCCACCCCAAGATCGAATGCCTCCCTCCCCGCCTCTCCCTCTCTCCCTGTCTCGCTCGGGCACAGTTGCATGTGGGTCGGGATCTCGGGAATCCAATACGGTGTTCCGGTATTTGACCAAGGATATTCTGGCTGATGTCCAGACCACAGGCACCGCCTGTTGGCCATGTAGGCAGCGTAAGGTGAAGTGCGACAACAAAAGTCCTTGCGACAACTGCGTGAGGCGTGAGCATGCCCAACTATGCTCCTATAAACCCAACAGATCAGCCGCCACCAAGAACAGCTCTAGCGGGCCCGAGACACCCCAGAGCCGCAAGCGAGAACATTCGCCAGATGAACAGGATCGCCGAAGCTTAAGCAACGACGCCACCCCAGACACCGGCATCAGGGTGTTCGGTAAGTATGCGAGGCCCCTCTCAACGGTTCTCTTGTCTCACATTCCATCCTACCAGAACCCGACTCGGTGGACGCCTCACGATACTTGGGTCAAAATAGTATCCCTGCACTCTTGAGGGAGCAGGCATCGCCCAACGAACCACAGAAGGGCGTCGATACCATCCGTCAAGACATGCGTTCCATCCTAGGGCTGGACAACACGGCCCCGTTCCCGTTGATGTCCGCTCGGCATCTTGACAGGCTGACTCAGGACATCTCTGCCGAGCTGCCATCGGACCGCGAGGTGATGAAGTGCGTCGGCTCTCCCGTGCAGCCCATCTCCTAGCTTTCCCGATTCCCTCAAAGTCGGCCATCACTAACCAGCCTAGGCTCTTCCGAACATACAAGGAGATCCCTCAGCCATTCTGGGGGTTCGTAATCGATATCGACGACCTCGAATCCAGGCTCATGATCTATCTCGAGGAGCGGGCCAAGAATGCAAGAGCATCAACCAAGGTGGCCAGACGGGTCTCAGCATCGTGGCTTGCTATCCTCTTTGCCGTATTGGCCGTTGGTTCTCAATATCACGACTCGCCCTATCACATCCGGACGCGAGACGCGCAGAAATACATCCAGATATCCTTCCACTTTCTCAGACTCGGCAACTTCCTTCTAAGGTGGGCGAACTTGGCCTGTCGATCGCCTCGGCTCAACCGTACTGATCCAAGCTTAGACCCAATTTCGACTCCCTCCAAGCATTGCTGATGACCAGCTTTGTCCTCCTCAACGACATGAAGGCTGAGGGATCCTGGGCGTTGTTGGGATTGACATGTCGGCTCGCGCAATCCCTCGGCCTCCACCGGCCTCAAGTGATCGACGGAAGGGAGAGTCCCGACGCGAGTAAACGAGAGATGGTCCGCCAAAAACTCTGGTATTGCGCACCCAACCGATATCTACATAATGCTCCTTCAACCCGACTAACCCGATATAACCCAGGTGGACCTGTATTTGGCATGATACCCTCACGTCTCTGTCTTTCGACCGGTAAGTCGAACCCATGACGCCCTTCATCAAACAGGGCCCGAAGACAACTAATATGGAACCAGCTCGCCGATGACAAATTTCCCTAGCTCATCCATCCCGCTGTCACCAACCGCCAACCAAGAAGGCTGGGCGTATCTCGAAATGATGATGCAGCTCTGTCAGATTATATCGCAACGCCTAAACCCCGATGCCGTCGCAACAGCCACCTACGCAGAGATTCTCGACAACTGTGAAGCTGTCGAGAACCTTCGGCACCATGTCGTACCGCAGCTACGGTCCAAGGAAGCATGCAAGTCGGCCCTTGATCGGCTGCAATACTACGCCATCCGGCTTCATAGCTCATTTGTTATATCCGTATGCTGCCGGCCAGCGCTTCGACGAGGCGACAGCAACAGACTGGAGGCTACACACAAGAAGTTCCTGGCGGACAAGTGCAAGGAGAATCTGACAGAAACGGTGCGCATGTTCCTCGCGATGCATCAGCTCTCTGTGATACCCACGCGTTCCTGGGCTTTCACGTACCACGGCCTATCGTCTGCGGTATTACTCGGCATCCTTTGCGAGACCAAAGCGGACCCGGAAGTCCGCCAACTGCAGGGAGACCTAATATCCGCCCTATCGGCTACCGCAGCGAAGGAGGCACACTCCCCGGAACCATACATATACAAGTCGGAGAGGGACATTGAGCTTTCAGGGCCATTGTCACGAGCCCTGACGGCACTAAAGAACATCTATGATCATGGGTCAGTAGTTGGTTCAGGAGTGAAGCTAGAGGGAAACAGCCTGCCGGGCTCAGGCGCACGCACACCGTTGCAAGTCGGCCAACTCTCCGGAGTGACCGCCGGAGCGGCCACCCCACAGGACCCGGCATATCGTGCCGGGCCGCAGCCCAACTTGGATCCGCACCAAAACGCCGCTCTGGCCATGGCCGAGATGCAGCAGCAAGCTGGCGCATCGATGCAAAACTTCGCAAAGTAGGTCATCCCCGAAGTGACCCAGTGTGAGTCTCATCACTTGGATATGGAGTCTCACTCACATTTATCGCAGCACCGGCATGCAATTTGTGCCACCGATACAGCAGCCAGCCATGATGCAGGACTTTGGCAACGTGGATCCCGCAACATACATGTCCCCAATGGACCTCTATGACTCTATATTCTGGGGTGAGTAACTGAGCAATGCTGGCTATGGCCGAGGTGCTGACTCGGTGTCGTCTAGAATCGCCCGACCCGTTCAACACCGAAGTAGACTCCATGACCTTTGACTTCCTCGCCCACCCTCCCCCTGGCCAACCGCAACAGCAGTACTACTTCTAGATCTCGAGGGACTCTTTCCACCTCATGTCTCTGGCATGGATCAGCATTTTCTCTGGCGAACGATTACGGCGCGGGTTGTGGTTCTTACTTGCTACGGATATGACTGTTATGTGTATTACGAGAGCGGGCGGGTCGGGGCGTCTATTAGGATCGATGTAGGCTATATAATGGTGTGGATAGGAACTTCTACGATGACAGATCTATGGTGTTTGATCTCTCGCTTCTGTTTTGAACTCAGTTGTCCGCCTAGCGAAGAGGAACGAACCCAGCCTCCGTTGACGATTTCGTGTCCGCCTCCGAGGAGAGCGGTGCCTACCTAGGAGGAAGGCAGGTCTAGCCACATCTGCTGCATGTATACCTTAAACTTGGTCTCAGGGTCACAGCCAACCTTCAATACAGGAATCATATAACAATCCCAGTGATGTGCAAGCAAGACCTCACTATCGCCGGCACGTGAGGATACTGTGGTACGTTGTACAGCTATGGGCCACCGTAGAGTTCCCTAATTGGCCAATTCCTAGGTCGCACCAACCACGGTGTCGGGACACGCTAAACCTTATCAGCGCGTCCATTGACCTGCGCGACGCGATTCCACATTCAATGCAGAGTCACTTTGCGGAAATTCTGGTCCGCAACCACGATAATGAGTGATTACGACTCGGGGGATGACCTCTTTGACGGGGTAGACGAGGCTCTGCTGCTCTCTGCGCCTGCGTCAAAGCGTGGTGCAGATTCGGCTGGCGACAGTGGGGAGGCTGCAGCTCAGAAACGGCCTAGATTGGATTCACATGCATCAGATGTCTCGGCAGATGCAAGGTCACAGTTGGCCCGAAGGATCCTAAAGGAGCGATTCGGATATGACTCCTTCCGCCATGAGCAAGAACAGGCCATCGCCAGCATCCTCGCTGGCCACAACACCCTGGCCATTTTCCCCACGGGCGCGGGCAAGTCCCTCTGCTATCAGGTAGGTATCGGGCTCCTTACTCCGGGGTTCCACACTGCAGTCGCGTCGGAATGGCCACTAACCCGTAGCCAGATCCCCGCCGTCGCGTTTGAAGAGCTCGACCGCCAGGATGGCTCAAGGGGCGCGGGGCAGCATGGCATTACCATCGTCGTGTCCCCCCTTATTGCCCTCATGAAGGACCAGGTCGACGCCCTCAAGCGGCGGGGCATACAGGCCGACTGCATCGACTCCACCAAGACCTGGGAGCAGCAGCAGGCCACCACCGCCGCGATGCGGAAGGGCGAGCTCCGCCTCCTCTACTGCGCCCCGGAGCGGCTGAACAACGAGGGCTTCGTCGAGGGCATGAAGTACGTCCCCGGGGGGATCCGGCTGGTCGCCGTGGATGAGGCCCACTGCATCTCGGAATGGGGCCACTCGTTCCGGCCCGAGTACCTCAAGGTCGCGCGCTTCGTGGACGAGATCCGCGCCGAGCGCGTCATCTGCCTGACCGCGACCGCGACGCCGAGGGTCGCCGAAGACGTGTGCAACGCTTTCGACATCGGCAAGTCGGCCGTCTTCCGCACGTCTCCGTACAGGCCAAACCTCCAGCTTCAGGCGAGGTCTGTCGCGAAGAAGGAGGAGAAGGATCGCCTGCTCGTGGAATTTCTGCGCAGCCATCCCGGACCCGCCCTGGTCTACGTGACGCTCCAGCAGCAGTCGGTTTCTGTGGCGAGCGCCTTGAAGAGGCAGGGGTTCAATGCCGACTCGTTCCATGCGGGCATGAAGGTCGAGGAGAAGCTGCGGGTGCAGGATGACTTCATGGCGGGCAAGATTACAATCGTCGTGGCCACCATCGCCTTCGGCATGGGCATCGACAAGGCCGACATACGGAATATCATCCACTACGACATCTCCAGCACGGTCGAAGAGTACAGCCAGCAAATAGGCCGCGCCGGCCGGGATGGTAAGCCCAGTACGTGTATGTACTTCATTTGCCCCGAGGACTTCTGGATCCGGGAGAACTTCGCCCGTGGAGACCTCCCGTCCAAGCATTCACTGCGTGGCCTGCTCCAGCAAGTGTTTAATGACGAGGTCGCCGCGCTCCCGGTCGGAGGGACCTTCAAACAGAGTCATTATCGGCAGAGTCGCGAGTTTGATATCCGCCCGAGCCCCCTCGCGATCATCTACGCTGCACTTGAGCTCCGGTTTGGGCTGATCAGAGCCATAACGCCCGAGTACAGCGAGTACAAATTTACTGCGACTTCGGCGTACTATCCCACAATGAAGAGGGATAAAGGGGCCGAGGGCAAAGCCATCTTCGAGGGGTCCAAGAAGGCGGTTAAATGGCACCAGGTCGACCCCGCAGCACTCGCCAATCAGTATGGCCTGCGCAGGACAGATATAGTCCGCCGCCTGAATGAGCTTCATGACCAGGGCATCATCGAACTGAAGGCCGGCGGTGTCGAGCCCCGGTATCGCGTCCTCAAGGCGCTGCCGAGGACGGGGGAGGAAATCGAGGAGCTCGTAGACATGCTCTACATAGACCTGCAAGGCCGGGAAAAGGATGCCCTCCGGCGCGTCCAAGACGTTGCCGCACTGATCACGGGCGAGAAGTGTTTCGCCATGGCTCTGGCGCAACACTTTGGCATGGGGCTCCCGGACGGCAGGGAGAAGTGCGGGAACTGCGTCTACTGCTTCACCGGAAAGGCTGTCGCCCTACCCCCGAGCCCGCCCCGGGCGGTCGATGTTGACGGCATCGCCAAGATCCTCGACGAGTGCGACGTGAGAGACGACCCGAGGTTCCTCGCGAGAGTGGCGTTCGGCATCAAAAGTCCGCGCGTGGCGCAGCTGAAGCTGGATAGGAAGGCGGTATTCGGGTCGCTGGCAAATCATGATTTCGATGTAAGTGTGTGCGTTTTACCTTTTGATGCTTTGATCTTCGGCTGACTGATGAGGAACAGTCTCTCATGCAGGTATTTACAAAGGTTTGTGCGGATATTACATATTAGGTACTGGGTAATCGAGGGAGGCAATCGAGGGAGGCAATCGAGGGAGGCAGACAGATACAGCCACGACTCCCGAGGAAATGAAATCGAGGCCCAGAGCGCATTCCATGTCGGCCAAGCCGAACTTATTAATAAGTACGAAAAGTACGCAGTTTTGTACCAGTAGATCGACCTCATTCAACAACCACGGCCCCGCTTGGTGGCGCCTAACATCGGCTCTTTTCCATCCCCCACTGGTTCTCAGCCCATCCCACTTCCCTTATTCGTGGGCTCCTCATCACATCATCGCCTCACCCACGCTTGCCCCCAAAGACATCCCACCCATTATATAAGTCTAGACCAGTGAACCCTTTGCGAAAATACTACTTTTCTGGCTGCCACAGCGGTGTTTTAAACGAGGATACCCCCATATCTTGCCACGGTTTAGTCTCTATTGTTCTACTCAACCCCGCAGGCCACTCACTCAAGGGATACGAAGAAGAAAGGAATAGCAATGGCAACTCTCCAGGGTACGAATCCCAACGGCGCTGCGCCGCCGTCCCAGGCTCCCAAACTGGGTGTCAAGATGTCGGCGACCGAATTGATCGGGAACACCCCCTTGGTTCGGCTGAACAAGATCCCACAGTCGCTCGGGATCGAGGCCGAGGTCTACGCCAAGGTCGAGCTCTTCAACGCCGGCGGAAGCGTCAAGGACAGGATAGCATTGCGGATGATCGAAGAGGCCGAGAAGAGCGGCCGCATAAAGCCTGGCGATACCTTGATTGAGCCGACCAGTGGAAATACGTACGTGACCCTTGTCTCTTTCTACCCCTGGCCTCCTGCGCGTTGACCGATGCTGGGTTGCTGACACGCCGTTTCGGTCCAGTGGTATTGGTCTTGCTCTCGTCGGCGCCATCAAGGGCTACAAGACAATCATCACGCTGCCCGAGAAGATGTCGGCCGAGAAGGTCTCCGTCCTGCGAGCCCTGGGTGCGACGATCATCCGGACGCCCACGCAGGCGGCTTGGGACAGCCCGGAGAGCCACATCGGCGTGGCCAGGCGTCTGCTAAAGGAGATCCCCAACTCCCACATCCTCGACCAGTATTCCAACAAGGACAACCCCCTCGCCCACGAGTTCGGCACGGCGGAGGAGATCTGGGCCCAGACGGGCGGGAAGGTGAGCGCCATCGTCGCCGGCGCTGGAACCGGTGGCACCATCTCTGGGCTGGCAAGAGGGCTGCGGAAGCACAACAAGGACATCAAGGTCGTGGCGGCGGATCCGTACGGCAGCGTGCTCGCCCTCCCGGAGAGCCTCAACGAGGTGGGGGCAAACACGCCATACAAGGTCGAGGGCATCGGTTACGACTTCATCCCCGACGTCCTCACCCGGGAGCTGGTGGACAAGTGGTACAAGACGGACGATCGCGAGTCGTTCATGTTCGCGCGGCGGCTGATAGCGGAGGAGGGCCTCCTCGTCGGCGGGAGCTCGGGCAGCGCCATGGTGGCCATGGTGCGGGCCGTCAAGGACCTGAACCTGGGCAAGGGCGACGTCGTGGTGGTGGTGCTGCCCGACAGCATCCGGTCGTACCTGAGCAAGTTCGCCGACGACGACTGGCTCGCCGCCAACGATCTGCTGCCCCTCGCCGACCCCGTCAACGGCCCCGACGCGCCGGTGACGACGACGACGACGCGCTCGGGCGCCCGCCGGCCCAGCGACCCGTACGCCGGCGCGACGATCCGCGAGCTCAGGCTGAAGCCCGTCACGTCGGTGCTCTCCGACAGCCCGTGCTCGGACGCCATCGAGACGATGCGCGAGAAGGGGTTCGACCAGCTGCCGGTGCTGGCGCCGACGGGCGGAAAGCTGGTCGGGCTGGTGACGCTGGGGAACCTGCTCAGCTACATCTCGCGCGGGCGCGCCACGGGCAGGAGCCCCGTCAGCGAGGTCATGTTCGACTTTGGGCGGCTCGACGAGGTGGTGACGGAGCCGAGGGAGCTCGTGGCCGGGGTCGAGGCCAAGAAGAAGAGGAAGTTTGTGCAGATCACGGTCGACACGCCGCTCGCGGCGCTGAGCAAGTTCTTCGAGTGGAACAGCGCCGCCGTAGTGACGGAGAAGGTGGAGGGTGGTGAGAAGAAGCCCATCGCCGTCGTGACCAAGGTGGATCTGCTGAGCTGGATGGTCAAGCACGTCAAGACGTAAGAACAGATTGGGGTGATGTGGTGGAGGACGTGGAGGATTGTCCGACCTACTTGCAAGTGCCTGGGTGCAGAATACAGGTTGTGGGGTAGCAATGGAGTTCGGGATGGGGGTCATCTCCGGAGCATATCAGAATACAGTAGAAGATGGTGGCAGGGCTCGACGCCGAGCTGGGCTTCAGGGGCGCCCAATAATAGACATCTGGAGAACGGGTTCAACACCGTTCAACACATATAAATGCAAAGGGAATATGTCAAGTCGTCTAGTGCTCTTGTATTATTATTGACCTGCACACGTAGTAATTGTGTCGTCGGCAAGTCCACTCCCCCAAACTACCTATCCTTCTCCCCCAGGTCAGATCCTGTCCGCAATCCACTTCCACCACTTATCCACCCCAGGCCCCTCGCCAACAACATTGCCGCCGATGACATCAACCTCGACACCAAACTCCATCATCTGCCCAAAGCTAAACTTCTCACTCCCATACTCCCCAAGCCACCCATCCGCCTCCTCCGGCCCACCCCCATCAACCTCATCAGCACCGACCCCAGAGTCCGGCAACGCCCTGCTCCTCGTGCTCCGCAGACGACCCAGCTCAGACTCGAGCCCGCTGCGCACCAGCGCGGCCGGCAGCGCCGTGAACAGGTCCAGCTTGTTGGCGGCGACCAGGACCGGCACGGACCCCGGGCCCCGGCTCGTCCGCGCCGCGGCGGCGCGCCGCTGCAGCGAGAGCAGGACCTCGTACAGGTACTCTGCCGCGCCGGTCAGGCCGTCGGCGTCGGCGGCGTCGACGACGAAGACGACGGCGCGGGGCGGCTTGCCGGGGGCCGGGGAGGAGCCGGACTTGGAGAGGTCGGACGAGGAGGATGAGAGGCGCGAGAGGGCGTGCTGGCGTAGCTTGCCGTGGCCTGGGGTGTCGAGGAGGAGGAACTTCTTGGCTGCGCTGCCGGTTGCGTCGAGGTCGTCGCGGAAGGAGGAGGTGCGGTCCTCGGAGACGGCGAGCTCGACGGCTGAGGGGGTTTGGGAGGTGTGCGTGGGCGCTGCCGCGGGGGTGGATGGCGACTTGGTCGTCTGTGGGAGGGGCCCGCGCTCGAAGAGGGTGAGGAGCGCTGTCTTGCCTGCGCCTGAGGGGCCGACTAGCAGGACGGAGGGGAGGGAGGTGTATCCCGTTGCGCGGCCGAGGATGTAGTGGAGCAGGACGGGGAATAGGATGATCACCGCGACGCCGATGGCGAAGACGGCGGGTGAGGGCGTGAACATTGCCTCGAGGGCGGATTTGAGCTTGTCCATCTTGGCCGTTGGTTGGTCGCCTCGTCCTCCTGCGGCGATGCTCGTTGTAGTGCCGATGCGTGAAAGGAGGTGGGTGCAATGGCGGAAATGAAATTTACTGTTTAAATAGTCGCGTTGGGCATCGGGATTGGAAGTATGAGCTGATCTGGACACTTCAGATCCCGCCTCCGAAACCTAGTTCAATGGCTCCATCATGGTGCCACTCGGCTTGCACACCTGCCGGGCCTATTGCCAAGTGGCAGGGCTGCACTGACTAGGTACGTAACCCACAAAGAGCCAATCAGCGGGCCAGTGGCGCGGCCAACTGCTCAGCCTCGCTGCCGGCCGAAAAGGGTCCGCGGCTGACGAAGATCATCATCACGATCCCTGAACAATTCGCCGGCGCCATCTCAGCCGGACCGGTTCGTTTTATTTGGTGTTGTTGTTTTCCAACCCATCCCAGGGCGCTTCTATTGACTTTGCTGGTGTCTGTTCTTCGCGTGCCCTTGACTTCCTCCTGAACCTGATACTGGTGCTTATATACCCGATTCACTCAGCATGTTGGTTTTGCGGTCCATCTTTTGAACCTCATAGAAACCCCTTACTCCGTCTGGCGCAGTTTCTGGCCATATTTCAGGAGGCAATCGAAGAGTATCAAACCGCTCGAACCATCGGCACGATTACCGGCCAAACCGGGGCCCTTTCCCACCCAAGTCATCAAGCATGAGCAACCCAAGCAACACGGCACCGGGGACTGCAGCCCCTGTCCAACCATCCGCCAAATCCTCAACGGCTGCTCCGAAACTGAACAACGAGATGGAAATGGGGGATCTGCCGGGCGATGCGGCCCAGAATGACATCATGCAGATTGCTCGCGTGGGGGACATACCCGCCATGGAGAAGCTGTTTGAGTCGAGCGAGTTCGATGCGACCTACACCGACGAGGAGGGGATCACACCATTACATGTACGCTATTCCTTCCTCTATTGGCCCCTGTGCAATGATTTCCGATTATGCGTTCTCGAGATTACCTCTCGTCCCGAACTGGAATATGTCACTAACCATCCCTCGACAGTGGGCTGCGATCAACAATCAGTTTGCCATGTGCAAGTTCCTCATCGACAAGGGCGCCGATATCAATAAGAAGGGCGGCGAGAGCGTCGCAACCCCCCTCCAGTGGGCGGCGCAGCGGTGCCACTACTACACCGTCCACCTGCTGCTGCAACACGGAGCCGACCCCCTCATCACCGATGCCCAGGGCTACAACACGCTCCACATCAGCACATTCAACGGCAATGTCCTGCTGATCGTCCTGCTCCTGCACCAAGGTATCCCCGTCGACGTCGAGGACACGTTCGGTCACACGGGACTGATGTGGTCTGCCTACAAGGGGTTCCCGCAGTGCGTCGACCTCTTCCTCCGCTGGGGAGCCAGCGTCCACGCCACCGATGAGCAGGGCTTCACCGCCTTACACTGGGCGCTGGTCAAGGGAAGCCCGGGGTGCATACAGAAGATGATCGAGTATGGGGCGGACCGGTTCGCAAAGACCCAAACCGGCAAGACCCCGGAAATAACGGCCCAGGAGTTGAACACGGCCAACGCGTGGCACAGAGCGCTCAAGGAGTGCGGGTATGACAGCGACGGCAACCCGCATGTGCCCAGCTTCCCGGGTGCGGCGCACTTCCTGAAGGACAGGAAGACGTTCATAAACCGGTTCCTGTTCCTGTGGCCTTTCTTGGTTGTGTGGGCGATGCTGGTGATCGTGGCGGGGATGCCAATTTACGCTGGGGTGCCGATCTCCCTCGTCGTTGGCTATGGACTTCAATGGATGGCACAGCAGGTTCTGACCTACGCGCCACCCGATATGAGATCGCTGCAGCGGACGGTAGGCCCATCTTGCCCCTTCGCTCTTTTCCCTCTCCCTCGCCGTTCTTATGCTGACTTCGCTGCTAGCCGTGGTTGTCGGGCATCTTTGCGGGCTCGCTCTTCCTAGTCGGCGTCAGTTGGTTATTTACCATCTTCCCACGCACGGCACTCCGAGCAGACCCGTTGCAGACGCACTGGCTACTGAACTTGGCATTCGCTGTCGTGTTCAGTCTCACGACGTACTTCTTCATAACGAGCATGATGTACGACCCCGGGTTTGTGCCGAAACTGAACGGTATTGCGGAGCAGAAGGCTGTCATTGATGAGCTCATCGGCCTCTGGAAGTTCGACGAGACAAACTTCTGTGTTACGTGCATGATCCGCACGCCGCTCAGAAGCAAGCACTGCCGGAGATGCCAGCGCTGCGTCGCGAAGCATGACCAGTGAGTCCCTTATCATCCGCAACCCCTTGGCTGCTATTTCAGTTTGGCTAACCACCTTGTCCGTCTCCAGCCACTGCCCCTGGGTCTACAACTGCGTAGGCATCAACAACCACAGGCACTTCTTCCTGTACCTGATCAACCTCGCGCTCGGCATCATCTCCTACGATTGGCTCATCTACTACTGTAGGGCATTCTTTCTACAACTATTTCCATGCTCGTCGCTAACGCTGTTACCGCCAGACTTCTCAAATATAGATCCAAGTGTCTCGGACCAATGCAACCTCCTCGCCCCTTCGATTTGCCGCGTGGTCAACGCCGACAGCTACACAATGATACTAACCATGTGGACCACGCTCCACCTGACATGGGTGAGCATGCTTCTCTTCGTGCAGTTCATCCAAGTTGCCCGCGCCATGACCACCTACGAGAACATGTTCGGCGTTGGCCACCACTCGGCCGCATCCCTAAACAGCGTCTTCACCTCCACCGGCGCGCCCCTCGACCCCAGCCAGCGCCCGCTCGCCGGTTCCACAGCCTCCCCGGGCGCCGCCGCCGACGGCCAGGGCCACGGCCACCGGCACCGGCACAAGGGCTTCCTCAAGCAGTGGAGCCAGCTGCTGGGCGTGGACGCCTTCATCGAGACGGCCACGGGCCGCGGCGCCGCGACGGGGTCCAAGAACAAGCGGAGGAAGTGGAACCCCTACAGCCAGGGCTGCCTCACCAACTGCCGCGACTTCTGGTGCGACCCGGCGCCCGTCTTCGGGAGGCGCGACACGGGCGCCGCCGTGCTGGGCGGCCACGCTGTCAACTACACCGATATGTACGAGAGCCCGGGCTTGATGGACGCCTCGGGCGGGAGGTCGGGTGGGTATCAGCCTGTTGCTGGGGAGGAGGTCTGAGGGTTTGTTGGATGTTGTGGCTTTTGGGTTGCTGAGTCGGTTCACCGAGAGGGTATGTAATGTATACCTGCCAAAAGGGGTGGTTAGGGCGGGAAAGGGACTGGCGCAAACCCCAGAGAGGGGTTGAGGCGATGGCCACGATACGATTAGATGGGTCGGGTTGTAATTATTTGGCTCTCCGTGCTATCCTGGACAAGGGGTCCGTCCTGGGTAGCCGGCTTCGGAGTCTCGGCACAGCGGCTTGATGTCGTCTCTTGGGAGACCTTATTTTACGAGCGGCTCCTGCAAGAAAGAACGCTGATTTGAATGGCAGCATTTGATACGTTTGACTACTCCAGACCCGTCACTTATTGCTTATCACGTCTTTGTCGGCCGTGAATGCAAAGACTGCGTTTATTACCAAGAATCCATTTCATTCCCAGGCCACAAGAGCAAACCAACTCCCGCCCCACCCCATTCACTCATCTTCCCATTCTTCCCCCTCCTTTCAAGACAACCCAGAACTCGAGCAACCACTCCGCTTACTTCCCCCCTCCCCGCTCCCCCATCTCCGCATCTCCAACCGGCTCCTCCCGCACCTCCCAGCGGCTCCTCCTCCATGCCCACGCCGCCAGGCCCAGGATGATGACGAGCCCCGTGGCGCCGACGCCGACGCCGGCCCAGGCTGTCGCGCCCGGCCCCGGTCGGGGTTCCTGGTAGTCGCGCCGGTGGTGCTGGTGGTGGCGGTCTCCTCCGTCATTGGATAGGGCGTGGTGGTGTGCGGGCGTGGCCTGCACGACGAGGCTGGTGGCGGGCGAGGCCGTCTCGGGGGACTGGGTTGGGGGTATGGGCATTGTTTGGTGATTGGACTTTGGGGCCTCGGTTTGCATGGCTGGGACTGCTTGGTGGTGGGAAGGGTTTGGTTCAGTATGGTCTTGGGTCTGTTGGTGGGTTTTATAGGAGAGCTCTGGGTGCTCCGGCAGTTAGTTGAGGACTTCTAGGGGGCCTTGCTGGATATTGGATGACTCCGTTTCGAAGCAAACCTATCTTGAGGGTCAAGTAGTATGTGAATGAATGGTTACTTTCCAGATAAAGCAACCAGATTGAAACAGATTGCTTTTTTGTTACACTCATTGTCTGAAGAGACACAGTTGACTCCGGTTCTTTGTTTCTTTGTCATATTGACTGATACATCGTCCTTGTCCCCAAGCCTTCCGAGCGGTGTCTTTGTTGCTGAGCGATAGATCCCATTATCCTAGTCCTCCCTCTTCCCTATAAAATCCACCGCTACTGCACATCTTGAGACCTCGCCAGATCCTCGGACACTGAGACAGCTTCACCAGAGCCTTCAGAATAAAAACCCACCAAAGACTAACCGTCGTCATAACAGCTCAGAGACATCATCAAGTCGCCATCATGGGGGCCAACACGTCAACCATTTTCCGCCACGGCACCCCCGGGGGTGGCCAGCTGATCAGCCCTAGGGATGGTACGAAGTTTTCTACCCCCGTCGCCGCAGTTGCGTGGGCAATTGTTGGGTTCAGCGGGTTGTGCGTAGTCGTTGCCGTTGGGGTCTACGTCTACAGGCGCAACAGACGCAACAGGCAGAGACGGGAGGACGTGGAGATGCAGCCCCGGTGATTGTATGGGAGCTGCGGGGGGGGGAGTAGAGCGAGTGTCTGTCTGCCTGGGTCAGAGAGGCCAGTTGAGAATATATCAGTGAATTTCCGAGCTATGGCTGTTTTTGGCAGATATAGTTGAGATGCAATTCCGTTTGCCAGCAGTCTATACCTAACGTCTTTTCTGGTGGAAGAAGCTGGTCCTAGGCTCTAAATATCAGGGGCATGCGAGCCACTGTGGCTGGGAGACAGACACCTAAGACCGCTTGCCCTACTACCTTCTAACTACTACCTACTGGCCTCCTCCCTGTGACCTAGAGGGTACTCTGTCGTCTCCATCGTCCTCCACTCCGCACTTGACCAAGATCCCTGACACTCAACCTTGCGGAGGATTAATTAGTTATCAGTTGCGCAGAATGCATCGAGATACTTGAACGACGTAGTCCCCTCCTCCACAGGCTCTCTGCCACCATCAGCCCAGGCAAAGCCGTACCGGAGAAAGAGGCCAGCCATTCTAGCAATCTGGATCGACTGCTTATCTTCCTCAGAAATGCCTCCAACATCAGTTTCAAAGGTCCGCCAAAATAAGTCCCGGAGCGAGTGATGATGGGGGTGGTAGTGCCATCCCTGGGAGTTCATAAGGCGCAAAACATTCTCCAGCCCCCATAGAGAAACGCCGAACAGACAGATTCTGGCCTCAGCCCAGTGATGTGCCCGGCGCCGGGATCCATGAGGATGGTCATCTCAGAGATATCACCGTGAGTGAGCGCTAGAGGATAGCTCGAGGTGAATAACGATGGAAGCCCTGCGCAGACCTTGTCCAAGTTCTCTCGAAAGCGAGAGGGTAGGACTTGGGAGATATGCTCGAACCTTGACTGATACTCACTGGAGATGGCCTGAGTCTCTTCTTGGGTCATGTGTTGCCTTGCCTTCCACGATGCCGCAAAGAAACTAGTCGGGGTCAGCAAGGCTCAAAGCGACCACAGGGGCTCGGCATACAGTGCATAATCTGTCACAGTGTTGGAATGTTGCGGTCCACTCCCTGGCGATGTTCCAGTGAGAGTACTATAGCGGGATTTGTACCGAAACGTAGGGCATCCCAGGTAGCTTTTCCATCACGTAGACAAAGAGCAATCCACCAATCTTTCCGTGGAAAGTATAGTCGGCCACGATCTGTACATGAACTTGCCGAGCTAAGTCTAGAGTTTTTGTATCTAAATCCGACTCCGGATCTCGAAACTGGACGATCTTGGACTGCTGGGCTCCTGCCGTCACGGTATAGCCAAATGAGCCCTGTATACGCACAGGACAGACGGGCCTACCGACGAGGGAGACGGCAAGTTAATCACATTGTTGCTGCGTCACTGTTGGCTGGGATGCAAAAAAATCATTGATTGCATTTTCAAGGGAATAGATGACAGGTCTCATCGTGGTAACATCTCGTAGTTGTTAGCATAGCTGTTAACCTCAACTCTACCTTTGAGGCACCTACGCCTCTTGGAGGTCGATCCCAGTCTAGACGAGCTGTCCAGCACGCACAACTAGAGTTGTCTTGACCGATCTTGACCTTTAGGGCAGTCGGTCTAGGCGAATAATTTGCTCAAATGGCGGAGTGCTCGTCAGAGTGTAACCTGAGCGCCAATTCACCGCTTGCTGTGCGACAAAACGGGCAAGAACGGCAACACCAGCTTACGGTTCACTACTGCATAGTAAACACGTCTCTTTAGGAAGACTTGTTGAATCATGCACCGCTGTTCAACCGGCCCGGATTGCTATTGGGTCTTTCTCCCAGGCGACTGCTGTGTGACCAATACGCAGTAGTCACAACAACCAATAGCCCTCCCCCCAGACGGCTCACACCCCACAGCGCCACGCACACCATCAGCATTGACAAACTAGCGTGCATCTACAACGGATATGAGTGGGGGGCCCAGGACAATGTGATGCCACGAGCTGCACAGCATCGGCAAAAAGGGGGCACACCTAGGCAGCTGAGCAAAGTGAGGGGGTTTCGGATTTGGCCCGAGTATAAATACCGCCGAGGGGGAAACCCCTCTCTCTCTCTTGTCTGACTCCCTCCCTCTCCTCATCGCCTCCTGTTTACTGCCTTAATTCAAAAGCGTTGTCATCAAACCTCGTTGCTTCAAACACAGCTATAACAGGTCTAACCACCTCCACCCCCACAAATACCCATTCAAGATGTGCGGAAGCGATTGTTCCTGCGGCACCGCCTGCAGCTGCTCCAACTGCCCCGTTCACAAGTAGGGGGGGTTGATTTGATTTCCTACCCATCTGGACGTGAGTCTTGTCAGCTCAGGGGGAGGGAGGCCTCATCCGGGGTTAAATCGTCCGTCGCTGACGCACAGCCCAGCGAGTCAGTCAGATTCATTCGTGTTGCGGTGCTGCGTTCTGGGGTCGAGGAAGTTCCGTTCTGGTTGCTTTGCCGCTCATTACTCTGGGGTGTGGTGAATGAATCCGGGAAGCTGTTCGTCTGGTTTAGCCCTTTGTGTATATCTTTACCTCACGGCTGTGGTTGCTGTTTGTGGTTTCGACGACTAGGGGAAGAGAAGGGAAGACTGGTCCGCGTTGCAGTATTTACTGATCCGACATCTAAATTGAAAGATCTGTTGTCACCGTCATGCCCGAGTTGCCCATGTTTTCTCACTTGCCTTCTCGTTGTGTTCCCCTCTGTAAGAAGGACACAGAACTGGCTGTGACATGTTTATAGTAGACTACACATCGATGACTGCTCCCGAAATTGGGAAACTGGGATCATGAGCTTGTTGCCTGTTCGGAGAGCGTGTAATTATCACGTATATGTTGTAAATATAATCTGCAATGTCTGATCCTGCTTCTCCCGGGCATGTTAATCCATCAACTAGAGGGCTTGCACCCTTCCAACCGCTTCCCAAAAGGCATTTCCATCGTATAGTCTGCCAGGGGAGTATCTACTGCCATGAGAGATAACTATCCCTTATCGAAAGACTAAATTAATGACTGCGGCAGCTGCGGCAACAGCGGCAAAGCTTCACTCACCCCCCACCCCAACACAAAAAAAATCCCACATGACAGTCACAGGAACCACGGAATATGCTGCCTCAAGCGGTACGATCTACCATGCAAGTTCGATCGAGGCTAACTAACTGCCTACCACTACCTATGCCATGACCTATCAGCTATGATACATCGCCGCCGACCCCCTGCCGAGATCCGAAAGCGGTCGGTCTCTCGCCGACTCGCCACTCGCGTATCAAAACTCGAGTGAAAACGCTCGATATCTGGTGGTCCCAGATAGACAAAGCAAAAAGTTAGAAAACGGGGAAACAGAAAAAAAGGAAAAGTGAGCATAGTAATATACAAGGGGGCCACATATCCGCCTCCCTTTTCCAACAGCCACGCCGGTGCCGCTGACATGAATGACGGGCCCACGAACCGGCGGTGATGTCCGAGTCTCAACCCATAGAGGCCCTAACACTCACCTTACGAATGCGACCACTACGCCGCAGGCCGTTCTCAGCGTCGTCCGAGCCCACCTGGATCTCCACCTGCACCTCCACCTCCTCCTCCTCCTTCGCAACCGCCCGACCCCTGCCACGCTTCTGACCAAGCCCGGCCGCATCTTCCTGTGCCAGCAGCCTATCCCTGTAGTGCGCCCTCCCCCGGACCTTTGCCTCCTCGTCGGCTGCCAGGAAGCGGTGCACCATGCGGTGGTCGAGCACGCGCTCCTCGCCGTCCCCGCGCCCGCCGCGCTCCGTCTTGGGCCACACGTAGCCGTACAGCTTGGAGTGCCGCTCGCACCGCGGGCAGCTGCTGCGCGTGTAGTACGCGTCGCGCTGCACAAATGCACTGTTGCAGTTGGTGCAGTGGATCCACGCCGTCTCCGGCTCCGACAGCAGCAGCGGCGTCAGCGTGTAGTCGCCCGGCAGGCGCCGCCGCTGCTGGGGCTCCTCCTCCTCCCCCGCATCAGCCGACGGCGCCGGGGAGGCCGCCGGCGTCCGGCTGACGGCCTTGCGTTTCCGGTTGGCGACTGCGGGCTCCTTCGGCTTGGCGGGTGGCTCGCTCTTGCGAGGGCGGCCGCGACCGCGCTTGACGGGGATCGGGGCATCGGTGGCGGTCGGCGTCGCTGCCGACTGGGGAGCCTTCGATGGAGTGAGCAGGGGGTCGTCTGGGGCGAGGGACCTCTCGTTCGGCGAAGTCGGTCTCTGGTGGTGAGTAGCGCTCTCCAATGCCGGTTTAGTGCCAAGGCTTCCCATTGCCGGCAGTACAATCAAATGGGGGTTATTCCCACTCGGATCTCGTGCTCCTTCGTCAGACGAGGATGGAGACGTGGCTGGAAGATTGGCGGACGGCAGCATTAGTCGAGATATATCGAATGGCGGCATGGCATCCGGGACTGTTTGGACCGTGATCTCATCCACCGCGTCCTCCTGCTTTATGACTTGGATGGACCGCTGGATTGGAGTCAGTTCCGGAGAGCGGATGATGGGCTCCGGACTATCCTCTGCGGGGGTCGTGACATCCGTCAGCATCGCATCCCCCTGACCAGCCTCGGAGGCTACAGGGCTGGGCCCAAACCCGGCGTTGGAACTCCCACGAGAGCTTGGCGATCCCGGCATCACGGGAGTGAGTTCATAATGCGTAGTTTTCTGCTTCTTGGCCGGCGTGACAGGCGGCGTGGCGAGGGTGTCTCGCTTGCGTTTCAGCGCCGATTTCCGGATGCCGGACGGCTCGGGTGCGGCAGAGCCAACTGTGGAGGCGCGGCCTCCCAGCATCCTCTGGCTCTTGGATCGTTTCAGCACCCGCGGCCGAATGTCTGGCGTTACCGACGGGGTCCTCGAGGACGCACCGCACGCGCTCTCGTCCCGCCTGCGACGGCGCAGCGAGTATCCCTGGGTGGCACCGACAAGGTCGTCCTCTATGCTCTTGGTCACGGCGACACCGCCATCCTCGTTCTTCCAGCCATTGACCAGGTTCTCCTCGCAGGTCCGGCACAAGCATTCGCAGTTATCCTCTCCAAAGTAATTCTCACCATAGGTGACCGTGATCTCGTCCCCCACATCGATGGGCTTGCAGGCGATGATCTCGATGCCGGCCTGGCCGCTCGTAACCAGCCTGGCGTTGGCATCGCAGTCATGATTTGCGAAGCGAGCAGGGCCCATGAATAGGCTTGTGCATTTGTTGCGGCTGCTGACAACGATGCTAAAATCCTTCTTCCGGAGCGCCATCTCTGCCTCTTCCTCGGGCGTGATCACCACTTGAATGCCGGACAGGTACTTTATGGTCTCGTTGGGCTTGATGTAGCGGCGCGCGGTGACGCTGGCCTCGTGGGTAACAATCGTGTAGCGATTTGTGGCATTGACCTCGAATGGGCAGTCGGAGAGATAGATGGACATGTACCGTCGCAGGTGTGCTCGGAAATCGTCTTTCTCCTTGGGAGTTTTGAGCGAGTTGCAGAACTTCTTGAGCCCATCGGTCGCGAGCAACTTCTCCTCGGCGGCAGCCATGTCCTTGTCGAGGATTAAGTGGGTTTGGATAAGTTTGCCAATCTCGTTTTCTCTGACGCCGCGTGACGGGTGATACGAAGGCCTGTTCTTGGGGATTGTTGTCCAGTAGTAAACCTGCCATCATGTCAGATTCTTGATCCATCAAACGTTCACTGCCCGGCCAGGGGAACCAATGGAGTGAATGGGCGTAACCTACATGGTCAACGAGCGCATCAGTAAGGATGTCATCGTAGGCGGCCAATTGCGCCAAGGTCAGTTGCTGTCGCTTCGAGGGAGTCGCGGTTCGAGGCATTGCGAGCTTGTTTCTGGACAACGAAAGAATGCTGCTGGCGGATTGAATCGCTCACGGTGCTCGTGTCAAGGGAGTGGATGCGCAGAGCGCGGTAAAAAGGAGTGGACGAAGGAAGAGTCTTATTAACGGGTCTCCTCCATGCGACCCAGGCCGGTTGGGGAATGCTGACGAGCCGATTTGGGCGAAGTGAGACAAGAAAGGAGAGGCACGATCCAGCCCGGAGGTCGGATGCAATGGATGCAACGGATGGGAGTCCAAAGACCAATTCAAAACGATCCAATCGAGTTATGAGTCTCGCACATCTGCTGTCGTCATCTAAGGCGGGTTGCGACAGCAACACTGCAGGGATATTGGAGGGGGCTGGTTGGGAATATGCAGGGGAGAAGTTCGAAGGTGTAGTTGAAGTTGGTTGAATTACTGGAGGCGGCGAGAAATCGATAGGCCGTTTGACGTCGGGTAAGGAGACAGTCGGAACTTATTGCAGTTGTTGTCCCCCAGAAGAATAAGGTTGCGAAGAAGGGGAGGGCTCCTACCTCCTTTCTATTGTCCGCTACATCCTCCACACAATGGAAAATGAGGAGGCTAGGGAAGCAATGGGCAGGGGTTTGGCGCTAGTAAAGTGGTTGCATGAAGCTCTTCCTCATTGGACTTGGCATTGATTACATAATTCTGCCGACCCTTTGCCGGACTTTTTTCCAACTTCGCAGCATCGCGAGTCTAAACGCGGAACTCGATCGATATCAATAACAGCTGGCCGGGGCGGAAGCTGGGGCAGATCAGACAACATGATTCAATTAAAGGTATGTGTGCATTGATCCATTGGTTCGGTATGCCTTCCGCTGTTGTTGGTACGGTCGCTAACACAGCCCAGACGATGCTTAACTGCATCGACAACTCGGGTGCCGCCCTCGTCGAATGCGTCATGGTTGTCGGCCAGAAGAGACATGCGTCAATCGGTGTGTTTCCCCAGTCTATGAATTATCTCTCACTCCTCCGGGTCTGACGAAAAACAAATCTAGGCGACCGGATCGTTGTTGTGGTCCAGGAACAGCGCAACGCCTCGTCTCAAGGCATGGCAAGCTCATCAACCAGTCTCAAAGTCAAGCGGGGCGACATGCGGCACGCGGTGGTTGTACGGACGAGGTACAAGGTTGGAAGGGGGGACGGCAGCGTGGTGCGATTCGACGACAACGCGTGCGTGCTCATCAACAAGTCGGGCGACCCCGTCGGTAGTCGAGTAAATGGCGTCGTCGGCTCGGAGCTGCGCAAGAAGAAGTGGAGCAAGATCTTGAGTATGGCTCCAATGCAGGTTTGACCGGTCATGGCTCTCTGACTGGGCTGAGATGGGGATGCCGTGTACGTTGTTACGAGGAGGGCGGGCTGGAGGAGCGGATGGAGAGATGTATCATGCGTCTCAACTGGATGTACCATATAAGCAAGGCATCGTGGCGGAGTTGGATGGCGTCGTCGATGGCAAGGCAGCCAATAGAACCAAGATCTGTTTTCCGACGGCACTCGAGGATAAATAGGGCTTACCCCGTGCTTATAGCTAGGATATGGATGACCCGAAGGGTGTGTAGAGTCACGAAGCACGAGTTGATAATAAGACGGCATTGACGATGAATTGACATTGAGAACTCCGATATCTAATCCGAAACGCCAAATACAGAGTATACTACTACCCTTTACGAAACCAAGCCAGCCACGCCCAAACTCCTTTCCATGCTAACCCTTCGCAAGACAACGCAAACGTGGGTATCGGGGGTATTCGCTTATTGGAAGATGTTTCCGCAATCACAACAGACGTAGAAAAGTTTCTGGCGACCGATTAGCGAGGTGATTGTCGTGAGAGGCTAACCGCGAGGCAGGGTCATACCATTCCTGTTTCAGCACTCCGTTGCTGTGACTGGAAGAAGACGGCCTCGGGGTGTTTGCACACCGGACAGATCTTGTTGGACCGCGGGAGCTAGAAGGCGAGAAGACAGTATGTCAGCCACATGATGCTTCGCGCAGAAAAGCCAACTCGATCCTGGGTGGAAAAGAGAGAAGCAGATCCCAAAACGCAACGAATCAATCATGCTTATGCACAGCCGCTTTCATCCTCCGTCTCATGGCTGGCTGGAAAGAAAATGTCGGAAGAGGACCGAGCGGGAAGGAAATCGCAACGCCGTGGAATGGTACAAGTCGTCGTCCGAGTCGTCGTAGAGGTCGCCTATAAGTCGTAGCTAGTCGCCGGTTTTCAGCGCGGGAGGAGTCGAGATCGATGTCGACTTCAGAATACACCGAGCAGCGCGTCCTCCTCAATATTGGACCGATCTCCATCCTCGCCAGCATACCCCTCATCCATGGAATCGACATCCATATCCAAGCATCCGATAGTTTTGAACAGTTCGTCGAGGGAGGTGATCGATTCGAGGGAGTCGGTGGATCGGCGGCGATCGTCGTCGTCCTTCACCACGGCCGCGGCAACATCATAGGCAGCCACGACAGCCGGATGCATCTCGCAAACCTCACAAATGACAATCTTACCACAGCAAAGGCAGAAGACAGGGGTCATGATGCTAGTGTTGTCAAGAGGAGAAGAAAGCGCGCAGACACCCACCGTTGGATCAGACGAGACATCTTGGGTCACGCCGGCAGTCTCTCCAACAGCGTTGTTGAGGACATTTCGGTAGATGCAGGTCGACGTCGCTTCTTCGGTGTACTGGCAGGTGCGGCAGGTGAACTGCAGCTTGTGGCTGTCCTCGTCTTCCTTGGGGTACAACATGTTGCTGCATTCAGAGCAGAAACGGAAGGTGATCTGCTCGGTATGCTTGGGCCTGGAGCCCTCGTTCGAGGTGGTGGAAGGAGCGGGGCTGGTCATGGTGGCCACTGAAGACAAAAAAAAGGTGCGATGCGACGTGGAGATAGAGTTGATAATTTGTGGTTGTGGTGAGGAAACTTGTCTTCGTGCTTTCGTTTTTTCTGGCTGAGGTCGGGTTTTTAGTGGGGGTCTCGAAAGGTCGCGTCGCGGTGGAAGTTGCCACAGGTTTGAGTCACAGTACCTAGGTAGGCACGTGCTAAGGATGTACTGTACAGTACCTATTTCGAGGGGCAAAAACCCTTCAGCCCTGCCTGGAAGTGTGCGGATTGATTAGGATTTCCAGATTGACAGGAACAGCAAACCCCAACTCCTTCAGTCTAGGGTGTATAGGCAGGGAAAATCACCACAGCGTTGGTCAAGGTATCTTATACGTTCCAGGTTGCTCAGTTGCAGCAAAAGAGACGGGGAATGGATAGAACTGGAGCACGGACCAACTACAAGCGATGGATGCTGAATTGCTGATGGCTTCCTTTGTTTCAGTTGCGGCGACGGAGAAGGATGCCAGGCAGAATCCATATACTACGTAGCGCGAAGCTGATGTCAGTGAATCAGGTACCACATGTGTGGGCAGTAATGAAACCTGCAGCCTGCACCTAGTGAGCGTTCTGGAAGGTGTAGGTTGGCACGTTAGGTAGCCGACAATCTCCTGAGCTCGAGTGACGACAAGTGACGAGTGACGACAGGGGCGCGATTCAATGGCAACCGCCAATGGGGAATCTGCCCTCTCGAGTGTCGATCCCCCTCCTATTCTACCGGGTTTCTTTTCCCAACAGGCTGTATCGGTAAACCTCCAGGTGTAGTGCTTCTCTGGCTCATGACCTCGTGATTCACGTGGGCATTGCTTGATTGAAATGGGTGGCACACCTAAATTACACACGTGCAGCTTCGTCGGGGGTGGGCAGCTGGTCCCCCCAACTTGGTGCAGTGGGTGCAGTGGGTGCAGTGGGTTGCTTCTTTAGCTCCTGGCCCCGCTTGTCTACCCGCCGTCGACCACTGGGATGGCAGCTGATGATGCAGGGTCAGATCTGTGCCTTGGAGCTTCCAGTTTCCCCTCCAACCCCGCTTCGAGTTAAGAGTGCTTGGGCTTCCCCCCATCTCGTCTCACGTCAACTCGCAACCGTCGCTCTCCAACCGTCATTCGTCAACCCCGAATGTCACTGGTCCATTCCAAGCTTCCATTCTTCCATTCCCTCCTCCCGTCGCAGCTCTTTCCCACCGTACCTACCTCACCTATATAGGTATCCAGCCCATTTGCGCAAGCCAACGGCGTGTTTGGTACTGTGTAGTCCTCCGTAGCCCATTGGACCTGCAGTTGTCCAGAGACACAGACCTGGGAACAGAAACACGATCTTGGTAACCCCTAAAATGAGCGAGGTCAGTGGTATATAGCAGCCTTGTCTGCTCGTCCAGGCCACCCGAAGCTATTTCCTCTCCAATGCCTCCCCATTGCACCACCCTAGGAAGCTAACGTCGCCTCGCTCCCCCCGCCACAGCAATCCGAGACAGGCCTCCCGTCGGGATGGGAGGTGCGCCACAGCAACAGCAAGAACCTGCCCTACTACTTCAACCCGGCCGAGAAGAACTCGCGCTGGGAGCCGCCGCCGGGCACCGATGTCGAGAAGCTTAAGGTCTACATGGCCAAGTACCACAGCGGCAGCATCCCCGCCGGCGGTGGCGGCGAGCCGGGCAAGATCCGCGCCGCCCACCTGCTGGTCAAGCACGCCGACAGCCGCCGGCCGTCGAGTTGGCGAGAGGTTAGTCATTATCATTTGCTCCGAGAAGGGATGAGATGGGAGTACCAGATAAATTCCAGCCTCTGTCGGGTACCTTCAGCAAGAGACAACGCAGCAGATGAACATCGGTACTGACAGCACATCTACCCCGCAGGCCAACATCACCCGGAGCAAGGACGAGGCCCGCGAGATCATCCAGCGGCACCAGGAGAGCATCAGGAGCGGAGGCATCACGCTCGGCGACCTGGCCGTCACCGAATCAGACTGCAGCAGCGCGAGGAAGCGGGGAGATCTCGGCTATTTCGGTAGGGGGGACATGCAGAAGGAGTTTGAGGATGCCGCCTTCGCGCTGCAGCCCGGCGAGATCAGCGGCATAGTGGACACGGCGAGCGGCTTGCATTTGATTCAGAGGTATATATTTCCCCGTTGTTGCTTTTATCCCATGGTGGTCTCCAGGCTAACTGGCGCGTTTGTTGATAGGCTCGAATAAACTTCGTGACTGGCGGAAACTTGGTCTCTTTGGGAACGGCAGGAAAAACTGATGGTTTTAAAAAAGAAAACACCAATATCGTCGAACACATATTTGTAGTTGTGGGGTGTTTTTAAATGCCTTCCACGAGGTAGGGCTATGCTGGCTAGCTCTACCTAAGCTGAGTGTGTATGTTGGTTGCAAGTAAGTTAGGGGGACATGAGAGGAGGGTTAGTTACGCTCTCCCAGTCATCTTTTTACAAGCCAATTGCCTCCGCGACCGAGTTTTGCCCTGTGTTAGTGGCTATGTCCCATCATATATGTCCCGTGATATCTCTGTGTACAAAACCCTCGTGTAATTCCTGCCCAACCTCGGCCCCAAGACGAGGCTCAATTCCAACCTCTTTGGAGTGTATAGCTTCGAAGTGCAAATCATCCAGTATCCAATCCACTCCCTAGATTGCCTGAAAATGAAATTTCCACACCTGCCGCCCCTGTATTATCACTCATCGCAAGGATTCATCGTCCTCCTGCGTTTTGACCATCCACAGCCGCTCGACACACTACTAACCAGCCGGGCTAACACGGCCCACCCACCACCCAGCTGACCAGCTGAGGCACCATCGTAAACCCGACGGTCGCGACGCCAAAAACGGTCATCGACAGCGCCGCATACGGCGCCGCCTCGCTCCTCACCTCATACAGGTGCGCCGTGCCCATAGCCGCCGCGTTGATCCCGACCGTCACCCCAGCCGCCACCTCGTCGCAGCCCTCGCCCTCGCCCTCGCCCTCGCCCTCGCCCTCCTCCTCCGCGGCCTCCCCAGCAGCACCGTCCCCTCCCCGCACCACCACCGCCCGCCGCAACCGCCCCGCAACCCGCCCCAGCCCCCGCCCGACCCCGAGCCCCAGCCCGGCCTGGAAGACGATCCCATTCGCGACCACCAGCGCAGCCCCCAGGCCCGGGTCGCCGCCCAGGCGCGCCACGGCCGGCCCGCCCAGCGCGAGGGTGGCGGTGCGGGCCGCGAAGGCGAGGTCGTAGCGCTGGCCGCCGGCGCCGGCGCCCGAGACGACGACGCCGGTGGCGCGGGCGAGCGCCGGGCCCAGGGCCACGTTGAGCAGGGCCGCGGGGAGGGAGACGGCGAGGATGGTGGCGCCGGCACGCGAGGCGAGGCGTCGGCGGTATTCCCACAGCTTGAGACCCCAGGAGACGAGGCCTGCGTTGAGGATCGCGAGGGCGACGTCGCCGGCGCCGAGGGCGGGGACGCCGGTGGGGTGGTGGTGGTGGTGGAGGAGGAGGGTGGTTAGGGTGGTGTTGCGCTGGAGGAGGTCGAGGACCTCGGGGACGGGCCGGTGGCTGATGGCGCTGTCGGAGTAGGCGTAGGCGATCAGACCCAGGGCGGTCCAGAGGACGGCGTTGAGGGAGACGGCGAGGCAGGTGCGCGTTTTGGGCCAGGCGTGCAGGCGGCTGATGCGTCTGACTCGGGACTGGGCTGCCAGGACGGTGAACCAGAGCGCGAAGAGGAGCGAGGTTGTCAGGACGGCGTCGATGCCTGCGGCGAAGCGGAGGGGGATGGCGATGACGACGAGGACGAGCCAGGAGAGGACGGCGAAGAGGTTTCGTGCGGCCGAGTTGACAAGTCTGCGGCGCAGCGGTGGTGGTGGTGGTGGTGGTGGTGGCTGCTGGTCTGTCGGCTGTTCTTGCGAGGCTTCCGAGGGCGGCGGTGGCGGCGGAGGGGGATTGCCGTCGCGGTCGTCGTCAGGGGGTTCGCCTTGGGTACTAGCCATGGATGATGCTTCCGATATGAACGCCTTGCTTCTTCTAGCCTGGCCTGACGACGTAGATGCAGCGATCTGGACAGGCCGACTTTGCATCTCTTCGTCGTCCGGCCGTGATCTTCGCCATTGTTTGCAGCCGTTGGCGACGAGACTAACACAGGCGGCCAGCAGCTTCTGCAGGGACCAGGCCATGAGATAGACGGTCGTAGTGGCGAGAATCCCGGTTATCACTGCTTTCAAGTCAGCGCACCACCCCCGAGCCCCGGGCTTCCCGCCTCTCCCGGCGAGTGTCTTACCGAAGCAGGCTATGATGAGCCCAATGGTTCTGGGCGGCGCCGTTGGCAGGCGGCAGAGAAGGGCTATGGGCGCAGAAAAGCCAATTGACATATGGCGGTTTACCAAGTCAGCCTTTGGACGCTCCATATCAGCACTTTGTTCCATCGGGAAGCTTGAATGCAGAGGCCAGGCCTAGGGGCGGGGTGGGGCTTACTGGACCGCGCAAGTGGTTATCGTAGAATGCTGACAGGCCATCCCATACGTAGCCCACGACGGACAGGACGGAGAATACCAAGAACATGGCCAGTATTGCTGCCGGGATAGGGAACGGACTGGTGGACATAGCCTCCTCCAACCCCATCATCAAAAACTGGGAGAGGAACACCCAGAGGATGGCCAAAACCCCGTTGGCTGTACTTTTCCATGGGCTTAGCTGTCGTACCATGGCCTTGCTCCCCCCACGGAGTCGTCGGGCAGTGACTTTGGGAGCTTGAGCTTCTCGGCGGAGGTATCACACGAGAGAGAGACGAGAGTGAGAGAGATTGTAGAATAGGATGGGATGGGATGGGATGGGAGGGATCAGAAGGAAGTTCTAGTTGCTTTCCAGAGTCTGAGAAGAAGAGTCCCAACTAGCAAATAGATCTGAGACTCACCCACAGGTAAAAAGATAGCAAGAAAGGGAAACGGCGGGATCGAAACCACAAACCTCGTAGTGGTGGCCGGGACACTCCCGCAGACACTGCATCGAACCATTTGATCTTTGTATCCCCAGGGACATGCATTGTGCTCTTCTGTGTTTCCTTTCCCCAACACACCGCGGGGCGTTGACGGCGTCATGGATCGGCGCCTGATGAAGGTTGTCTGCTGGTGATAAGGCCAGTCGCACCGCTATTTCGAGCAAGGCCACAGTTCAAGGGTTTGGAGGATGATGCGGTGCTGCTGCGTTTGCTTGGTGGGACCCATGCCCCAGGGCTGGAAGCACCACCATGGATGGCTCAATATGGCAACTTGTCGGTGAGAGAGAGACGTAGAGAAAGAGAGGGAGGCCCGCAATGTTATTTTTGGCAGTGTTGAGTCCTGGTTGGACCCGCCTCTGCTTTGCTTGCAAATGCACAAGTCAAACAGAAAGGCCACAGATATGCGAGTGACTGCCCGGGCGGGATCCCAGGAACCTGGGTTTGAGTTCTTGCAACTCTTCCCTATGGGGGATTATCGGACGAGAATCCCAGTGCCGAACGGCCTCGATATATGACATCTCATTATCGACAAGCCCAAGGGAAAGCCATCTTCGGGATCAGCCCCTGGATGCAAGCGGCTCTGTTTGCCCCACGTTCACCCACACCCGGAGCGGATCATGAGGGCAGGGGGGCGATTTCCCAAGACGGAGATGGCGGGCATTGCAGGCACGCCTCCATCAAGCCACTTCCCGGATCGAGCAGCAGCCCTAGGCTGGATGAGCCCGGGCCATTGAGTGGGTGTCAGATCTGGCAACGCTGGGACGAGCGGCCCAGGGGGGGCCCGGGCATGCTTGCCATGGGACCCCTTCCCAGGCTACGATCTGCAACAAACAAAATTGGCGGAACTCCAGGTATGGTGGGCTCGCAGCCGGTATCCGGTTTGTGGTAATGGAAATGCACGTGTCCACCCCGAAACAACGGTTGGCTACCATCTCGAGCCGCCAGTTGATCCGAGCCACGCTTCCTGGCTTCCTGACGAGCTCATTGCGGGTCAGGTGGATGGCTGAGCCTGAGTATGTTAGTTGGACAAAACCATCAACCCTCTCTCACATAACCGGCTTGACTCTGTTACGTTTTCATCTTCAATCAAGGTAGGTCGAGTAGGTGGTGCTGAGCAACAATTTTACTTATCCCTTGTAGTACAAAACGGGCTTACTTTGAGGTTAGAGAGGTTCACCTGGACCAACTGGACCACCTGGTAGGCTGCTTGTCCTAGAGTTGCGGTCTGGGCAACATCATGATGCGTCCATCGTTGGGGTCCTGTGTCCGGGCTTACAGGCGACAGAGCGCCAAGGCTTGTCTGTGGTTTGTACATAGTCCTGCGAGGCAATCAGAATGAGATGCATGTTTCAGATCCCTCCTTCGCCATGCCTGCACTACTTGATGGCGTCATTGGCAGCTCAAGGACCACTGGATCGTGGGGCAGCGCTACTGCATCGGATCGCGTCTTCGCGGCGCCGGTCCGTGTGTAACAAGACCAGGCAAACAATTATATTCCAGCCAAAGACCCCGGATTCTGCAAGGCGGTAAGGACGGTTGAGTGGTTATCCGGATTGTGGCTAGCTGGCAGCTGTTTGTTTGCCAGCTCCTCCTTTCTTTTTGAAGAGAATACAGAGTAATCGGGCATCAAGTTGAGTGAACAGTGGTACACCGCCATGATGACTGACTGCCTCGGCCCTCTTCCGGGGGTTAGGATAAGCCGAGTCACGGGACGCGGCCCGCGCCGCCTTAGTAAACAAACGGAATTCTGACAACCTTGGAAGTCAACAGTGGGGCAAGCAACCCGGATGTGCCAAACACTCATTATTTTCTTGCATTCGAAAGCCAGTTGTGAAATTGTCTCGTGAGAGATGAATTGTGACGAGTTGGTGGAGATTCTCCGCCGCTACGACGTGCCGTTTGACCATGGAGCGGTCAAAGGTGCATTAGAAGCCGAAGAATCGTCACCCCTAGGCGACTGGGCAAAAGTGCACCTCACACCAGACACACTGCTCACCGTAGACGAGCTGCTCTAGTGAGCTCCACCCCATCTTCTTTCCAAGCTCGGCCACTCACTGTCTTCTAGCTATTCGGCGCTGGAGAAGTCTGGCAAGGCCGACCAGTTGGCTGCTTCTGCAGACCTCGCGACCGTCCAAAGCTTCAGCGACCAGGAGCTGAGGGACGCAATTGAGGAGCTGAATCGGTCTACTGACACGATTGCCAAGCAAACCGAGACATTGAAGCAGCAGCAAGAGGCCTTGAGTCGGTTGATGAAGGAGAAGGCGAAGGAAGTGGAGAACCGTGCAGCATTAGAACTCAAGCGTACGCAAGCATGGGAATTGAATCGCAAGGCATTGGGGTCAGATGTGCGTATTAGTCCTTCCATCGTCGTGTTTCTTGCCCTAACCCTCATTGCCTTACCTAGGTTGAGGCACTGGCTCAAACCATTGGCCTACGCATCTCCGACCTGGAGCAGCATGGCAATGCGCACACGGACGCCCTTCGGCAGACTGTGAATTCCATGTTTGTCTCGGACGATAAGCTCTTCACAGGCCTCCAGAAGCTCGGGTGGGAGCTCGAGATAGAAGACCCCGAGGAGAAGGAGAAGGAGAGCAAGCTGCGCGAGATCTGTGCTAGGTCTGTTGTGTTTGAGCTTGCAAGCCACGAGAAACTAGGGAGCTGACCTTTCAACAGACTTATCAAGTACACCGTCGAGACTATTCGAACCAGGCTTGACCGTTTGTACCTCGAGGCAATCGAGGGCTCGAATAATGCGCTCACCAGCGGAGGGACTCAGGCAGATGATGTATCGGAACTGCAGGAGGAATTGGAGTCCCTGTACGCCGAGATTCTTCCCGTCGCTCAGATGTCTGTCGAAGAACAATTTCTAGGCCCTGCACTCAGGTCCCTCTCTGCGGGGAAAGGAAAGAGCCTTGTCCGATCAGCCCACGCCACTGACTACGTGAGTTTGTGCGATTCGGCCGGTTGTCCGCTTACCGCCTATCTGACCCAGCCCCTTTAGATTCACGACTGCCTCGACTACCTCCTGGACCGGATCCAGAAAATCTCTTCCCGCACCGAGACTTTCCAGGCCCACCGCACAGCATCCCATCACCTCGTCGCCGCTGCCAGAACCGAACTATCCGTACAGGTAGAACCAGTCCGCCAGAAGGAACGCCGGCCCACGATCTCCTCATCCCCAACCAGGCGCCGCAAATCCTCGACCCGCGTGAGCGCAGCCTCGCCGAACCGGGTCCGAGCCCCCCCGATGCCGCGGAGGCGATCCTCCTCCGGCACGGGCGCCGCCCACGCCGACGAAAACCCCCTGGAACAGCTCCTCCGACACCTCGCCCTGGGCCCCCCAGGCGACGCCGACGCCGACGCAGGCGCAGCCGCCCCCACCCCGCAGCAGCGAGCCGCGGCCCTCGCGTCGGCGCTGGCGGACCGGACCTCCAAGGCGGCGGACGTGGCGCGCAACGCGCACGAGTCGTTCGAGGCGGCGGCCGTGGAGCAGGTGGCGGACGCGGCGCTCGCGCTGCAGCTGCTGCGCGACTCGCTGCTGGCGGAGAGCCCGTTCGGCGGCGGGCGGGTGACGCTCGCGGACCCTGAGACGGAGGCCTCGGTCGAGGTGCTCGAGCAGGAGCTGGAGAAGGTGCAGGTGAGGCTTGGGGGCGTGGATGCCGAGCTCGTGAAGGCGCGGGGGAGGAAGGGGAAGAGGGAGGAGATTGTGAGGCGGTGGGGTCGGTAGGGGGGCTGTTCTGGGGGGAGGGGGGTGGTCTCGGATGTTGGTTTACTTGTAACTGTATGATGTTGGCTTTCTGCCATGGGGATAGAGTCTTTTTATCTTGACAAGGAGATGTTTTTTACGATCCTTCCAGCGACAGATGGGGCGCAGTCGTGATGTTGAGGCAATGAGCACTGCGTTTCATCGAGAGTGCCAGCGGGGACGGCCGGGGAGAATGCAAGGTTGGGTGGCACAAGGTAGTGGGGATATTGTCTTGGTTGGTATTGCTAAACTAGGAGCCGTGGGACTCATGTTTGCAGTGGTACCACTCCCCTTTTTTTTTTTTTTTTTTTTTTTTTTGTTTGGATCTGCAAGCCACTTCAACGTACACAAGCTGCCCTCTCGCGGCACAGCCCTGTGAGCCAGACGAGCTGCCCTCTCGCTGCACGAATCTGCGAGCCAGTTGATCCGTACGCCAACGGCGTGTATCTTTTCCCACCATCGTACACATTCCACATCAACCAACAAACCCCCCGAGGCCAGCTGCCTCCTCGGCTTCCTGTCCGTCCCCCTGTCCGTCTGTATGCCTGTCTTCCAGAGTGACACATCCAACACCCGTCTCTCTGTCTTCCAGAACTGACACATCTAACATCCGGGCAGTATCAAACTCAGGCTCCATCGCCACATCAGATGGCGGGCGCCACAAGGCACAGTGTCGACCTTTTATCCTGCCGCCCTTATAGCAGGCAGGATCGACCACTGCTCTCAGTATGTTTACCCAACAAAGGGTACTCCAATATGTCCCATGATAGAGACGTCGAATAAACTGGGTGGAGTTGCTCAACACTCGGATACTCGGGTAACACAGTATTTATACTCAATATAAGAAGACGTCCTTCCTCAAGTCTGAGGATGCGCACAGAGGGCGCCAAAGGGACATCTTCTACCCACCGGGCCCTCACGGGGCCGGTGGGCTTTCGGGCTCAGATTTGAGCCCCGCGCGGATCCTCACCAACTCGTCCGTCATCTGCCTCTTCGCCGAGGGACGGTCCGAGCTGCCCTCGACCGAGCTGCCTTCGACCGGGCTATTCTCAACAGGGCTCATTGAAGCACCGTCGATGCTGGGGGCGGCGGAGGTGTGGGTGGCGCTGGTGGCGGGCGTGGGGGGCGCGCCGTGGTTGTTGTCTTCGTCAGCCGGGGCAGCCCTCTTCCGGCGTTCTTGGGTCTTCCGCTCGGCGAGCCTATCCATGATGGAGACGGCATGGGCCATGTTCTTGTTGCCGCGCTCGTGGCACTTCCGGATGATGGACTCCAGCCACAGCATGGCGCCCTCGAAGCGCACCGTGGTGGGGTAGAACTCGGGCTTCGCAATCTGCCACTCGCTCAGGACCCTGGCGGCCTCCTCGTCGGCCAGGTTGCCTTCGGCGGCGATATGGCGGCGTGCGGCGGCCTTCCTAACGAAGAAGTAGAGGCTGGTCGGGCTCCGGCCGCAGATTTCACTGTAGCCCAGAACGCGGGCGTAGGCGTAAACTGCGGATCGGATGGTTGTCGTGATAATGGCCATCGCCGTGTCGATGCGGTGCTTCAACATGTACTCGGTGAAGGTTCTTGGAATGAGGTCGGTGGGCATTGAGGCACCGCCGAGCAGCTCATCGGAGCAGCCGAGCCTCTTCGCGAGTAATTCGGTCTGATGAGTCCACCTTTCAAGTTGGTGCGAGTCATCCAACCAGATAAGTGGTCCTGTCGGCGGTGACGCTGACTGGGTCACATCGGGCGGCCGTCCCTGACGGGAGGCATGGCGGCTCGCATCCCGAGCGCCTGGACCGACGCTCCTGGCTGGCATGCCAAAAGGCTTGACTTTGACTTTGATTCGGGGATTTACGATTTGAGATTTAAGGTTTGTATGATTGAATAGGAACCGGGTATAGAGAGATTGTGGTGCAAACGAACAAGAATGAGGAGACAGACGTGTCGCAGATCAGCTGAACTCTAAACGAAAAAGATTGCGGGCGTGCACAAGTGGTCCTGAAATTCACAATAACCAGTAACCATGGAACCAATGGATGGATGGGAAGTACCAAGATACCTAGGTACCTAAGGTACGTATCTAGAGGTAACCCGTCATTCAGCAGCAGTCGTTGACTGAACTACCTAGGTACCTGTATGGATTCACCATGGATTCTATCCCGCATCTTGTCCAGTTGCCCATATCTACAGAGTAGGTTGTTCACTTTCCCCAGTTTCGGGAATGCCTGCATATAGAACAATTTGTGGGTCTGTACAAATACGGATAAGAGCTGCTGCTTTTTACCCCTGGACCTGCATGAGACCCTTGTGCCTGGAAAATCGGGCACCACAAAATTAATATCCTGGTAGCTCACACCCCTGTCAATTGGCCCAAGCTCTTCCAGCCTTGCGATATTCTATTCTATCCACTGCCGCAGAGTCGCTCTCCCCCACGTTTTGGAAATGCGACGTCCTCACAGTGAACCCAATTCACCTATTCCATTCTCTTGTCTTGGAGCCTCCCAGCCTCGAAACAGATCAATTTCTTTAGCGCGACCGTTACATTTGTTTTCTCACCGCTATCATTATGGCCGACAGCTTCACAGACGACACAGCTGATCCCCCCGCCAATCCGGGCGGCGATGTCGAGATGGGCGAAGGGGCAGAGGAGGGCAGTGCCGGCGCCAGCGCCAGCGCCATTGCCAATGTCAATCCCAATGGCTCCGAACTGCTCTTAGCTGAGGTGGGACCCGACGACACTCCAGAAGTGCGAGTCAGCTTCGCGCAGTACCTGACCAGCCCAGTCGTTACTCTGATAGTCGGGAGCAGCGACGCCGAGACTATCCTCACTGCCCACCAGGCGCTTCTTACCCAAAGCCCCTTCTTCGCCGAGGCCTGTGCCGAATTCGCCGACGACGGAAGCGTAATTCATACCCGGATCGAAGCCTTGCCCACATCTCGAGTTGTCGCATTCTTCGAGTGATTCCAGGCTAACCCCGTCTTCTTCCGTCTAGCCTCGCCACATCGACCTTGCGAATGAAAATGTCGACGCCGTCGGCTGCGTCCTCGAATTCCTCTACACCGGCGAGTACTTCCCTAAGAAGGTCCCTGGCCAACGAACTCTGGAGACGGACCCGGCTCTCCCCAAGGTCGACGACACGGGCGACCAGCTCCTGAAGCATGCGCGCGTATACACGCTGGCCGAGAAGTTCAGCATCCCCAACCTGAAGACGCTGGCATCGAGCAAGATCCACTGTGTCAACTCGACGGCCAAGGGCGAGATCGCATATGCTCGCTACATCTACGAGTTCACCTCTGCCCAGGACACCACCATCCGCGCGCCAGTCGCCAACTTCTGGGCCACCCGCAGCCACACGCTGCGCTCCGAGGCAGAGGAAGAATTCCGCAGCCTCTGCCTGGAGTTCCCACAATTCGGTTACGATGTGCTCAGTGCGTATTTCCCCCTCGCTATCCCTTGTGGTGCTGGAGCGACTGACAGTTCGCAGCCCGTGTCCTCGACGAGAAACTCAAACGCGAACGAAACGAGAAGCTCCATCCTACCTCAGCCAGCGCGCGGAAGAGGCCCCGGCAGAGCCTCGCTGCATAGATCTAGCTTGGTTTGGCGTGTCCTGTTAATACCCTCCGGCCATACCCGCCAGCCATGGCAGGGTTCCCGGCAAATTACAGCGTTATTGACGTTCTGCATACCTCAAAGCGCACCTCGTGCTCCGCATCTTGCGATTTCATTTGTGGTTAGGCTGGCGAATCCCCCAGCGTGTATAGTAGAAAATGGGCTTTTGGGGTTCGGGAAGGACGGGCTTGGGATCAAGTGGGAACAAACAAGGCATATGGGTCACAGCCGGGGTGTAATGGTAGCGATACCCGACCAGACGTCAGACTTTCTCAGCGGACTGCGACCTGGAGATGATATTACCTCGTGAGGACCCGGGCTGGCTGTATAACTCTTGCAGAGTAACACTATTGTATTCATCCATTAGGAGGCGGAAAAGGAACATGGAGAGGCATGACATGACTGTTCCATAGTAGGTACGGGTCTCCGTAATTATGACTTTGTTCCAGTGATTGGCAAGCAGACCCACTTCTACATAACTAAGCCCCGCCATCGCGATAAGATAGGGCACGAAATTTCGGCGAAAATGCGATGACAGCTTTGAAAGCCCGACGTCTACTTCTGCCCAAATATCTGCCATTTTTCTGGTTCCGAAGTGGAAAATTGGCTTGCTCGATACCCATGCGATGGCTCCAACTCAAGATGACCCAACCCCAGCCTCGGCTGCTGCAGCTCCCCATGAACCGCCGTACGTCTACACTCCCAACCAGGGTTACGCCCCCACAGAACCCCTCCCTCGAGAGCTCGCAAATTCGACCCCTCGGAACGGCGAATTCGTAGACGAAAACGAAGATGGGGATGACCTCGAGGACATCTTTGACGAAGACGACTTCCAAGACGAAGACTGGGACCCGCAGGCCGGCGATCTCACCAAGACATACAACCGCCAGCGCCAGTTCAACCCCCCTAACAGCAACAGCAACAGCCGAGCCGACGGCCTCGCTTCGTTGCCCCGTGCGAACACCCAGAAGCCCTCGGCAAACACCTTTTCCAGCGTCGATGACCAGATCTCCGCCCTGTCGAGACATGCCGCCAAGATCAGGCTCGACAATGTCAAGCAGGGCCAGGACAGGGAGAAGGACAAGGCGGACCGCGCCACGGCCGAGCTGGTGCTGGACCAGCGGACTCGCATGATCCTGCTGCAGATGATCAACCGCGGCGCCGTCAGCGAGATTCACGGCGCCATCAGCACGGGCAAGGAGGCGAACGTCTACGGCGCCGTCCTGCACCCCGAGGACGGCGGCGCCCCCATCCAGAGGGCCATCAAGGTGTACAAGACGTCGATCCTCGTTTTCAAGGACAGGGAGCGCTACATCACCGGTGAGCACAGGTTCAAGGCGGGTGCCGAGAAGGGCAACAACAGGAAGATGGTCAAGCTCTGGGCCGAGAAGGAGTTCCGGAACCTGAGGCGCTTGCACATGGCCGGCATCGCCTGCCCCGAGCCCATCAAGCTCAAGCTGCACGTCCTGGTGATGGAGCTCTTGGGAGACAAGAGGGGATGGGCCTTCCCGCGGCTCCGGGACGCCCAGATCAACGGGGACGGCGCCGACAGGCAGTGGCACCAGCTCTACGTCCAGCTATTGGGCATCATGCGGAGGATGTACCAGGTCTGCCGGCTGGTGCACGCTGACTTGAGCGAGTACAACATCCTGTACAACGACAACCAGCTCTACATCATCGACGTCTCCCAGAGCGTCGAGCACGACCATCCACGCTCGCTCGAATTCCTCCGGATGGATATCAAGAACGTCGGCGACTTCTTCCGCCGCAAGGGTGTCGACACGCTAGCCGACAGGGCCATCTTCAACTTCATCACCGCGCCCGAAGGGCCCGTCGAGGAACCCGGTCTGTCGGCCGCCGTCGAGCACCTCTACGAGACGCAGCCGGCCGCGGCCGAGGACGACCAGGCAGCCGCGGAGCTGGAGGTCGACAACGAGGTGTTCAGGAACCAGTACATCCCGCAGACGCTGGAGCAGGTGTACGACATTGAGAAGGACGCGCGGAAGCTCGATGCGGGGCGGGGCGACGAGCTGGTCTATCGCAACCTGCTCGCGGACCAGGTCGTCTTGCCCAAGGCAGACGCGGACGGCGGCGAGGAGAAGGGCGAGGGGAGCCAGGATTCGGATTCGTCTGACGACGGGGCGCCGCTTGACAGTGACGACAGCAGTGAGGATGACGAGAGCAGATTCGAGAAGGGTACGCCGAGAGGGAAGCGTTTTGAGGATAAGGATGAGAAGAGGGTAAGACATCGAAACAAACCATCCGGCCTCCCCCGTTTTCCAATTCGGTGCCCTTGCTAACTTTGTTTTCCTTCTCACAGAGCCACAAGCACGCAGTGAAGGAGGCGAAGCGGGAAAAGCGGAAGGAGAAGATGCCAAAACACCTCAAAAAGAAACTGATCGCGTCGTCGTCCAGGAAGAAGAAATAGATTCCCCCCTCTCCTTTCGCTTTCGGGCCGAGAATGCCTTAAGCTGAGGCACACGAGACACCTATCTGGCGTTATCCGTGCCTGACATGAGTGAAACCTCCATCCTACTTGTTCTGCGGGGTGGGAGGCCGCCGGATGATGAATGCAAATCGCCGCTCGGCGAGGTGGTGCTTCGTTAGTTGTTTTGCCTCTGTGGCTGAACCTCGAGCCCGTCTCGTTCGAGCGGGTCTGAGCAGTCCCCGTATCAGGGGGCTCTGCTGTGAAGACCAAAGAGAGCACTGACGGCTGGTATCACGTTTGTTTATTTGCCCCATCGTGGATCTTGTGGTGTGTTACTCATAGGTACCTAGCCTACTCACTTAGTGTATCTTAAGTATAGCACATATATAGCTTCATAAGAGGGCCCTGGCCCTGTTCCTTCATCTACTTTTGATCCAGCGCGTGAGATGAAAAGAGGAAAGGAAAAGATACTCTAGAGTGCAGAAGGCATATCCTTATCGCAGTTGTTGTGTCAACAAACTTCAAGTAACGCATCAACATCTGTAGCATACTTCGATTCTGCAGCATGGCGTGGGGCGGCTCCTCCTGTTTAGAAACGAGCAGTCTGACGTCTTCGTCAGTTAGTTCACGTGGCTGAGTTTATGTCCTCGTGCCTGCTCACGAGATGTTGAGGTGATGATGCGATGACGTGTCTGGCTAACAAACAAATAACGAATATTAGGCTTGGAAACTATATCCCTCGACCTCTCAGGGGTGGAAGTGTCGCTGCAGGCAACACTACTAGAGCCTCTCGACTCTTGACTAGATCTTGTCAGGTTTATGAAGACTGTTGGGTCAGTTCAGAGGACAGGAAGCGGAGCACAGGGACTCTACTAGCAACCCAGAAGAACAGTAGGGAGACAACCTGGTTTTCGGTTTCCTATGCTTTCGCACAAAGAGGTCAAGGCAGTGCAAGGAGACATGCACCGTTCTTATCGTATCGTCTGTTCCTCGCATTTACTCCTGGAATCGGCCCTTCCAAATAGTTCTAAGTGCTTGGAAATTGTATAAACGATATTGTTGACATCTGCTTAATCATCTGTAGTGCATGCATGATGCACATTACCTACCTAGGCATAAATAGCCGAGGAGCAAAAAGGTGATGAGCCAAAAAGGTGATGAGTCAGAAAAGGGTGAGCCAAAAAAAAGTTATGATAAGAGTGAGATTCGAACTCACGCCCCTTTCGAGACCACGGAATTGGTGTTCAAGGTTTTGTAGACCTTAACGTGGCGCCTTGGACCGCTCGGCCATCTTACCCGTTGATGTTTTACTTGCGTAAATATGAGCTATGAGGGATTTCTGCTGATTTTTCTGTTGAGGAGTCAAGTGCAGACAAACCCCATAGTAATTAATCCACAATACCCACCCTCTCCTTTTTCAATTCCCCCCCCTTTTTGTTAAATTTTTAAATGCTAGGCAACTGTTACTATTGCTATGACATGATAGGGCTGTGCGGTGCTACTGCTGGTTTTGAAATTCCCTCGCAACAGCAACCCAACATTACAGTTGCCGTCGTCTCCTTTTCCGGGCTTTCAATCTGAATCTGAATCAGTTCTCACATGCAGATAAGGGGTAAAGTTACGTGTTTGTGCCATGTAATTAGGTGGTTATAGAATTCTGTAATTGATTGAGAGTCATAGGATTGAATGCCATCGCTGTCTCCGTTGCCGCTGCTGTTGGCGTCGCCATCGCCGTCATGTTCGCCGTAGCCGCCGCCGTCGCCATCACTGTCATTTGGACTCCCAAAAACAGACAACCCCCCCCCCTTCAAAAGAGGACAGAGATGGGATTACCCCACCACAGGGATGGCCACCGAAGTAGGCATGGTAACGCTATCGCACACCCTCGACCGCAGCACCCCGAACTTGGCCCTCAACCGCGCGATCTGCCCCCACGTCAGTGGCGGGTCATGCCACGTCAGGTCGTTGACCATTGTCGTGTGGGTGCCAGCCGGCCACGGGAAAGTGGGAGGCGGGATCAGGTCGTGTATGCAGGCCATGATGGGCATGTAGTTGTGGCGTATGAACGCCAGTACCCGATCGCCGTCCCACGACAGGATCTCGTGCATGGCCTCCAGCCCAAAGGCCACCAGCACCGTGATGAAGGTCTCGCGCTCGAAGGAGGGCAAGATCGAGTGCTCGGGCGGCGGGGGCTCCGTGTCGTCGTCGGCTGGGTGAGGTACGTTAGGGGGCTGCTGCTGCTGCTGAAGTACATCAAGGGGCTCCGTGTCGTCCGCTGGGTGAGGTTCGTTGGGCAGCTGCTGTTGCTGCTGAAGTACATCAAGGGGCTCCGTGTCATCCACTGGGTGAGGTTCGTTGGGGGGCTGCTGCTGCTGATGCTGCTGATCAAGTATGGCAAGGGGTTGCCGCCGCTGACGCTGCTGCTGCTGATGATGGTGGTGGTGGCTGACACGCCTCTTCCCTTGGACGTTTTCGTACTGCATGTCTATGATCGTCTTGCTGATGCGCCTGTCGACTCCGTCCAGGACCTCCCGGTACGTGTAAAAGACGTAGTTGTAGATCTTGCCCAGGGGGTTCGCGTTCCACTGCCTCCCCATCACGACGGTGCCCTTACGCACTTCGTCGTGGTGGAAGACGAGCGGGAATCCCGGCCGGAAGCGGAGCGCCACCGTGAACAGCTCGAACAGGTAGAACATCCTCTTGATACTCTGCTCGTATTCCCTCATCGTGGGGGACTTGCACCTGGAGATTTCCGCGTCCCCCCTGACCCGGTAGCGGTCCACGACCCCGTCCATCATCATGTCCAGGCGACGCAGCCGCAGGCCCTCGTCGCCGGCCAGCGGCCGGAAGGCCCCTTTCTCGTAGAGGTCGGCGTGGTGCATGATCTTGAAGGGGGTCACGGATCCTGGGTTCTCGTTGGTTAGCTCAGCCACGCGGAGAAGGGCCATCGCTCTGCCAATGTAGGGGTCGCCCACGATGCGTGGGACGAGGAAGAGGAGGATGCTTAGTCGCCGGGCCCAGAAGGCGTGCCATGTCTCGTGCGTCACTCGGATGAACGAGCTTAGGTCCTCGTAGGAGTTGAGGTGCTCCATGATGCAGCAGAGTGTATCCATGTTAAGGCTGCAAAAAGGGGCACGCGTCGTCGTCGTCGTTGTCTCGATGGGTTCAAGGCCCATGGTTTGGGGCTGGGTGTGGTCTCTACTGCGGTTGCGTGTGGTCTAGTTTGGGTGGGAAGGCTTTGGAAGGGGGTGTAAGGAGGGATGTCACAATCCGTTACCTATTTAAACAGAAATTTTGGGTTTGCCGAGGGTGAACCAAAATGGATTGGAACCGAAGGTTCAGGAAGTTTTCGTGAGTTGAGCAAGGCAATTCTGAGTTTTCCGGTGCACCGTATAAGGTATGGCCTCGAAGCTTTTTCCGGGCCCTCCTTCTCGTGTCAGAACCAGGTGAGGCTATGCCCGGGTTTGGGGAGGAGGCCAGTCTCGAGGTTGAAGCATGTTCGGCATCCATACTAAAGTGTGAGCTTGATGCCGGCCGATAACCGAGTATGACGGATATCAAAGGAGTCCATATTCAGAACGTTATATACATACATCGGGCGGCTTTGGACCTTTTACAGTTCCAATCGCTCAGCTTTTCTCAATCTTGCTCCGAACCTGTAAATGAGCATGGGAACCGGGATCATGGCCACGCAGATGAAGCCCAACAAAGAGTTCCCCCATCCCAGCCCCAGGTTCTGATACATCGAAGGCCCACCGAGCGGCAGCAGAGCCCCAACAAGGCTCCGGAGCACCGTGTTGGCAGCGACCGCCGACGCGGCGTACATCGGGTAGCAGTCCACCAGGTAAGTCAGGATGGGGAGGAAGAGGCCGATGAGGCCGAAGGCAAAGGGGAACAGACTCAGTACAGGGGAGATCCAGTGGGTCTTGTAGTAGGTCGACCAGCCGTACCAGAAGAAGGTGATGGGTAGGAAGAAGCCAAAGTAGATGCTGATGGGCAACCGCATCTCGGGCTCGAACACCCCGCCGTTCGCCTTTGTCCGCTTGACCACGCCCCGGTCCGACGTGGCCGTGACGACAGCCCACCCGGCCAGGTTGCCTGCGCCGAGGGAGATGTAGACTAGCCCCGTGATGCCCACGCTCCAGCCGTACTGGGTCTCGAAGACGACGGGTATCGTCGTAAACAGCAGGTAGAGCACACCGTACGTGAAGGCGATATAGAGCGATAGAGAGAAGACCAAGGGGGAGAGGAAGAGCATCTTGGTCGGCCGGATGAGGCCGTTCAGGAGAATGCGCGAGTTCCTCTTCTCCGCATTTGGGGGATCATAGCAGCTGCGCAAATCGTCCCTGCCAAGTTCCTGCTGCAGACGACGCACCTTACGCGCAATGAGGACGCGGGGGTTGGTCTCCGAGTTGAACACCTCCGTCATGGTGGTGATGATCACGCTCACGATGAGCACGATCCAGAAATCCCACCGCCACCCGATCGTCTGCGCCAGGAAACCCCCAATGAGCGGTCCGACGGTAGGGCCTGAGGGGGTCAAGTTGTTAGATGCTTTCCCTGGTGCGGGTCAGGAGAGCCGCTAAGACTCACCAATTAAGGGGCCCAGCGTGTAGATCCCCATGGCGAAACCTCTCTCGTCCGTACGGAAAACGTCGCTAATAACTCCCGCCCCGAGAGTCTTGCCGAGTCGGTTAACATGGAGGTCAAAACATGTGGTTCAGAAAGAATGTCACTTACTATACAGCCCGCACCCCCTACCCCGGAGAAGAATCGGAAGACAATCAGAGACTCAAGGTTGGGCGCCAAGGCACAGCCGATTTGCCAGGCACAGAAGAACATGTTCGCAAAGCCTAAAATCGGTTTCCTGCCGTAAATCTCGGATAGCGGAGCCAGGAACAGCGGGCCGACGCAGTAGCCCAGCAGAAAGATGCTGACGGTCATGGCGCCGAGGGTGGTGTTCTCGTTGCCGAAGTCCTTGTCGAGGGCCGCAATGCCGGGCGACAGGATGGACGACGCGAACGGCGTGACCAGCGTTGCGGCCGCTAGCAGGCCGACGATCAGCCACTTCTTGCGTTGAGCGAAGTTGTACGGCATATCCGGATCGTCCTGGCCGTCCCAGCCGACGATGCCTTCATCCAGGTTGGACGTCGGGAGTGGCTGGAAGGGCATCCGCTCCTTCTTTGACCGCCGGCTCACGGCGCTGAGGACGCGGGAGACCTTGCTCTTGACGCTGCCGCGCGTCTCAATCCTGGTGAGCTCGTCGGGGTTGATGCCCTGCTACTTGTGAGCCGGGTATGGACAACCTCGGTAAGGTAGGCACACCTAAGGAGGAGAAGACGCGCTCGCTCACCTTTCCCAGCTCGACATCGAGTTCGTGGCCGGGAATAATAGCCTCAATCTCGTCATGGTCAATGTCTGGCTCCCCGGCGCCGAGTCTCTTCCTGTGTGGGGCCTGTAGATGCTCCGGCTCTCCCTCCGTCGAGGAATTGGACCTCAGGCCGGCATGGCTCGTCTTTTCGTCCATATCGGTGTCGTAAACATCTTCTTTTCCCTCCATATTTGTGTGTTTCGCATCAGCATCCTCTCAAGACCGTGGAACAACACACATATACAATTGATTTCCAGCAAAGAAGGAGGAAAAGAGAAAAAGAAACCGGAAACATCGGGATCAAGCCTAGTCATCTCTTGTGTGCCGTGGTTGCCGGCACGGAGATAATACCTAACGGCGCTATGTCCTGGCGTGCTCACTCACGCCCCGCCCCCACCCTCTGGCGAATAAGGAGGGGGGAAAGCTTCCGAGCGTCGAATTATGTTTGCTTCCGTGAGAAGTTTTGCCATACCCACCCAGGCCGTGCACATGTCGTTATGCAAAGCATTACGGAAAAAGAAGCAACCGTATGCAAGCAAATGCAAGCCTTACAGGGAGGGAGGTAATTGCGCAATATTATCTACGAGGTTCGCGTTTTGGCTGGAATCTCGCGCCCCAAATGAAGGAAATGAATCGCGCGAAGTGACAACACTGCCGACTGCATGCCGCGGCACTTGGCGCTTGGCACTTGGCACCTGTTTTACCACGTTGATGCGGCTCTTCAACAGGACACGCTTGTTTCCTTGGGGACAGACTAGAGACGTCAGGTGCACTTGTGGGGAGCTGTCAATACACACGATCCCATCCATCTGGGTCTGGGTCATTCCATTGACCTGACAAGTTTGTGCCACGAAATAAGGCGTCACGATATAATAGAGCCCATTTGGGGCGAATGTAGACAGACGTGCAGTAAACCGAGACCGGCGTGCGACTGTAAACAAACGCCGACACTCCAGGCCGAGAAGGGTATGGACCGAACGCGAGAGGGAGAGGAGGGACAAAAGGAGAGAACCAACCAACGCCAGTATCCAACACAGATCTCGAGGTGCAACAAAATTAATCACCTCGACTCGACACCCTTGCCCTTGCCCTTACCCCTCCCAAACCTCTCTCTCGCAGTATCGGCCTCGCCCCTCCGGTCTAAGCCCGGGTCATCCCCCAGGCCAGGCTTGGAGCCTCCGGCCTCGGCAGCATCGTCCACAGGGACGAGATCCCACCTCTGAAGCGGGCCATCCATACCAACCCACAAATCCGTAGGCAGGAAGTCGCCGATCTCCTGTCGGAAGACCTCCCTCTCCCTCCGGTCCGCCTCGACGAGCCTATGCACGCCATCCCTCGCCTTGCGCAGTATCCCCCTTATCTTCTCCTCCACCAACCGGCGCCTCTCGACCTCGAGCGTGAGGCTCTCATACGCACCCACATACCCCTCGTAAAACAACCTCAGCTGCTCCATCTCCCCCAGCGCCCCCGCCACGGCCCCCCTCTCCGCCTCCCTGCGCTGCGCGTGCTCCGCCTCGGCGGCCGCGTACCCGCGCAGGCGGGACCCGACGTCGTCGAGCGCGCGGAACGCCGCCGCCGTCCGCGAATGCGCCGCCCGCACGCGGTCCGCCCGACCCCGAAGCGCGCAGAAGTCCGCCTCGACCCGCCGCACCGCCGCCTCCAGCTCCGCCACCACCTCGTCCACCTCGGGCGCGTCCTGCACCACCACCTGCGCCACCTCGGCGCGCTCCCGCGGGTCCAGGTCCGCGTCCGACGAGCCCAGGCCGCCGCGGGTCTCCCGCTCCGCCATCACGCCCGATATCGATACCGCTTCCCCGCCGCCGTCGGCGTGCGTCACCTCGTCGGCGGCCTTGCGGAGCGCGAGCGCGGCGCCGCCCTCGGTGGCCCGCACGGCGGTCACGCACATGTCGAAGTGTCGGGTCAGGGAGCTGAGGTGCTCGGCCATGGCGTGCGAGTGGGTCGTCAGCGAGGCGAGGAGGTGCGGTATCGGCTGGTAGGCGGCCAGGTCGGAGGGGGTGTCGGAGGTGGGGTCTGACGCGGAGGGGGACATGGCCTTGTTCAGGGCTCGGAGGTCGTTGTCGAAGCGGAGGAGATCGCCGTCGAAGGATGTCTCGGCGGCCTGTCGATTGATAGATTAGTAAACTGATGAAACAAGCAAACGAAAAATATGTAAATAAATGGCAGGCGTAGAACAGCTTACCTGCAGCTCTGCAACGCTCTCCTTCAGCGCGTCCCGCACGCGATCGACGCTGTTCTCGTCGACAAAGTCGATCAGGCTCTTTGGCTCCTCGCCCTCGGGCCGGAAGATGCTCTCGACGACGGTGCCCCGCAGCGTCGCCAGGGTGCCCTCGAGCCTGCCGTCGGCGGCGTCGAGGGTGCGCAGCAGGCCGCGGAACTCGCGCCGCCCGGCCTCGTACGCCCTCGCCATCCCCCGCCGCAGGCGCAGCAGGATGCGCACCTGCTCGCCGACGCCGCGCCGCAGGAAGGCCGTCTGCGCCGAGAGCACCACGGCCTCCTCGTGCAGGCGCCGGGCGTGCGTGGTCAGGTCGTTGGCGCGGAGGACGAGGGTGATGGAGGAGAGAGAGCGCTTCGCGGCCAGGAGGTGCTCCACGAGGACTTCGACGGGGATGTCGGAGGAGGAGGTCGGGCTGTGGGCTCGGTCGTCGATCGAGGCCGGCCGGGACCGGGGCAGCCGCGATGACGAGGCTGGGCTTGGGGAGTTTGCCATTTTGTGTGGGAGGTTGCTGGCGCGGGACTTCCGGGTCAGAAGGAATGGGGATTTGATGGTTCCAAGAGAAGACTGCAGCTCAGGACTTCAGTTGTTACATCTTGTTTACATCTTTGTTGAAAAGAGTTGATCCAGTATTGTTTCTAGGAATTATGTAGCTTTCATGACTGATAACGCATTGCAGAGGTCGTCGACCGCCAGCCGGCAGCATGAACGCCAGCCGACGGGAAAGCTATCAAGGTCCGCCGCACGCGCCACACTAGATTAGGTAAGCTTCATCCAGCTAAAGCCACTTTGCACCACAACTTCGCAACAAGCAATACAGGGCTCTGGCCCGAGTTTCCGACGGGGAGGCACAACAGCGTTTTGCTGATGACCTCCTCAATGTCTCTGGTCTGATATGGGCCAATCTAGCCCAGCGATAAGTAAATGACAGCAACCACTAAAAGCCACCTCTGGCAGCGATGCCCCCTGCCCAGGCTGTTATCCTCGCGGCAGCCACGTGTGAACTGAAAGCTAGATGCACGTGTACGAGTTGACAGAGACCTACGTAGGTAGCAGTATACACGTACGTATGCACTTGGACCTCTGCGTCCCAGGAATCCAGACCCCCAGAGCCAGCCCAGTCCAGGTCCGACTCGACCATGTGCCGAAACTACACCAGCGGGTGGGGATTTTCGCCCTCCTCTCCATGTCCAGTCTAGCGCCCCTGCGCCGCCGCCATGGCCGGGCCAGTCCGTTTTCGACGACCGACAGATTTTGGGACCCAGTGACGAAGCCGAAGCGGACTACCGAACAGGTTCGCAAGAAATGGGGTAAAAGTGTGGGGGACGCGTCGGGGTCTGGGGGCCACGCAGTGGGAGGTGGGGCCGGGGCTAGGGGGAGCAACTGGGGCTGGATCCGTATTCCGAACGCTACCTACGAATGGAGGCTAGTGTGGGGAGTCTGCATCAGGAGGCGCTGGGCTGGGCGTTGGGGACGACTGACTAGTGTGGCGTGAGGTGCAGCTTGGCACCGGAATGTGCCCGGGGAGAGACGCCGGTATGGTTGACGTCAGTGGTTGAGGTGGCACACCGCATTCATCCCGGCCAGGGCAGAGCATGCGGCAGTCGAGAAAGGGGTGAACATCGTCGTCATCAGAAAACGGATGCTGTGACTCGACCGAATCTGTATGCCCATTGCCCAAGACACAAAGCTGATTCTCATCTACGACATGCTGATGGAAGACTCGCTCTGTCTTGGGCAGGTGTGAGGTTCACATCTACAACGAGATTTGTTTTTGATATTGAATTCTTTGGGAAAAGGACTGGGGGTGGGGGGGAACAGCATGGTCCTAAATGGGACATTCGCAGTGGGCTTGTCAGGCTGCTGGCCTGCTGGAATGCTAGCATTTGATTCAGGGGCAGGAAAATGCGAGTGTAGAATCACTGATGATATTTTCAAGATAAACAAGGGTAGCATTAATGCACTCCGCTGAGCATGATCCGTCCGGAATGAGTGCTACTGGTATGATAGTAAATCCATCCATTCCAATCTCCGACACGAGTCAAACACGCTCCATTACAGATCCTGCCGTCCGTGTTGCTAGACAGTAAAGTACCCCCACCAGTGCTCAAATCGCTCTCTCAAGTCATGTACCGGTCTAAGTGATGTACCGGAAGTTGGGGTGCCTGTACCCAAGATGGACCTGCTCCTCCTCGCTGAGGCCCTCCAGCCTGTAATCTCTCTTCCCCGCCGCGCGCGCCCTGTTCTCATGTGCGCAATACAGGATGCCGAAGATGCTGAGCAAGACGACGGCAATCTGGCCCGCGAGGTTGATGGTGTGGCCGGTATAGTACTTGGGGCCATCCGTGGAGATGTAGGTCCATCTTGTGCAGGGGTCAGCCAACTTATCCCAGAAACACAAAGAGGGAACGGTGCAAGCTTACGTGGCAACAATACCGCCAATGGTACCAAGACTAACAACGTAACCGCTGGTGACGGCCTGAACGGCAGGTCCGGCGGAATCTAGATGGTTCAGAGTCAGTCCTGCAGATCGCACCCATGTGGAACGGGGGAGTAGGAGAAATAATAGCACGTACTGTTCAATGCCCAGCTCAAGAAGCCGGGCCCTCCTGGGAAGGCTCCCATGGTGACGAGGAAGACGGCCATGTAGCGGACGTTGGCGCCGCTATGCCAGCGCAGGATGGCGAATCCGGTGGCGGCGAAGACGGAGAAGACGGCGAGGTAGATGCCGCGGCGCTTGGTCTTGTCGCTGGCGTAGGCGACGGCGATGGCGATGAGGCAGGCCATGACGTAGGGCGGCACGGTGAGCAGCTGGGCCTTGGTCGCGGTCCACTGCAGGTCCTTCAGGATGGTCGGCATGAAGACGGACAGGCCCTGGACGGTGATGTTGATGAGGAAGAAGCCGAGGGCGCAAGTGTAGTTGTGGATGCAGAAGACGGCCTTCTTGACGTGGGCCATCTTGACCTGCTCCTTGGCGAATGCCTTGTGCTCGCGGACGAGGCGCTCGGTGGCGATCCTGCGCTCCCGCTCGTTGAGGAACTTGGCCGTGTTCGTGTCCTGGGGGAGGAAGAACGGGGCGGCGAGGCCAACGATGATGGTGAGGAGGCCCTCGAAGAAGAAGATGTTGCGCCACGTGTGCAGCGGGGCGCTGGCGGCGCCCCACTCGGGGATGCGGGAGAGGGCCGTCGCAAGGAGACCACCGAAGGCGCCAGCCATGGACGCGGCCGAGACATAGATGCCAACCCGGAAGAGGAGCTCCTCTCGCTTGTAGAAGCAGCTGAGGAAGAAGGCCATGCCGGGCATGGCACCACCCTCAAAGACGCCCAGGAACGACCGGGTCACCAGCAGGCCCGCGAAGGAGTTGACGAAGGCGTTGCACATGGACACCAGGCCAAACCCGACGACAAGAAGGGGAAGGTAGAAACGAGGCCCGATGCGCTTGAGAAGGATGTTGCTGGGCACCTCGACGAGCAGGTAGACAATGTAGAAGATGGAGAGGGCCCAGTTGAAGCGAAGCCCAGTAAGATCAAGGTCAACCGCCATGCCCTGGATGCGAGCATTCCCGATGTTTGCACGATCGAGGAACTGGTGCAGCGGGACCCGGGTCAGCGCCGAGTTCAAAAATAGAGGGGGTTCAGATACGTACGCATAGCAAGTAGAGGATGGTAACAACAGGCACGATATGCCAGTCAATCTTGTGCCTGAGCGCCGTCTCCTCTGCCTCCGTCCAGTCAAAATGATCGCCAGCGGTCAGATCCGACCCCGATCCCCCGAGCCCGAGCTCCTTGTTCTCATATTGGACTGTGTTGCCCACGCAGTCAGCGCCGCTGGTCGTCACGGACGTAAAGGGGAAACGTGGAAAAACATGGCCGCAAAGACTCACTCTCCTTGTCACTGTCCATCTTCGCGGTGTTCAGGGGCCTGGTCAGGGGCTGGACGTGTGTTGTTGGGGTGGAGCGAAGAGGCGAGGGCGCGTTGAGCGTAAGAGCTGGGAAGGAAGCGATCCCAACTGAACGGCCCAGGGAAGCCTAGACCTTTATGAGAAAAAGAAGAGAGTGTGAGCTATCGTCCCAGGCCGTGCACTGGTGGTGTGAAGCGCAAGGGTTGCGATGTAGGGGTTGCTGCAAGGTCATTCCTTCCAAACCACCAACATCACACACTTTCGGCAGATTATATCTTTTTATTCGACTCTCCACTCATTAAGCAGCCGACCAACAAACCATACTGGGTGGGGCAAAGAGCGCGGGGTGTTTGGGGTGCAATTGTTCGGTGCTGTCTTGGCCTTCATGGCCGTTCTTGGCTCTCCGGCCACAATTGCTGAATTGGTGAGCATAGCCGTCATGGATGCCGCCGACGGTCCAATTACAAGCAAGACAAATGTCTAGGCAAATACCTACTGCGTAAGTAGGCAAATAGCTGGGCAAATATCCCCTAATTTAGGGTCACCTCCAGAACAATATTGGGACCTCGACTTGCATCCAAGAACAAGGCACTGGGGGAAGTTGGGCTTGGCAACGAACGAACAGTCGCCAAGAAGGCGTCGTCCCCAAATTTTCCGACACTAGGGATTTTAGGTTCAAGTTACATAATCCCCTCCTCGCTCCCTTGACTCGAGCAAGACCCTGCCTGCCACACTCTGCTTTCCTTGCTACCTTACCTTTAGAGTTAAAAAGTTCAAAAGCCCAATATGGGCAAAAGTCACCGTTCATTTCAGACCTTAATGTATATTAAAAACTCTTAACAGCCCACCCTTAGGGCCCTCGTTCGCGATCAGTGCTCACTGGTCGGGGTAGTTCCGGTGCTTAAGCAAGGCCCCACCTTATTGGTCTGGTCCAAGTTGGGGTATTCAGCCGATGCATGGGCCTTATTCTCAATAACCGGCGGGAGGCCGTTGGATAGCGGATGGCGCTGGCTAGCGGCAAGCCTCATCCCCAAATTCTGCTGTTCTGTTGGCTGGTCTGGCTCACTTCCAAAGCTCGGTAGATGTGGTTGGCGATGTGGTGGCGTGGCCGGGAGAGAGATGCGGTACTTCGGTTTCCACTAGTGCCCCACTCAGAATCTGGGTCCTCCTCGTCTGGTGCATATGTTGTTCGACGACGGGGTCATGAAATCAAGGTTAGAAAAAGGGATCTGCAGGCTTAATCAACATGTCGGACCCCATTTCAATACCGTCGTATAGTAGGCCAAGTCCAGTAGCCTACCTACAAATGCAGGTAAGTTCTGATCCTTTGACTTGCAAGTGGACAGCTTTATGTAAATAGCGGTTACCTACGGATGCATCAAAACAGACCGCCCCACCATCTCGGTTTGTTCCGTGAAGATTTGGGGAGGGGAGAGACCCCAGCGTCCACAGTCTGACGTCCCCATTACAAAAACCACTCACTCGGTGCTTTCCATTACTGCTTGTTTCCCCACGATTTCAACAAGATTCAGTCGAAAATTAGTGCCGCGCAACACTAGATAGTTCACAGTGCCAAGCGGGATCCTAGAAATCAACCAGATAATCATTTTGCGGGGCGAGGCCCGCCTTCCCGTCACGCAAAGACAAGGGACGAGAGAACTTGTGCGTGGTGGTGGGGAAAGGAGAAATTCAAACCAGGCTAAGCACATGTGATGACTGCTTAAGGTGCAAGCACAGCGGGCCTGGACAGGCTCCCGACTCGTAATTAGTGTGCTTTCCCCCGCCTCGGCCAGCTTCCGATAAGCAGCCCCCTGCCGGGGGAACCCCGACGCTTGGCACGGAAGACGATAGTGCCAACTGATCATCATGTCTCAGCATGTGTGCGTCACGTTAGTAAACAGAAAAAGGGTTAACATGTTTTGTCTAGCGTGCTTTTGTGCAGCTCTGGGTACCTGGAGGGAGTCGGCAATGCATGGAATCTCCCTTGCATGGCGGCCTCAGGGACACGTGGGTGAGCAGGTTGGGTATCATCGGGGATCTCTATGGCCTCACGATGCGTGGCCAGAGCGGAGGAAACCCGGGGTTGGCCGTCGAGGACCCCGAAACTAACCTCTTCTTATTATCCCTGTCGGCTTGATCCGTCTGGTCTACCCCTGAGTGGCCGAGTTACAACCATCGCATATTCTGTATTCTTCATCAACCAGCTATTCAGAGTATTAGAAGCTCTCCTCTCTTCGTGCCAACATGGCTTGACACTAAATTACCGCATCGCGAGCTGTACGGATGACTACAAGGCGGAACATAATAAGGGGCAGTTGAAGACAAGAAAAGCAATCTCTTGTTGCTCTAGACCTGCTGATAGTTTTCGAGGCTCCCTAGGCAATTTCGTCAACTTTGCCAAGAAGACTATGCTGTAATTACCAGCCCAGTCGCTGAACCCTTTGTTATCTTGGACCCAGGCATCCTTAGCTGGAGGACCCCGGAGACTGCCGCTGCCGGATCTCTTGCCCCTATGGTCCAGACAGAATGTAGCCAAGTATGACAGCAACACTAAGGACTCTATCTCGTAGGATGGCATTACATAATATTTCCACGCCGCATGCCAAGCGCTCCGAGTGTAGCTTGGAAATCTTCCCACCAGGGCAATTTCCAAACTAGGTTATTTCGGGCAGGAGGTTACATCCCAAGGGTCGGCATTTGTTTCTGCTCCTGAAGAGTGCTGGCACAGACGGTGGCTCAAACCGAAGAGTTGGCTTGAGGACTAATTACAACAAAGACAATTCGATCCAAGGCAAACTTTCCGAAACCCGAGAGAGACGTCTCCAACAAACGTGGCGTACAGCATATTGGACCCTCCCAGTTCTCTAGTTCTATATGCATGTCGGGAGTTGTTTTTTGAGGCCGTCTCCAGTTGCTGAAACATTCGAGTCACCAAGGAGGTGGTCTTTCCCCTCGAAGACGGGAGTTCTCGGTTGAAAGCATTCGCCAATTTGACTCCAGCTTTCAACAAATTTATTTAACCAACCGCTCCGATCTATCATCCATATAAAAGCAACTCGTACATGCACCAGCCCATCAAAATCAGAAATCGAGTAGGTCATCGCTGTCATCAGCCGGTTGCCTCGATAGGAGGTCGGTAGTAGGTCGATCGCCCGACTCGAGCCACCTGAGTCTTCCTCGCAAGTTCGTCGCCTGGGAAGATAAGCCAAGACTTGTTGAATGGCCTCAACAAGTAGATTGATGACGATCCGAAGTATTACCGCACCCGAACCCAAGGTAAACTTCATCACAACTCCCACCCGGTGGGACATATGCTCCAGAAAAGGTAAGTGTTTGATGCGCTTTCCGTAGTCGAAGAACAGCGTCCGGATGAACCCTTGATTGAAAAAGAAGAACCATAGCGAACAGAACAAAGTTGGGGCCGTCATGGAATAAGTACTCTAACTGATTATCCCGTCGATTCGGAGATCTGAGAACCAAAACGAGGGCCAAAAATTGACCGCATACATGATGAGGATCATCTCGTAACAAGAACGGAAGACGTGTCTGAACCCATGTTTGTGAAGTGCTTTGTAGGAGCGAGCACCATAAGAGCAATAATCAAGCTAGAACCTAGGAACCGGGAGATCCGGCCCGGCCTCGGTTTCCATTCGTGTTCGCGATTGGGCCCCCTGGCTTCCAGATTCCTTGGAGTGCGAAGGGCGGCTTCGTCAAAAAGGCTCTTCTGGGAATGGTCTGGTTCTCCCCTATCCTTAACCAAGGTCCAAATTCTTGCTGCAAATCCCTTACTGGGTGTTTGGGCAAATGTGAGAGACATGCAGAGGACCGATAGCGCCCTGGGTGGTTTATTGGTGAAGTTGGGAAAGTACAGAACTCAACTGGAGTGTCCCACCCAGCCTTCTCCGGAGCCGGAGGCCCAGCGGAGGGTGAATGCCGCCTCTAGAGTGCACTCATGCTTATCATGCTCCCAGAGAGTGTAGGGAATTGGTAAGCTGGGAGCCGGGATGTGTTGTTCTGCGTTCGTATTATCTTCGGCGAGCAACCAAAGGAAGGCCCTCGTTTCGGAGTGACAGAGCCATGCCGCCCAGACCATCAATGGGCACATCAGGTTTCCGTCACGCGGCTGAATTTGGGCTCCATTTTCCAGGAAAGCCTCAACGAGCCCCTTTCGACCTCTCGCAGCCAAGACATGAAGGAATCCCGCAGCGCTCGCGAGCTCATTTCGCTTCCTTCTCCGGTCGTGACACACGACCGGAAGAACAGCCAGTTAAGCTGCCAGCTCGCCCGTCCGGTCAGCAACCTCGGAAACGGAAGTCCTTGGAGGACGTCGCCGGGGTCACCAATAGCTGGCTTAACTAATGCCGCAGAGATATTAAGGCCCTCGTGGCAAATCCACAATCCACGACGTCCACAAAGTTTGCTGTCTCAAGGACCTAGAAAGTGCCAAGCTCGCAGGACAAGCTGACATAGCGGTGACTACCTATGGTCAACGCAACAGATCACGACGCGGATGAGACGCTTGCACAGGAAATGTTCGCACGCAAAGCGGGGGGAGTCCTGGCACGTTGGTTGAATTAAAGGTACCTACAGGCGATATCTACATCGGAAGCTACCGAGACAGTCTAAATACAAGATTGGGCTGGTCTTCGTTTCCCTGTACACTGTACGGTACTCACCTAGGACACCACGAGAAGGTGCTAGTCCGTCGTCCTAGGCTGGCCATCGCCGCAGATTCATCCCGGCGCCGCCCGGGGCAATTTGATTCCCGGTCAACGGCAAGCTTCGTTCGACGAAGTGCTCGCCCCTACCACGCACAAATGACTCGGCGGCACACCAAGCTCATCGATATCGACGACACGATGGCTCCCCGAAAGAGTGGCCATTATTTTTCTTCGTCTGGGCAGCCGCCAGAGACTCGCAAGATACTCGGGGGGATCTGAAGTATCAGCTGCCCAAGTCAGCCAATATCCTCTTCGAGCTGTGTCAGGAGTCCCCTCTATTAACACTACAGCGTTCCCGCCGACTATCAGGACAGAGGATCCCGTCGCCCAGCCAAAGACCAGCACCTAGGCTTTGAAGGGGACAACGCGCCTCAACCCAGGCCAGGTTGTGATAATCCGATTTGTTAGAATGGAACGTGACGACAACCGACGAAACAAAAAGTCAAACACTTACCAAGATACACCACTAAACGAGACCAAGCTCCTCACATCGACACTTTCCACCCATCCGCCGCTATCACCCCACACGTAAGCAACAACGAGCCAGCGCCCCGTAAGCCAACAGGGTTTATCTTTGGCCTGTTCCGAGAAAACAATCCGTCGGCCCCACTTCCAGTTGCCATCGTTGACCGTCTACGGGCGTCTGAGAATTCTCGCATCTTTCGGATCTCCTACTAGATGATCTCGCCAAGATTTCGCGCCAAATCCATTCTCCAGTTGTTCGGGAAGGTTGATCAGCAGACATCGGAGAAGCAAATATCATGGCGACTGATTTTGAAGGCCAGCGTCTTGGTAGCCTTCAGCGACGTGATGGGACGAGATCATCCGTGCGAAGGGTCTCTCCTCTTCGATACAGCCAGGCCTACCGGCGGTGTGGGAAATGGGTTTGCAAATGTCAAGCAACTCCTGACGATGTTGCTGTTTCGGGTTTTCCGATTTTGATGTTTTACTTCATTGGAGATGAATTTATTATCATCTTCGTCGTCTGGGTTTCGTAGATGCAATCGTGGATGGTGCCTCCACAACATGAAAAGACTCCCCGATTTCGAGTAGTAACAGTGAACGGACGTTGCCGTAAATGTCGTGAATGAAAATGGCTGAGAGATAGAAAGACCGGGTAACGAGGGAAGGCTGGTTGAGAAAGAAAGAGAACTTAGACTTCTATCGCAGGAGAGCTCCAACTTATAAATGGTTACCTAAAATTTGCTACTATTGATCTAAGTTGACGGCAAAGCTACACTCTACCAAATTCAATTCTGTTCCTCACGACCACGTCTCCTCCAAGAGGAGAATGTTATTTGATTATAAACTTATCAGCCGTGTTGCTAATACTCGAGATGTCCCGTGATAACTGCTGGAGCGACTCATCTCGGTTTTTACCATGAATGGTCTTGTCGCTGGTTGACACCAAGAATTGGACCGTCTCGTCGCCCTTTGCGTAGTTGTCAATAAGGCTGACGTTTTCCTTTATGCGGTTCTCTGCCTCGGAGCAGATGTGAAGGCTCTGGCGGGTGGTATTCCACTCTTCCCGGAGCCGTGCAAGATCCGCAACTTCGTCCTCGGAGATCATGGTTGTCTTTGATTTTGTCATCAGTTGGTCCATTAGAAGTTGCATATGCCTTTCCAACGTCGTGGTTGTATGAAGAAGGAGTTCCCTGCATCCCTCTAGGCCATCGTTGGTGACTCTTTCAGAAAGGGTTCTGAATCGATAGATCCGGGAGAGCTGTGACTGCTCTCTGTGGGTCTGATCTGAATCTGATTGATGTGGTCGGACAGCTGGGCGCAGATTTGGAGACATTTTTGAGTGCTCAGCCGCTCCTCCGGTATAGATCGCAGTTCTGCTGCATCCGAGTCGGACTCAGCCACAGTGCGCGCAAATATGGTGGCGATCTTTTCGTCGATAGAAGATGAGCCTCGAGATCATCAGTGGCAGTCTTGATCATGTCTCTGTAACTTTCGATGACTTCAGCGTTGACTGCGGATTTGCAACTGATTGGGAGAATCAAAAGATTAGAGGTGCTGTGGGATGGTTTACAGAAATAGAGAAACTTGCAGGTTTGCGCCAGTGAGAGCAATGGTAATAGTTGACTTGTATCCAGACGGCAGTTGCCTGAACTTATCGATGTCGTCACCCATGTATTGTAGCTTGGCCTTGTCTCGAAAGCTTGTTCGATTACCACCAGATCGCGACAAACATGTCAGGATTTCCTCTTCAAACTCCCTACAGGCCTTGCCGCATCGTAGCAAAGGAAATTCAAGGGCACAGAGGTCTACATCACTCGTGGCACCGGCTGTCTCGGTTAGAGAGCGCAGAACCCCGTTCAATGCCTCCAGCTCTTGATCGAGCTCGCGTACGCGTTTGGGATGAAAACGAAAGTTTTGGACCGTGTTGTAGAGTGTGATGCTAGACTCAAAGGCAAAGGTAGCCAGTTTCAGCAGTCCGGAAGCCAGGCCAATAGTTTCTGCCATCAAGAAGAAGAAACGTTGCATGCCGGTGCTTGCCCACAGTGGGTGTGTTGACGGCATGACCTCTCGACCCCCCTCATACCACACATTATGGGCCTTCACCTTCCGGCTAAGCAAGCACTACCCCTAGTCTTAGGAAAGAAGAGAAACAGGGCACAGGGCGACAACGACAAGGCCGCAGCTGACCGTCTATAGGTAGAAGAACCACCGCCAGCCAAGATGGGCCGTATTAATGCCAGATAGCATGGGTCCCACGCCGGTCCCGCAGGATGGCACTATCTAATCCAACCTATTACGCCTCCTAGCCCAGTTTTGCTGGTTACTCGTCTTGAATAGGTACTCGTAGTCGGCTGTACTGGCGAATACGTTGGCAAGGCCTGAGAGGACATAGCTGGGCACTTGCCACCACGTTAGATCCCCCCAACGTGTCCGGACATTCCCTCGCATACGAGTAGCACGGCCCAGTGAGCTAGATCAACACTTAGACTCCGGCAGCTTACCCCATACCGAGAGCCTCCAGTAGATACCCCAGCGTAATCTGTCTCAGAGGATACATCGATACCATGGGGCTCGAATAGAGCATGTAATTACAGAGAGAGCTGCGGGAGAGCAGGCCAGACTTGATGGTATACGTCTCCTACAGCAATTGTTACATAACAAAAAAAGGTCAGGACGTGACAGACTCGACGGCCAGGATACAACTCTCATGATGACTTCGCAGGCAGGTCGGGAGAGGGTTGGTTAAAATATTCTGATAGATTGGCGGTACTGTCGAAGTGAGGCTGACGTTGGCAATAATAGCATGCTCGCTCTCTTCCCTGTGGCAGCTTCTCCCGCTTCCCGGCCGTCGGTTGTCCCAGTGAACTCGGTGGAGTTGGGGGTCTCGAAACTGCTGTCTAGTTCTGGCATGATGGTAGGTTCCACAGCCCTGATATCTTCGTCGACGGTTTTGCCGCCTCTGAGGGTAGCATCTAATTAGGGCTTAGGGACCCCAATCTTTGGGACAAAATGATACGCTATTGCCATAGGCTTTGGTCAGTCCTTGTTACTGCTGGATAGAGTTACTGCTGGATAGAGACGGGACTTCGCGGTTTGTGCGGGAGAGATGGCAGGTATTTCACCACCCATCATCACGACTTAGAACTTGCGAAGGGCTACCGGAATTTCCAAGCAAGAGTAGATAGGTTATTTGTGAGAAGCAGAGAACCTCCAAGTGAATTTCCCAAAGTAAGCCTTGACACTATGGAGGAATGGCTCAGAGCACCATAGCAGTAGTCTGTCCGAAACTCGACTCATTGTCCTCTGCTTCAGTTAGGTCACACTAGTTAGATATGCCCGATTCAAGAGCCTATTCATCAGGAGGAGGAGCTTGAGAGAACATTTACGCTAAAGACAAGAAGATAGATAAAATAGCAAACACAGTTTGAAGGAATGAGACCACATATTGTATAATGATCAGATAGAATAAGCCACCCGATCTCAGGTTTCCTTTCTAGCTTCCCCTCCACGTCTTCCCCTGAATTCTAAAGTGGGAGACTTTGTGAAGGGTATGATATTGATAACACAAATCTAGAAGATACATGCCATTATCACTCCCGTTATCAGACCCTTGAGGACGCAGCTAGGCGTCCAGGTCCATGTGAAACCGATCGACGAGGAGCCAACCGAGGTGTACAGAAAGGGGCAAAAGGGCCAACTCAGTAAGGAAGAGAGTGGCAAGAAGTGCCACAGTAAACGAAATCATGAGACAGACTCTGACATATTAAAAAGGGGCACTTCCTGCCCCTGAATGGAAAGAAAAACAGCAACCATACAACCAACCAGCTGTCAGTCTGACTGATCAGAGGAAGAGTACTGAGCATAAAAATGAGATGACTAGATGAAGAAGTTCCGGTCTAAGATACAGGAAAAAACCCAATATCCATGTCCCCAGGACAAGGGTTCCCTAGCTCTTACAAAGCTTTGGCTCCCCTCTAGGTCTCTAGGCGCTCTTCAGTATGTGATAATCCCGTGGTTCTTGATGTCTTGCCTCAGCGTGATTATAGAAGCAATGTGCCGCGCAGTTGATAATACAGTCAAGTAAACGGCCAAAGTAAAGTAAGCATCCTGGTTTACTAGCACCATCAGGATAGGAAAAGGGACCCGGAGGAAGAAAGACATCCAGGCAGGCCACTTTATATAGTCTCAAGTAAATGGATGTTACAAACTAACTATACGCTCTTGTCTTGGCCAAATATTAACAGGCGAGTATGTCAACACCGGAAACCCCTCAGAAAAATCGTGGGTGGAGGAGCGAGGCTGGGACTTGGATAATCTGACTAGGGCTAGGGTTTATGCCACTGCATTAAACATGTGCTCTAGTGCCCTGTCGTTTGCACAAGTGAAGGGGGGAGAGGTCTGGTCAGGTGTCACCTACCTGGATGAGTTTTTGTTTCGTCATCTAGGCGGTGAGTCGACGCGATCGACAGGCTGGATAGTTCCTGTTCGTCAAAGGGGGGAAGCTCCCAGGCTAGGAGAACACCTGACACGGAATGGACCTTTAGTTTTTGGCCCGTCCTGTCCAGTTCTCCTCCGTAGTTACTCACCTCTAAGCCCGCATCCTGAAGATGGTAGGTAGGAATGAAGCCCTGTTGCGACGGCACGTCAACAACGCAGACCCTGGTCGTGGTCTTGAACCCGTTGCTATCCGTCAGGAATACTACACACACCTACCATGGTGAAGGGAGGAGGGTGTGGTTGTAAGTGAGAATCAGTACCTGTATGTCATCGATGAATTTGTACCTGGACATGTCAAACTAGATCGAGCGGATTCTTCCTTCCCACCTGGTTCTAGGCCACCTCTTATCATGAAATAGATTAATCAGTGCTGCAAGGGCAACCAGAAAGGCAACCCGGCTCCAGATCTACACCATCAGCACAGACACCCGCGTTGCCAAGTCATGTATTGTAGCGGCTACAATGCAGGCTTCCCAGGACATCGATCGCGACATGGACATGGTGGGGGGGGGGGGCGCGCTCGTTGGTTTTCTTGGCCAGCCACAAACCCATCAACCAGCTCACCGCAAATGGCATATTCGGGTGGACCGGTAACGACGGAGCTATCGAGGTGGTACAGCGGCGCGCAGCTCCCCCCGGCGACCGGTGAAGGAGATTGATATGCGGGTGGAATCGGCCAGCCTCTTTTCGACTATCGGTTCTCCTCCCACGCATGCCTGCATACGGGGGCCCACCAAAACCTGGCACGACAACACTCCGCGCCGGTTGCATTGCATGGCTGGGATGTCTAACGAACAACTTTGCGGCCCCGTATTGTTGCTACGGGATGATCTACCTGGAATTATATCCTGTGCATACAGCCAGGAGGGTAATTGGGTAGAGCTAATTCGACTGCGAATGGCAACATGGCTGTTTTCCCCCCAGTCCATCTCAGCGAACTTCCATCGCCTCTTCCCGTCCCTTCCTCGCTTCTATCCTGCAGTGTGGTGGTTTAGCAAGCAGGAATTAGGTGAGGGTTAGAAGGGGAGAGGAAGGATGGAGGGGTGTGTGTGTGTGTGTGTGTGTGTGTGCGTGTGTGTGCATGTTACAAAGCAGCCAGACCAGAGCATCACATGCGAAAAAAGCAACGAAAGGGGTTTGGAGGGGATATCAGATAACGATCGAGGCGCTGGGCACCAATGGCGGGGGCTCGTCTCGAGTTGGGGCGGTAGGATTCCCAATTTCCCACCATCATCAGCAGATCAGCGGCCCCGCACGCAACCAGGGCGGTGCAGCACGGAGTGCATCTGCGGCGTGGGCCCGATGTGGCCCTCCCCTCTCCCCTCGAGGGTGACAAAAGCAAGTGTGGCTGCACTGCATGGAGTCTCTCTCTCACACTTCGCGATAAGATGGGGAAGGTCGATGGATGTTTTGATGGCGTCTGGACTTTCTGGGGCGTGCAGTATGGGTGAGGTGAGGTGAGGTGCCTGTACATCATAGCATGGTCGATGGATAATTGGCCTGCAGCAGCAATTAATTAATGCAGGAGGGAGTTTTTGACGGTGGGCCACTATCTATAAGTAGACCACATCCCTGATCGTACCTCAATGTCGCTGCACGGAATCAGCCAAGGTAGCAGCAGCCAAGGTGGGCAATCATGCTTGCGTGTCCTTCGTAGCTAATCCGTGCTGCATAGGTAGGCATGTGTCTCCCCATCCAGCCCCTTCTGCATCCCTTACCTAGGTGCTTGGTCTACGGGTGCTAGATTCTCGGAGACGTCAAGTTTGAAGGGAGTTGGACCAACGTCGTGAAACCCAAACCAGCACGGAAGAGCGGGTCAGTAGAGGCTAGAGGGATGACAATGCGGAACATACGGCATTCGGTATCTAATTATCGTCAAAGGCCATGAAATGGATTCGGAGGTTACCTGGTCTTCTGAAGATTTGCACAATGGAGTTTGCACAATGGGCTAAGAGTCATTCTTTTACCCCTTCGGCCTCCCATCCGATGTTTACGGAGGAGGACGGACATCGGGTGAGGTTCCCGGATCGTCAGATTATGGGGGGTTAACGCCCTTCCGGTGACCCCGCTTCCGGCGTGAGATTTGCTTGCCCCTCCGCTCCAAACCTCTTCCGTCCACACCCCCCTCAGCCCGTTGTTGGTAGTGCGACTGCGTGGCCCTTTTCCCGGTGGTGTCTAGTGTCTGGTCTAGCCGAATCTTGCACCACCGCACATACGAGTAGTAAACATGCATGATATGCTGACTCGGTCCTCCAGCTAACGCGCACCGACCACTGTCTCCACAGTCAACCCTACGTAGAGCTCAGGCAGCTTCGCACGCACAGCTGGAGCTCCGTATCTGTGTCTGTAAGCGAGCGGCCAGAGTCTAGAATTTTGGATCAGTGCCACGGTATGGAACCTCTCGATCACAGACGGCAGTGCTTGACTCGCTCACTCCTCGCCCCCGAATCCCACTCACTCTCCTCTAGTCCCCTCTCCCCGTCTTTTCGCCTCTCCCTTGCGTCTCGTACAGGCATTGCGAATCTGTTGAGGCAACCGCCACTTGTCTGCCCCCAGGATGCTACCCTTCCCCGCGTAGAGCCACAATTCCCATGGCGGGACCAACCATGTCGTGCAGTCAGCACCTAGAAAAGGCATACAACCCTCCATCTTATCTCTGTGGCGTCCACCAGTTTCCCTGGTACCACGACTTGCTTGCATCGCATCTGCGCGTCCAGGCGCCACTAGGCTGCTTCTGCCTATGCTTCCATTTGCGATTTCCCCGCTTTCTTGGCCCTGCCATGTTCCCCTCAGAACGAGGAGCCCCTCAAAATGAGGGGACAGCTCCGCAGCCCTGATGATCGAGAGTAACTCCCCTCCTTCTTTTGGCCACGGTGAGGATGGGGTGTGTGTGCCTTGTCGAGTTGGCATCGCAGGCCTAACCCCGTTGCACTCTGGTTGGTACCAACTGCTCTGTGCTAGGGAGCTAGCGAAGAGCGGTGGACACATCGCCGCTGCGCTAACGTAGGCCAGGCCAGGGATCAAGTTCCTACCTACCTACGTTGTAGGTATACTTGGTACTCTACATACCCGGAGATGCACCTCGAATAGCAGGGTGAAATACCATTCAACACGCCCGGACTCGAGATAGAACCGGGATGGCAGGGCGAGTTTCATATCGGGCAAAGCATGCCCGTGGCTCAGCGTAAACCCACGGCAAGTGTCGGAAGGGGCCAGGGGGTGCTACTAGCAAGAGATAAGGACTTGTGCGACACCAGGAGAGAGCATGCCAGTTGTGGTGACACCCGAGGTTGCTTGCGGCTTCTGCCTGCAGTCAGCAAAGTTTGTTCCCCAGGTTTTGATAGCTCCACGCCTGCAGCCCAGCTCGCGACCGACTGGCGTTAGAGGCCGTCATGTATGCTTCACAGGTCTGGGAAGGGTCCTGGCTACATCGCGGTTGCCATCTCTTCCCCGCATCTCCAGATTGCAAGGGAGGTTTGGCACGGTAATCCGTGGCTAGGGAATACGCGAAAAGGGGATCCCGTCAACACGAGATAGCTTTCTGTGTGATGCTACTCGAGCGATGTTGGGGTGCTGGCTGCTGGTCGGTGAAGATGACAGCATCGCGATCGAACAGCGAACCACTAGCTACCCCAGCTCCTCATTGACAGACCTTCAAGACTCAAGCTTGTGGAGTGGATTGGGTTTCACAACGCCGTCCGGATCGCTCATCGAGAAGAAGTCGGTCTGCAGACGCACATAGGCGAACATTGAATGTCAAGCACCCGACAACGGACATGTCATCTAGCCGTCATGTTTAGGGTGCCATACCTCGACCCTTGTATCATCAATCGACCCGATTCTGAGATGTGATGGAAAATCATTCCGATGTGACGATGAGGATATGCTGAAGGTATCATGAAGGTGACGGTCCAGGGTGAGGTATCATGAATGTTGGTGGTCTCGGGTGAGGTAGCCTGGGAAAGCAAATATGCACCGGGAAAATACCACACCGTGGCGTGGCCGAAGTCTGATGCAAAGGTGAAGCTTATCAGTGGGTGGACGCGGTGTGCTCTCCATAATTATTTCGTCACTTGACGAAGGCGTGCAACCGATTGACTTTGAGTGTAGCGAACAGTCCCTGATGTCGTCCAACCTGATAGCCACGGACCGCGGAACGAGGGGTTTAGGACGACCGGGCTAGCATCGTCGGGTCGGGCCATGGTTGTGACGATGACGAAGGGAGAGCCATGTCTCGGCCAGGCACACGCCGCACACTCCAAGCTCAACTTCGCGACACGGGAGTCGACCTTGGCAACGACCCAAGCACGCGGAAGATCACGCAGATGCTAAAAACCAAGGCAAGTGGCGGGCTGGAGTGGTGGAAGTGGCTGACGGTGATGATGGCTGTCACTTGACAGGCCGGAGGTGACACCCCGAGGTGGTTTCGCAGCTCGCTAATAGGAGATGAATCTTGCCTGTTCTCCAGGTGGACAGCTTCTCCGAACTACTGCAGCAACCCGCGAACCAGAGAGAGTACAGAGCCTGCGGGAGGAAAGGTTTGGTGCAGCAAGAGGTGTCGCCCGTCGAAACAGCCAGGCCTCGGGGTGGGTAACCATGTACGCATGCTGTACACCACCACCTAGGTAGGTAGCAGATGTTTCGCTTCGCCCAACCAGACGACTGGGTTTGGACCGAAACTGAAGCAATGGTGAAGTAGTAGGGCGCAACACGGAGCCTCCAAAAGTCCGGGCAATTGAGGTGGGGTACCTACCTCTATGACGCGTTTATTGGCACAGTCCAAGCTCTTCACCGCTAGTTTTTAAGCGCCACACGGGTTATTTGCTTGGGTGAATTGGGTGCTTTGAAAACCGTGCGCGAATAGCGTGTCACACCATGCCAAATGGTTTGGCTAGCGTATTGCTGGTGTTGTGACGGTTGTTGTCAGCTTACACTTACGGCGTAATCCGTAGTTACCCCTTGTCTGGTGGGTATGTGGCTGATCACCTGGCAAGGAATTCCTGCGAGTTCCGTGCTGACTGCTTGCCAGTCACAGCTCACTGTGGGCAAGCCACAGGCCTGATTTTGGGACTGGTGGCCGATTTGCAAGATAACAAGTACCCGAGTATCCATGTCTCCCACAATTTTAAGAATACGTACCTGTGGACGCCCTCTCATGCAGAATTAGAAACCAGATCATCCGATAAATGAGATAGAACTCCAGAGAAGAATGTCCATGCCATCGTCCATGCCATTTCCTTCCTCGGTTCGATCGGCATCCTGAGGCCCGATCCAGAAAATCCAGCCCTACGTCATTGAGCTGTCACAAAAATGCATCACGACTGTGATCCTAGTCATCAATTTAGTTAATTGCTACGCTATATGTAGTGTATGCCCTAGTGCCTGGTTCAATCGCTCCGCGAATTTCGGTGGACAGGGGGGCTTATAATAGCAGAGTAGCAGTATATGTAGGCGCTCCGGCATCAACAGGCCCACTTCGGATGGAAAGGTAAACAAACAGGAGAGAATTAGATGGAAGACGAAATATTTTGGCTATACAAATCCTAGACATCTCGAACTTTTTAGCGGAGACGAAGATGGGGGGAGATCGACAACGAAGATTCCATGTGTCTCTCCCCGCCTCCTCTTCGCGGGGAGCGGAGATGCGAACTTTGCAAGCTGCGTGTTCAGTCAGGATCGGGATCCATTTTTCTGTCTCGAGTTCCGCGGGGTTGGGTTCCATTGTTTACGGATACGTACCTGCACGTAACATGGGTGAAAGAACATGGATGAAAGCGAAGGAGAGAAAAAATGGCGTCTAGACCACACTAGTGCCGCTCCTTTTTCAGGCAGGCATCACACTGATCATTATCACGCTATCGCCCACCTCACCCCATTGGCCGAACCTTATCGAACGTTGCCATAAACCTTGGCAGGTGCGTCTGCTCAACCAGGCAAGGATAGCGCCGATCAGCGGGGGACCGGAGCTTTTGGGTCTGCACATGGCGCCAGGGGGGCAAGACCTTCACCACCCACCGTTTCGCTCTCCACCACTCTGAGGATGCTGCCATCAAGGTAGGCAGGTGGTCCGGCTATCGCTGCAAAGTGCAGACCACCACATCGAGGCAAAAAACTCTCGAGATCTGCTGGGACACTTTCGCCCCAGAAACTCTCCCCTTTCTGGGACCCCTTTTGCGGCTGTACCCGGATTATCGCAATTGGACCCCAGTCGAGAGTATGACCCGAGGCTGGGGCACAAAGTATTGTACATGTAGAGTTTTGTTCCGGTGGCACTCGCGCGGGTAACCCCTTTCCCCCCCTCAACCATGGTGCAGGTGTTAAAGGTGGTTCTGCTCGACTCTTGAAAGTAGGTACATAGTGCCGCCTACATGCCATCCATCCACAACCCCCATGTTACGCTGCCACGTCTCGAAAAGCCGGGCAGGTTAACGGGCCACGGCATGTCAGTGGTGGTGCCTTGGTCACCAGCACGGCGAAGTAGGGGAAAATTGCGAAAGCCGTTTCACCCGAACATGGTGGATTGGACATGAGAAATATTGCCATCGTATGCACCGGTATGCGCCGGAGGGTAACAACCGTGGGAAACCTCCTTATTCACTTTCCCTGTTTGATTGGCATGCGACCATGCATCAAACCCCCACCTACGAGGCTGAAGCGAAAACAAGGCAATCTGCCTGTAGAGTTACAGTAGCAATTCGTACAACAACAACAACTAGGAGTGATTGGTCAATTGCAGTCGAAACACGCCAAATCTGTGAGCTGGTGGGGTTAATATCTCTTCAGAGCGCCACCTACTGCATGGATTCTGCAAACCCAGCAGAGCGCATGGCAGTGAGAGCACCCGAGATCGGAATATTTTCTTGATGCTAAGCCTGAGTTTGAATCATTTACTGCACTTGCTCAATGGACCAAGGCCTGGGAGAACTTCCTGAGTCTCGTTCCACAATAAGTCTGGCCATGATGGCATGTTGGAAAAGAGTCAGACTATTGGATGCACGAAAAGACTTGGGCGGCCGCCAGCCCAGAGTTTTAAGGTACTTTCGTACATATCAACAGAATAATGGGGCTCATGCGCGGTAGTGGGCCGGAGAAATTTTAACCTTGTACCGGTACATGCGTACCTCGCGGGACGGCTACAATCACCTGCTGGGGGTGGCCCACAATACCAGCCACAGATCTGGAACTGGTAAAGTTCTGGAACCAAGCAAGTCATGCCTACCTAATGTTTTGCGGACAAAGGACTTGTCTCGCTGCAGATCCGTTTCTTAAGCCAGCTCACCGCCCCGATGAAATCACCTTTTACAACGTAGGTAAGACCTACTTTTTGATAAATCGATTGACTCGGTTCGATCGTAGAGCACGCAGTGGAAAGCAGGAATTTAAGCTGCATCTGTGATATGGTAGTTTCATTCTCGATGTTCAGAAACAGCGAATCATACCGCGGGCTGGGTGGGGTGTTGGGTTCCAGTGGTGTGATTGGGTTAAGTGCTGCGGCCGATAGCCCCACTCGTTTTGTGTTGGGTGTTGCTCTCCGATTCCGGCTAACGGTGTGGTCTCGGTGAGCGAGGGATGCCCTTGCAAGCTCAGCCGCCTTGGACCAGCCAGATTGTTGCTCAGTCCCCTTGTGTCGTTTTCCACTCTTCCGGATGCGGAATAGGAGGAGAGCGCCGTCAGAAGATCATTCTGATAGTTCGGCAGGGCTGCCGTTTGCTGTTCAAAAGGCTGGAAGGAGGAGAGCATGGCTGGGCTGGCGAGCATGAAACAGGCAGGAAAGTTTAGCCGCACAGGAATCTGCAAAGGCGTTTTGGTGTGCCCTCAACACCGTCCGTCCAATGAGTGATGCTGGAACCCCTCTTGCCCAGCGCCGTGGATATTGCTGCTGCATGCACCATACAGGTGCAACAGGCAGTAAGCTTCGTGATTTTTATTCCCTCTCCAACGCCCAAGCCTGCGCAGAAGACACGACGGATGCAATGCAGGGTCAAGAGTCCCCTCGTCGGGACCCTGGGAATCGTCTCGTCATTGACTGAATCCCATCCAACCAGGCATGACAGCTTATAAAAATAAGCGCGAGCCAACTCAGGGGCCGGCTGTTGTGAAGGATCGCTTCTCCTGTCAACTTCGCGCAGTAGTGTCACTGCGTAGTGTAAATGGGACGGCTCCCGCCGTGGGGCATCTCAAAATTGGGTTTCGCCGTAAATAGCCCGTTGGGCATAGTGTGCATACGCTAGTATTATTTTGAGGTTGAGACTCGCATCTCAGCTAACTTGGACATTCTCTTGGTTTTGTTGCTATCGCGATCTCGATCCTGGCGCCTGTTTTCGGAGGCAGGGGTGGCCGGCCGGCTTATCAGCGAGGCGGGCGAGGCAGAGGTACATAAGGAAGGACCTGTGGAGAGACCAAAATCGGTACAATGAGATCACTTTCCAATATCACTCTCAGACCCGTATATGTAGAAATAGTCCCTTTCTGCCTTTTCCCCAAGCCTCGGATTCTGGAACCATGCCTTTGCTGGGCCCGAGTCCATGGCCGGTCGGCCGTCTTGTTAGTGGACCGTATTCGGAAGTGGGGCTCTAAAGGAAGATGGCCTGAGCGTGGCTTGCATCGAATCTCACGCATGGGCCGGCATCGCCTCCTGCACGACAAGAAATTGGCGTCTCTTAGCGCTGCATGGATGGCAAGGACCACTGCAACGAATCGAGGAGTTTTCAGACAAATCAGCTCCTCGAAGGGGCCGACGCACGAACGCACTGCCCCTTGACGACTTCACTCCATTCACTCCTTGCCTCTCCATTTTCCCCGTTCCTTTTGAGATGGGCAGGGAACAGCCGGCCGTGCAGCAACGCGGTGGGCCAGACCCTTGATCTCCGCCATCTCCGCCATCTCTCCAGTGGGGGACTTGCACTATGACTTGACTGTGGATAACATCCCGACACTCTGCGGCGGATGAACCCCTCAGGCATCGGACAGGCTGTTGTCAACTCTAGGTAAATACGCATATCTATCTCTCTCTTAACATGCCATTCAAGCCGGGTCTATCGATATATGGTGTGGTGTGGGTGGTAATGATTGGTCGGCTGTCATCATGTCATGGTCGAGGGGATGGAGGGGTTCCAGCCAGTTATCACTGGACTTTGCCATTCGCGTATCAAGAACCCTGTCTGCGGGAGGTTGTAAGAGGGGAAGAGAAACTGCACACTACTATTACACTAAGATGGTGGTGGTGGTGGTGGTGTCGACGTAGCCTTGTCGGTGAGATGTCGTCTTGTCGTACTCGCAATTTCTCCTGCAGCGGTGCAGAGTCCAGGCCCGAGAAAAGAAGGCCAAGCAGACAATAGCTTTGGGGATGCATCTCGAAATAAATCCGGGTATTATTACTAGTATCAAAAGAGAAAATTGCGCCCGAGAGGTTGCAGAGTGGATCAGACATATATGTACATGACATCTGCTACATCTCGGCTTTACAGCTGGCTAGAGTCGTATGATGGACAATTGAAACAGATTGAAGAGCATGAGGTTCGAAGATGACAAAGACTCGGCGCTTGTGCAAAGTCTGGTAGCCTACGCTGAGTGTGGTGAGGTCAACAGCCCGGTCAGGGATCATGGATGTGACTCGGTAAGGGATGCACCAACGGAAAGAGCCAGTTGGATTAGTTGCACCGCGCTGGTGCAGCCTCATGTAGACTACTGCGAAGCAATCCCTACATGGCACACTCTTTACGAATATCCACCAAGGCTCTCGCTATCGGAGCCCGCCTAACGATGGCTCGGCTTTTTTGAATTGATTGCAGAGATTTCACCATTCAGTACCTAGGGGGGCAGGGCCTCGACTCATCCCTGCCGAGGAAAATTGCCCCAGTGGAGAATTGATAAGTGTGCACTAGTGTAGGTAAACTAGGGTAGATCTGATGATAAGTGGTGATAGCGACTCAGCATTCCTTGTTGTCTTGGCTCTTGGCTGCTTGCTGTGTACCATCCTTCGTAGTTCGTACGAGTGGATGAATACACTCACTGCACTTACTGCATACGGCCAACAGAGTTGTTGTGGAACTTCATGCCCGCACTACCTAACGAGGGGTGTCTCTCAGGCCCCGCCTGAATAGTGTGCTATTGGCTTGAAAAAGGATGTCCAAAACGGTGGAAAAAGCAAATAGGATTGAAAAAAAGAATAAGCAACCCTAACTGGCTGAACAGGCGAATGCTTTCGTCATTGTTTCTGGCCCCGCTGGAAGGATGGAATCCAATGGGATTGGCTGCTGCATCTCAGGAAATTCGAGATAGCCACCAGGCCAAGTGGGGCAGGCGGCTTGAAGTTACCAGCGAAAATGTCCCACTCTCGATTCTATCTTCGCAAGCAGGGCTCCTTTTCGGTACCAAGTATCGCCAAAATTGCCAAACGTGAGACCTACACTAGGAATTGTCGTCAAACAGCTTGCGAACCCCCGCACAGCTGTAGTCAGCTGGACCCAACGTGGATATGCTGGCGTCGCCCATGGCGATGATGTGCAAAATGTCTCCAGGGCCATTCCAGTTCCTCTTGACACATTTGCTGACGGCAGAGGCATCCGAGCTAGCGAACAGATACGCGAAGAGAGAATGAATGTGCAGGGAGCACATTTTGCCACCAGGCAAAGTCTTTTCCCCCATCTCACCGGTCTGTTGAGTCTGTTGAGCTATTCAGACATCCAACCAACCAGTCAATCAACCAATTTAGCAATCGTTTGGCGACATATATTGTGGGATTGAGGGGGTGAGTAAGGGGCAGGAAAGTTGCTAAACAAACCAAGGGAATGGCGCGGGGGGGTGCACCCATAAGAGCCAAGCTAGGCCTCCCCTGCAAGTACAGGTACCTGACAGGGATGCCAGTACGTACTGTTCCCAACCAAGACCACCACCCCGGTCACTGACTCCGCCGTGTCCGGTCTACTCCTCCCACACCTTGATTTCAACACTCCTCCTCCATGACTTGCTTGACACTACTTGGCTAGCAACCTTGAAGCCAAGCAAGCGGCCAGGGCACACACCATCTGTGCAGTAGACGCTACTTGGCGATGCTCCACGCCCCTGGCCGTTGCCACGCCGTTCCGAGAATCCCATCATTCAAAACCACAGCATCTGCTGCTACCCATTCCACCACCAAGTAATTCTTCTCCTGCTCAGCGCTCGTCGTTGTCTTTATCGTTGCCCCGGACCCCCCCTTCCCGCATCTTTCTTCGGGCTCCCTCATTCCTGGCTGTGGTATCCGGTCGAGAATAAGCTGTACGAGAAGACGGCTTCCTTTGCAAGGTGGTCCTCGTCCCCGGCCTGCCGTCCGCCCTAACGGCCATCGATCGAGCTCTTGACTCTCGTTTTTGTTGACGATTGTAGTCGAGTTCGCCTTCTCTTCTTGCCCCTTCCCCCTTTTCCTCTTTGATCCCCGGGGGGACTTGCATCGTTGCTGGAATATTGCCGTTGCATGTCTTGCCACCGTCCTCGTCAAAGATAACGCCCGATTGTGAGTAAAAGAAACCTTGCAGCCTGCAGCCAGAAAATCATGCTATCACCAACATCGCCACCCCACCAAATTTTCGTACCTACTTCCCGAAACCCTCCGCCCCCACACTCTTTCCACTCTCACCATATCTATCTATTACCTATCTCTTTTCTTCCCTGACCGAGCTGTTGCACCGGCATTGTAGCAATTGCTTTTGATTGTTGACCTTTTTTGCTGACCTTCCGCTTTTCCCGTCTCGCTAGGTTCTTCTCCTAGGAAAGACGCCGACGTCATCGATGAATCACCCCTAAAAAGGGTTCATAACTCCATTCCTCGACTCATCGCTCCACCATTCCCTCCTGGCAACCCTAATCTTTTGGGAATGCCGTACACGCCCCCCTCCCATCGCTCCCCAACATGTTCAGCTCCCACCTCGCCCGACACCAGCCGTAGGTCGTCCTTCCACACAACCCCGACCAGCGGAGCGCGGCCTTCACTACCCCGATCGGCGTCGTACCTGACAAGGCATCGGCGGACGGCTTCAGCCCCCCAGCCGAACAGTGGCAATGTCGGCCGACCGACGCCAGAGGCTACATCGGAGGATCTGAAGAACATGGTGTCAAGCAGCAGTGTCCGGCAATCTCCTCCACCGGTCACCGACAGTCGGAGAATGCCAAACGGCGCCATACTGTCCCCGCCTGCGTCCTCCCCGGAGTCACCCTGCAGTGACGAGGAGGATGGTCCCGAGATTCGAGGCCGCCAGGTGGAGAACCTGAAAGCACTGCATGATGCCATCAGCAAGATCCCCCAACACAGGGAAACATCGCCGAACAAGGCTGGCCCCGGAGATGTCCTCGTCCTGCCGTCACACGCAACTGCAATTGTAGAAGGCATGCGTCACAGTTTCAGCACAGGCGCTCTGGACGAGCTCGCGGCAGGTCGCCGGAGGGCAGCCCACGCAAGATCGGCCACCGAGCCGAATGCCTTGATCATGAAGTCGGAGGAGAACTCGCTGACGACATCTGAAGAGGATTCGGACGACGAGTCGCAGCGGAAGCCCCAGATGGTGCGCAAGAAGTCGGGTGAGCTTGTCCGACCTGCCCTGCGAGCCTCTTCACACCGGCGGCCCTCGAGCATGCCCGGCACTCCGACTTTCTCCAAAGTTGTCCACTTCGACTCGCATCTTGAACACGTCAGGCACTTCCTCCAGGTTGATCGGCCGCTCGCCGTCAGCACGGGTTCATCGCCGGCCGACACCTACGAGAGTGACACCGAGTACCCCTTCAGTGGGGCTTCAAGATCACCCCCTTTCGAGTGGGAGGTCACCATGACAAACTTGCCAGTGGAGACCCCCGCTCGGAAAGCTCAGGCTGTTCGGCTGGAACGTGTTTGGTTGTCGAGTGACCAGAAATGTCTGATAGGATCAATTGTCGTGCTTAACCTCGCCTTCCAAAAACACGTCACCTGCAGATTCACGCTCGACTATTGGAAGACCACGTCCGAGGTCGTTGCCGAGTACGCGGGCGAGATCCAGCCAAAGGAAACCCCCGCAGGCCACGACCGGTTCAATTTCAGCATCAAGGTGTCTGACATCTCCAACCTGGAGTCCAAGACACTCTACTTCTGTATCCGCTACAATGTGGCCGGCAAGGAGTTGTGGGATAACAACGGCGGCATGAACTTCCAGGTCGACTTCAAGAAAAGGATGCTCCCCCAGAACGGCAAGAAGGGTGTTATTGGCGCTGCCTCACGGGCCGCCAACGGCTTGCCGCGGAGCTCCCGTCGAGCAAGCCCCTCGACAGCTCCCCGGCCCAAGTCAATGCCCGTCGGCCTCGACGAGTTCGGAGAGAAGCCCAAGCTCAGCTTCGACCAGTCTATTCATGACTACCTGGGCGAGTCCGCGCCGACGGGACTGAGGCTGAAGGGTGTCAAATCTTCGGCAAGCATTGCCAGCGATAACCTCTCATCCCGACTCTCAGCCCCGAGCGGCCAGGCTTTCGCCAACCGGTATGACTTTGGTGCGTCTCTGACTGCTGCTGTCAAAGCCGCGAAAGCAGCCCCGCCTCCCAAGTCGGATGGTCTATACATGAAGCCACACAGGGCTCCAACTGTCTCTACTACATCCGACAAGGCCAAAATCACCAAGGATGCCATCCCCAGTGCCCAGTCAGCGACCACAGCCAACAGGACGGCGGCTTCGGTGACCAGCTCGCCCGGCGGTGCAAGCATATCGTCGTCATCGTACGAGGAGTTGGTCAACAAATACTGCTTTGTACGTGCCCTCGGTGAAACGCCCAGTCCCGGTCTCGCCTTTCATTCGACGCGGAGTCATCTCGGATAACCTACATGACAAGATCGACTAACATATTCAACTTCTAGTTCGGCTCGAAACCCCGCCAAAGTAGCGTTGACGATGGCTTCAGCACCAACAGCACCAACTCGAGCATCGGGAGTCCAGTGCAGGGAGTCGGAGCCCCCCTTCACCACGTGCAACAAAAAATCACACCCCCCTCCGGCGAATCTAGGAATGCTCGACATCCTGCCACAGCAGCATTAAGCGTCTCAATCGAGGCAACCGGCAGTCCCGAGGTCGGTCAATCACGAGCATCGTCGGCGTCGGGCCCGAGGAGCGGCAGGTCACCGTCCCCTGCTTCACTGGTGGGCAGCTTCAGTCCGTTCGCCGACGCGACGCCCAGTCCGTACCAGCACCTGCAAGATCGGTTCCCGTTCTCGGGTGCCGAGACCCACGCTGCGACAGCGATCAGGGGCTAGACAAGTTCTTCAAAGGCAGCTCAGTCGCCTCAGTGCTGTAGTGACACGCACTTGCTGTCAACTGGATAACTGGACTCGCAACATAATCCCCCACTCACAAGAGCGGTCGTCTCGGGGTCATCGAACTCGCGCCCCGGACAGCAAAGCAATGTCCACCTGATTACGGGCCCATACGATCGTACATTTCTGCCTGGCATCGTCCCCCCGCAAGGCTCACTTTTCTTCGCTCATACCTCGTCTTTCGTCGTATTTTCCTCTCCTGTCTTTACATCCTTCCATCGCATGGCGTTCAGGGTACGTTAATCTGGGGCAAAAAGTGGAATTCATGTAGCCCAGTAATACGATGGGGCTACAGGCTGGAGTTGGGCATTTCACGGCTCACGAATTTCTCTTTCGGCACTCTTTTCTTATCTCGGGGCCGTAATACAGGTCGTCGAGCGCATGGTTTCAAAGGCTCATTCTCTGGTTTTAATGCATAATCCTGCGTTTGTAGCGTCTGTCTCAGCGTCAGCGCACCATCGTCGCTTCTCACTCTTGACAAGTCCTTTCTGTTGTCTGCATTTCCGGGTTTATTTCCTCATGGGTCACACAAGATCTGACGGAAGTTGGGCTTCCGGGATCTGCATCAGGTCGAGGGGCTGGAGATGGAGGAGGTGGTCGATGCATTCGGTCAGGGCCGCATCGTGTACTGCGATACACAACCGGAGCCGGTCCTGTCGCATTTGCGAACAGGAGCTGCCGAACGACTGTGTGATCTTTATTCGATCCATGGAAAGGCGGCATTGCGTCGAATCCCAGACCACTGGCCTGGTCTCGGCTCGTGAGAGCAACTCCTGATGGAGCAACAGCATGTCATGGGTTGGCTATGGTTATGAACACCGTATCACGGTCGGTTGGTCAGCTGTTGTGACGGGTAGCACCAGGCCGGTCTTGAGGATGAATTTCGGGGGAACTTTCGGGTCTAGGTATACACAGATGGTCTTGTGGGAAAGGGGTTCGGAATCCAGGAAAATGCCTTTTTTTTGGCGGTTTTCGTTTGCGCGAGCCGGCATTGGAGCCGCAGCTACCGCGTGGACCCTCGGGCAGCATAAGCTGGGGGAAATGATCTTCAAAGGAATGAATTCTACATCTACCCAACTCTGCCGTTTTCAGTGACTCTTCTTTTGTGCAATATATCCACTCGTGGAGATGGGCGAGAATGAATGCTGCCAAAACCGATCTCGTCAATACGAGCCGCAACCTCAGTTCCGCATGAAGGATCAAGACCCAGTCGTGCCAGCCAAGGTAGTGTCGAACTAGAAGAGGAAGCTCCTTGGATGGATGTTCATCGGGTCAGCGAGCACAAGTCTACGATGCAGACGGGACAGCCCACGTGCGTGATAGGCTTGCGAGCATTGGCATTTCTTGGCTGGGGTTGTACTGCATAGTAAGGCGACCCCACCAGCCTCGAACCAATCATGGTGGCGGAAAAGGAGCAGTGCTGACCATTTCCAGGACGATCCACTGCGCGAATCCATCACCTTCCCGAACCAACGTGATTCCCACCCGGCAAAGAGGACGGGACTCGCCGATCATAACATGCCTGCCCTGCAGCTTTAATTGATGGCCAATAAATGGCCATCCCACGCCCACGCTGGCTCCCAATATTGACTTTGTGTGGGCATTGCACCGAACTTTTCGAAGCTTTCCCGACCTTCCAACGCCCCTCCCGCCTCCTCAACATGGAACCCCCCCGCCTTAGCCGACAAAGGCACAGGCGCAAGAGGAAGAAGCCCTCAAAAGGCAAGCAATGGTCTCTCTAGAGGCGGAGTGGCAAAAGGGTTGAAATAGTCCCCTTGGTCTTGGGAACCTAGCCATTGTCTACTCTGTTACTGCTACTCTAGCCTCCTCGCGCCTCCCACCAGGAGCGATCATGACGTCCCTCCTCGCAAAACTAGGCCTGGGAGCCCCGTCCACCAGCCGCCGCCGCAACAACAACAGAGACGGCGGCGTCGAATCCCTCCCCCTCTACTCCCCCATCGCAGCCAGCGACTTCTCCTCCTCCTCGTCGCCGACCTCCCCCTCGCGGCTCAGCGAAAGCGACTGCACCGACCGCGCCGCCACCAACACCACCACCACCACCCAGCGTGCCCGAACTCGCTTCCTCGCCGACTTCACCCTCGGCTTCGCCGACGGGCTGACGGTCCCGTTCGCGCTGACCGCGGGCCTGTCGTCGCTGGGGCGCACCGAGACGGTCATCTACGCCGGCATGGCGGAGATCTGCGCGGGGAGCATCAGCATGGGCGTCGGCGGGTACCTGGCCGCGCGGGGGGAGGAGAGGGACGCTGCCGATGCCGCAGCCGCGGCCGCGCGCGGTGGAGATAGGGATGGTGGTGGGTGGGGAGGAGACGGTTCCGAGAAGGAGGGGCAGGCGGCTGTGACGAGATATCTTGGCGCGCTTGACCTGCCGCCGCAGCTGGTGGAGATGGTGCTGGAACATGTCAGGCAGCGGCCTGGGATCGGCGAGGCATTGCTTCTCGGGGCGGACAGGGACGATGGCGGCGACGGGGACCACGAGGGGGAGCAGCGTGGCGGGAGACGACTGGTGGCATCGCCGGTATTCGTCGGCCTGTCCGTCTCGCTGGGCTATCTCCTCGGCGGCCTGCTGCCCCTCTTCCCGTACTTCTTCGTCAGCCACGTCGGCGACGGCCTGCTCTGGAGCTTCGCCGTCTGCGTGGTCGCCCTGTTCGTCTTCGGCTTCTCCAAGGACTTTGCGCTGAGCCGCCGCCGCCGCCGCCGGGGAGACAGCAGCAGCGACGATAAGCACGCCGAGATGGTGGTGCTGGATGGGCGGGGCCGTGTGGCGCGCCGGGTCGTCCCGTGGGGGGATATCGGGCGCAGCGCGTGGGAGGGCGCCCAGATGGTCATCCTCGGCAGCGTCGCTGCGCTGGCGGCCGTCTTGTGCGTCAGGATGTTTGAGGGCCTGGATATGACTTCGAGCGAGGCGTCGGCGTGAGGCGGGCGGTAGCATTCCTAGCTTCCATGCGAAGTTTTGCTCTCTTTGTGCATACACTTTGGCCATGTCCACAACCCTAGCCATGCATGGTGGTACTGTCGAGAGTCTTCTGTCCCTTGGCGCTCGTAGCTGTCGTCAAACTCTCGCAAAAACTAAACTATCCGGGACCTGTTAGTCAAGAAATGATTACTCTTAGTCCCGGCAGGGGACTCACCCTCAGACGTGTGCAAGAGCCAGGTCGTGACCAATATATCCGTCCGCTCGAGCCGCCAGTCCCCCGACTCCGAGGACGCCCAGCAAACCACAGCCCCGGAACCGCCCCAGCACAGACCCCCCTCACGGGTACCGATTCACGCCGCGAATCTGCGCCTGCCTCGTCTGCCGGTACGGCGTGTACCGCGGCGTGGGTGGGAACCTCGGCGGAGGCGGCACCAGCGACGGCCCGAGCCGGGGGCCCACGGGGCGCGGACCCGCCGCCGCCGCCCCGGCCCACGCCCGATTGTACTCTCGCACCTCGTAGTGGTAATTGTTGTCGTCGTCGTCGAGGGAGCTCCCGTCGTCGTCGTCGCCCAAGGGCCCCGTGGTGGTGCCGAGGCGGCGGCGCGACGAGGCGACGCAGCACCAGAGCAGCAGGGCCAGGGCAGCGAAGCCGAGGACGGAGCCTACTATCGCGCCGATCTCGCTGCCGGTCAGGGAGGGGGAGTGCTGGGGTGTGACGGGCGGCGCGGCGGCGGCGCCGGTGGTCGAGGTCGAGGTTGGCAGCTCGGTGGTCGGGGTCGGGCCGCGGCCGAGGGTGACGATCGCGGTGGTGGTCGTGTGCGAGCGGGTGAGAATTTGGGTGAGGACGGGGTTCTCGTGGGGCGGGGTCTCGGCGGCTAGAGGAGTTGAGAGGATCGCCATGGTGGGTTTATCTTGTGGGTGCCACGAGAGTGTATTTGTATTTGTATTTGTATAATAGTATCCAGGTGATGATCGCGCTTCAAACACCAGGGTTCGCCTGCTTATCGTACATCACAGCCATCTTCTTTTCGTAGCTCTGGAAGCGCTGGGAATCCCCTCATATTATCGACGGGGAAATGGCTTCCTTCCCCCCCTCCTCCCCCCCTCTTCTCTCTGCCCCTCCCTCGGGTTCATCGTCAGTCCAATAGTCTTCCGCCGAGACACTGGATTATCAGATGACAGCGCGCGGCACAGCTAGGCTAGCAAACACCTAACCCACGCCTGCCCAGCGCCTATCAGCCCAAACAAGATTGGAACCCGAGGTGTGGGAGCTGGTGGGTGGGGGGTTGACTACCCATTAATTAGGCAACCCCGGCCTTGGAAGAGAAAACCACGCGCATCGCAAAGTAGCTGAATGCCCGCCATTGTCGATTTCGAATCGCCTGCTGACTTCTATTGGAGGGCCACACCATTTCCGGCTCGGCCCTTGGAGCCCTGCGCTGCCGGCTCATTTGTCCAAACCCCAATCCCACCCCAACAGAGCTGCCCAATGAGGGCCTGCAGGTCCTGCAGGTCTGAACATGTCTGACATGTTTAGGCCGGACTTTTCTGCATGACGAATGGGCAGCTGCCTGGCGCAAACGTGAATGCGGGCGGGATTTTCTGTCTGCCCACGTTGCTATGTCGATGAAGATGGACGAGAGGTTGCTGTCACGGAGATGGGTGAAGCTTGGTGATACGCCTACTTCCAGCGCAGACCGGGAATTCAGCTATGTCACGGTCTGAACCGTGAACATGTCCGCCAACCTGGGAATCTGTCCCTTCTCGATGGCATCGACCCATTTCTCGATTTGTCTCAACCCGAACCCATCGGCACAACGACTAACAGCCTCTAGTAAATCGGCCTTCAACGCCCCATCTGTAACTTCTGCATCCCAGGCAGGCCATAACTGGCGCATACGGTCCGCGTAGACTTTCCTCAGCCGCGTCTGCTCATACTCCATCAGGTGAATCCAGTAGAGATCGGTCTTTCGCTCACCGTCCAGGCCGTCATCATACTCCGTCGTCGCTGTAAACGCCTTGTCGTATTCCGGGTTCTCGTCCCCGTAGCCGTCCCGGATCGGCTCCAATTCTCGCGGCGATCCGACTTGAAATTGGGGCATCTGGGACGCAACCCACACCGGCATGGTCGAGACGCATTCCCAATCTATCACTCCCGTGATCTTGCCCTCCACATCCACCATGATGTTCGATAGCGAGAGATCGCCGTGCCAGAGAATGGTCCGCTCGGCAGGGTGCTGGATGGAAGGAAAGATCTTGGGCAGTAGGTCTACCAGTCTCCTCGTTATTCGCAGTTGCTCCTCTGCGTCCTGCCTGTCCTCCTCGTCTTCTGCCTCCTCGATCTCATCTACCCGCTCCCGAAGCGCGATGGAGAGGGTGGCGCCCAGCCAGTCGTGGCTGGAGCGGAAGGGTCCCCGCGGAACGTCGTAGTCGAAGTGCGGTCCCCAGAAGAACATTGGCGATACAATCTGGCCCGGCTCCGGACCCGCACACGCCTTGGAGCCCTTCAGCGTCCCGATCCCGCGGAATCCCCTCTCCGCACGCCCGGGGCTGAAGAGCTGGGCCTGCATGTCTGCGACCCGCTCGACGAAGGCCCGCTTGGTCTCCATGGACATGCCGCGCCACCGGTAGTAGGCTGAGGTGCCGGACATCAGCTGCATCAGGATCCACTCGAACCCGATCTTGTTGTCGCTCGAGTCATCAAAGGCGACGACTTCGGGGACGGGAACATCGGTGTTGCGACGGATCCAGCGCAGCGACGGATCCAGCGCAGGGTCGCCACCTCGCCGGATGTTTCGTTGTGGGGGTCCACTGGGAGGGAGACTCGCATTAGAAGGCTTCCCTGCTGTTCCGTCTTGACAAGATACAGCTTGTTGAATGAGCCTGACGCGTGGAAAGACACGCTGCATTTTGTCTGGCGCGTGGACGCCCAGGGTTGTTCGACAGACGTTGCTTATCGCCTCGATATTGGGTTCACGCTCCCAGCGAGGCTCAAGGTTGAGGCCCCGGTCATCCCAAAGAAGTCCATCTCGACGGGGCTTAGACATGGCCGCCTCGGGTCATTGGTTGTAATGGTGCTGAGTGTGGTGGGGTTGGTAGCGTTATCAGGTGCACAGGCCACCATACCTGGCGCTTGAAGAAACACCCCAGTTTCCAGATGACGACGTTCAATGGATTCCACCCATGACATGCCACAAATCCGATATATACTTGCCTCCATCGCGTTGAGATTTCCAACCCATCTGAGCTTCACTCACTTCATCCCACTTACCTTCACACCTTAGGCCGACACTTTCTTCCAGTTTCCTTCATCACCGAGATCTCCAACCCCTTGCCCAGCCCAATCATCTTGACCATGGTCCAAAGAAAGAAGATGTTCCGAGTGCAGAACTCAGGGGTTTCCCAGCTTGATGACCACTGCCTACCGCAACAAGATTCCCGACTTGCCATGCAAGGCGTGAGTGGAACTGACACTTACACTTCCTATGACAGTCTACATGTTTCTCAGATGGCAGGACAACATCAAGCCATCATACACTCGAGGGCAAACAGAGGTTTGGCGGGTCGTACCGCCGGGGGAAGGTCCAAGACAGCTAGAGAGTAACTATATTTGCCAAATTTGCCTCGACTTCTTCGATCATGCGAAGGTTACAAGGACAGTTCTGAAGCGAGAGGCACGGTATAGTTTCATCTCTTTTCTGCCCCATTTCGTTACGCCCCTAACCAGGAGTGTATCCGAAGCACTCCATTTTCCTCACTTCCTTTCGCTCTTCCTGCTCTTCGGCCGCTCCGAATTAGACATGCCACCACGGTGCTCCCACCACCATTATTCCAGAAGCCATATCTCGCCGCTGCGCTAGAAACCTCCCTTACGCCAACCTTACGGAGACGACGACGTCGGTGAAGGGGGGGGTGCGCTACTAGAAGCAGCGCTGCTCGTCGCCGAAGACGGAGGTGCGCTCGCCGGGCTGCTGCTGCTGCTGCTGCTGCTGCTGCTGGCACCACCACCGCCAGTAGAGCCCACGGCAACAGCCTGCACGACCTGGCCGAGGGCGTTGAAGACGATGTTGACCAGGCTGCCGAGGGCGTCGTACTTGTACGTCTTCTGCGTCAGACCGCCTCCCAGGTCCTTGGTGATGCCCGTGTCGGTCATGTTGTCCTTGAAGTTCCCGACGATGGTGGCGAGGCCGCCGGTGACGTCCCCGGCGGCGCCGGCGACCTCCTGCACGATATTCCCGAGGTTGTCGATGATGAAGTTGAGGGTTGAGTCGCCGCTCACAATGGAGCCGAGCAGGCCGTCGACGGCGCCCACGACGGTGGTGACAACCTCGGTCACCTCGTCGAGCAGGTTGATCAGCAGCGGGTTGAGGTCGAGAGAGGCGAGGGTGCGGTTCACGATGGCGGCTAGGTTGCCCAGGCGGATGACCAGCTCCAGCTCGGCCGCGACGTCGGCGATGGTGATGTTCACCTTCTGCACGCCCACCTGCACGCCCGCGTTGATGGTCACCAGGTTGGCCACCGACGCGGCTAGGTTGACCTCGGCCTGCAGGTTGTCCACGTCCAGCTCGATGCGCTTCACCGAGAGGTCCGGCACGCGGAGGAGCACGTCCGGCGGTGATGTCGAGCTTGGGGCCGCGGGGGAGCTTGTTGCGCCTGCCTTGGATGTCGTGGACGGGGAGGCGCCGGACGATAACGATGACGACGGTCTTGAGGCAGTCGCTGACGTGGATCCCGTGTCTGTCGCCGAGGCCGAGGCGGTTGCGGTTGCTGTTGCTGTCGAGTCTACTGGTGGCGGAGAAGTTGAGTCATCTGGAGGAGCCGAGGAATCTGACTGCGCTGTTGAGGACTCTGTCTGCGCTGTGACGACGGCGGCCAGCAGCAGCAGCAAGCCGACGAGAATGGAGAAGATACGGCGATTCTGCATGTTTACGAGGCAAATGCTGGCAATGGAGGTGATGTCGAGGCAGTGGAAGCAATAGCAGGACCTAGCAAGTCCGGGAGCTCAGGCAGAGAGGCCCAAGGGGTGGGGAGACGCGACTTCACGAGGTGTGGGAGGGCTTAAGATCCCATTTCCAAGCTTGACAGGCCTGTCCCCTGAACCTCGATGGTGCTCGGGATGCGAGAAACTTGTATCATTCCGAAGTATCGTATATTTATATCGACAGATAACGTGGTATTTATTCGTGGTACGGTTTGAGGGTAGAACTGGACAGCGTTATTCCCCCTACAAATAAGGTTCGGATGTACCCCTGATTAACCCCAGCTCGAGCGAGGAATTATACGTGCAGCATACGCAGATTTGACATATGAGCCGTTTGTTTCGGGTGCATGTACGTCACGTCACCCACCCCCTTGAACTGCACTCGTAGTGAAACTTCAGGCATGCCACCCCTCTCACTTAGATTATTGGGTACGCTATCGCACAGCGTAACCCTACCTTGTTCCATTGGCCTCCAAGTTACATTGAAATTGTGTCCAGGCACCAAGTGCAGCTTCCTTGGCACAGCCCTCGTCCTTAGTCCTCGGGTTAATGCCTCGACGGAGATATTAAGCTTGGCTCGGGGCTTGTGTCACCATCCCACCTTCTAGATCGCCCTTTCACTGTCCTTAGTTAATTTCGAGTCCAAGGCATGAGCGGAACCCCGCTGCGAGATGCTTGCGCGTCGATGAGGGGATACTATGCCCTTCATCCGTACTCGTACGTTTGCGCGCCCTCCGTCGGCACCTTATCTCTCTGGCTCGGGGGCTTCCTTGTCACCCCTGTCACAATGGTCACCATAGCTGCTCTGCCTGGTTCTTTTTCTTGACTCAACTTCCACACCCTGATCCCAATCCGCGGCCAACCGTGGACTTCGCCATTCCGCACTCCTCCACGTTGAATCCATCAACATGTTCGCCCTTCTACTCAAGACCCTCTTCACCCTGCTGCTCCTGGTAGGGGTCACGCCGGTCCAGGCACAGGGCGAGGGGGGCGATGGCTACATCGGATACAATCTAGAGCACCGCGGCGACCCGGAATCTGCGATCTACGAGACGGAGTCAACAGACCCGGGGGTGGGCGTGCTGCCGGTAGACCCGGACGTGTTCCTCAACGCGTCTGTGAGCGTGGGCGAGATCGACATCGAGGTGGACAACATCACGGCCAAGATCAACCTGGACGCCCGCGTGCTGAACCTGCTGCACTTCAGCGCCGGCGTCGACGCCAGCATCGACCGCGTCAGGCTGACGATCCAGAACATCTCGGCAAAGGTGCTGCTCGAGGCCCGGCTCGAGAACGTCGTCAACATGGTCGACGACGTGCTGCGCAGCATCGACCTGAACCCCATCATCGCGACGCTGGGGCAGGACGTCGGCAAGATCGTCAACTCGACCGTCGGAGCCCTAACCGGCCCGGGCGACGGGAGCGCGACCGGCAAGCGCGACCTGGACTACAACCTCGCGCACAACGTCCTGTACAGCCTCAACGACTACCAGGGCCGGACGCACACGAACCGCGTCCTGGGCCAGAACGGCAGCCTCTACGACGTGTTCCTGAACAACGCGGGCGACGAGACGGGCCGCCGGGTCTCGGGCTACTACAGCCGCGACATGACCTTCAGCGGGCACAACAGGACCATCTCGGACGGCGGGACGACCGAGTACGAGATGCAGTACATCTACACGCCGTTCCCCGGCATCGAGGCCGTCTGCCTGATCTACATGGCGCCTGGCGGGAAGATCACCAGGGCGCGGATTATCGCGGAGGCACAGGGAGGTGGAACCAGCACCATCAGTGACGATTCAGAGAATTGAGGTTGGTGGGGGGGTGGGGGAATGGATGGGAGAACAGACCGTGGTGGTGCCATCGCTGGGCTGAATGATAAAGAGATTACCGAGGGGGGACATTTAGATAGTCCCATGTCCATTATCATGAAGCATAAGAAGCAGAAGCAGGTTTCCGCCTGTTCGTTCCAGAGAGTCCCGCGGCCAAAACCCATGGGTGTGAGAAGCAATACGATGGTGTGATTCGTGATAAGGTGATGCAGTGAGGTTGTATTTCCCAGATTCCCAGATTCCCCGCACGTCTCAGCCCAGCTTGCTTTCCCCTCACGGCAGAGCTAGAGCCCCCTGTCCGGGACCTAGTCGCTAATATGCAGGCTAATTTGCTTATGCCCGTTTGCATGGGGGTAAGCTGTGCCTTGCAGAAGAAGCTGGTCGCCTACCCAGGGCCAAAGCAGGGGGGGAGCAAAAGCTCCAGCCTAAAGAGTTGAGAAATTGTCCCGCCGTTTCATCTCAAGGACGCGCGTTGACGTCATCGATTCACCTTGCAGGCATGGTCGGATTAGAGCACTCTGTAAGTCATTCATGCGCACCACTGTTGCGACCAACAAAAATCATAGAATGCAGACAATATGCAAGCAGTCTATTCTGTATCCCCTCTCGTAAATGCGTTACAACTTTAACCAAACTAAATACCAAACATCCTATCAGTTCCAAATGCCGGCATCTTTCCTTCCTCCGCGTCCCAGCTCTCAACCCCCACGGCCTAGACCAAGGCACAATGGCTCTACGCCCTCAGGTCCGTTTCTCTCCGTATCCATGGTGGTAACCGAAATCCCCCACCCCAGACTCGTAGACCTTTTCAGCCTCCACCAACACGGGCCTTCTCCCAGGGGACGCCCTGTAAGCAGTCATCTCACCCGCCCGGGCGTCGCTGAACCACTCCAGATGGTCGTTATCGTCGGGGGCGTTTTGGCATCCGGCGGCAGTGCGAGCCCGTGCTGGGGCTGGGCCGGAGCGGAAAGGGTTGCTGCCGTGCGGCTTTAGGACCCCCCTGAGCTCGCGCGTCGTGGGGGCAGCGTCCTCCGGACGGATGTAGCGGGTCACGGCGAGGTCTGGGGCAGGCGTCGCGGGGACATCGGCGCGTGTGAGCTGCGGTGCCGGCGGGGAGGTCACGGTGATGCGTGGGATCAGGCGAGCTTCGTCGCCGGAGTCGCTGTCGTGGTCTGCCGTGGTTGTGGGTCTCATTCCGTCGTACGACGTGTCCTGCCCCAGGAAGTGCCTCGACCGAGCATAGAGAGCCACGTCCTCGCGGTCGCGCTTCATCTTGCGCTTCTTGGCGAAATGGAGGGCCAGCCACAGGATAAGCAGGACCATCGTCGTGCCGCCCAGGCCGACAACCGTGCTTAGGGGGAGGATCTCATCCTCGACGGCCGGGTAGATGGTTATGGTTACCACCAGAGCGACGCCGGATAAAACCAGAGCGAAGAGAACGTAGTTGTTGACGGTAGAGAGCCCTTTCCAGGCTTTTTCGACGGGCGTTTCCACGTTGGCTTCGACGTCCTTATCTTTGTAGAATGGGACTCGGAATTGCTCGTACCGGCCCTGCGCAGGGAGCGCCATAATCTCGGTAGGTTTTGTCACTTGATGACGGATAAGACTGAGTAAGAAAGAGTTGGGGACTTGATATCCGTAGAGTCTTGTCTTCGGTCAACCACCCGGGGCTTGATGCGCTTGGTGTTAAATATACCACACAGCCCACAGGCTCCGGGTCATGCTCAGACTGTGGTCCATACGGGGTCTTACTGCTGTCTCTTTCTGAGGCGAGGTGGACTGCCGGCACACTCCAATTCTCCATTCTACTTGGCTTCGGATTCGCCCACCAGCTATCCCCTTTGTTTGCCAGGCCGCAGGCGGTGAGCTCAACAAGTGACAAGTCGGCAACCATCTTGACCAATCCCCATTGTAGATCAGGGCGTCTGTTTGAACCAAGAGCTAAGGCCACCCTCTCTTGTGGCTGATTTCAAAACCGTCCTAGCTCTCTGCTGGCCTTGTGAAGTGAACTGACTTGAGACCTACACTAGGCCGGCCACGCCGCCGACCCCGACAATGGGCTGTCTTAAACAGCAGACGTATGTGGCCACCTAGTGCGCTACCTACAGTGTGGATAGACAGCCAATCGATGCTGACCCATGTGCTCAGTGGACGACATGGAAGGTGCAATATCCATTGGCTGCATCAGTTTAGAAATGTCTCAATGCCAGGTGAAAGACAATCCACGAGACGGACATCAGAGGAAACATAGCTCTAAATCGTCGAATGGATCTCGCCAATCCTCTGAGATGATCCACCACATGGAGGAGTGCATATTTACTGCCTGGAGATAAGCAGCTTTGGATCCCTTGGCACTGGGTTGTAAAAGAGCTTGAGATCATGGCAACCCCCTAAGTTGTGGAAGCTGATGTAGACCTCTGGAAGGGCCGGTCTTTCCGAAACGGGCTTTTAGAAATCGCGTGAACTTGTTTTGTCCTGTCAAATAGTTGAAGTCTCCGAAGATGGTGCTGGGCGGTGTGCAGTTTGAAGCCAGCATGGTATATGGGCAACTCAGTGCTCTACTGCATGTTAGTAAGACTAACGGAGTAAAGCAATGCCTGTTAAAAGAGTTTGTAGAAAAGCAGGAGATTCAGTAAAGTCCTAAAACAAGGTAAGTGGTTGAACTGCAAGCACAACAAAAACGCCTTGGGTATTCAATTCACTTCACCCTGAAGCAGGCCACACACATGTTGCCGCTCTCATAGTCTGCTTTCTTTGGCTGTTACCAAACTTCACACCGAATTTCTTTCCACGCAGCATTTTCCATCGTGGGCATCTTGACTCGTTGCCTGCGCCAGTTCCTGTTAGCAAGACCGAGCAAACACAGATTCTGCGTGGCTTGTACCGCTTTCAGCTCTTCTATAACCTGTTACGCCAGCGGAAGGGCTCGTGTGAAGCACGCTTTAACGGAGTCGACTGCCTGGAGCATTTTCTCTCTCTTTACGAACCCTAGGAGGTGGAAGAGATGGTACATGCACATACAATCAGGTCTCCCAGGGAGTTGGTTGCTTAGATTATATGCATTATTGGACCATGTCTAGCTTCCAAGGTGCAGCTGTTAATGACAGTGCTTCCGTTTCCCATCCATCAACGAGGACCAAAATAATAAATATAGAAATCTGTTCATATCTCAAACTGCAAACACATTACACCGATGATACCAGCTTCCAACACAAATAGAGACAAAAAGGACATCTCAAGGGAGAAGAGCCCAGAAGCGAGGCACACCAACAGATCCAGCCGTTTCTCAGTAAGCAACCTGTGTGTTTAGCCCGTCCAGCTCCCGGTCCCAGTTCCGGTGCTGGGCGATGGAGTAGAAGAAGTTCTCCAGGAACCCCTTTGCGCCCTTTCCGATCTTGATGGCCTCGCTGAAGCTCTCGGGCTTGACCTGCCGCAACGTCACAACGCCGTACGACTCGACCGGCTCGCCCGACGACGACAGCTCCACTCCGGGTAGCTTGAACGCGAGGCTGAGCAGGTCGACGGCCTCGCCCGTCGCGGCGACGGTCTTGAGGTGGCCGAAGGCCTCGCGCACCCAGTGCACGGCCCGGCCGTTCTTGGACAGCGTCGCGACCGACTTGGCCCCCCCCGGGACGAAGATGGCGTCCACCATGGTCGACCGCAGGCCCTCGAGGTGGTGGTCCGGCTGCAGCGACAGCGCGCCGCCCTCGGACGTGACCTTGCGGCGGTTGGGGCCGACGACCAGCACCGTCGCCTGGGCGGCCGCCAGCGCGGCCTTGACGGCGCCGAACGCGACGGCGTCGAAGCCGTCGGCGATCATGATGGCCACCCTCCGCGTTGCGATGGTCGGCTTGGCCGGCAGGAGCTCGAGCTGCGACAGGCCCGGGGCCCGACGGCCGTGGTTCTGGCGGCCGGCTTTCTGCGGGATGTCGCCGCCAACCATGGCGGCGACGGCCTGGGCGAGGCCGAGGTCGAGCTCGGCGATGCGCGTGACCATGCGCTCGTACACGATCGGGTCGTCGCAGTGGTCGAGCTCGAAGGCGAAGGCGCTCGTCATGTGCCGCTGCTCGACGGGGCTCATGCTGTTCCAGAACAGCTGCGCCTGGCTGTGGTGGTCCTTGAACTTTGCGCTGCGGGCGCGCGCCTTGATGCCCTCGACCTTCTGCGGGTACTCGAGGTAGGCGCCCTGGTCGGGCCTGGCCGGTGGCACGGCCCCGTGGCGGTTCGGCCAGTAGTTGACGTTGCTCTTGTGGATGGTGTGCCTCATGGCGCCGTCGCGGTTGAAGTTCATGACGGGGCACACGGGCCGGTTGATGGGCAGCTCCTCCCAGTTGACGCCCAGGCGCGTGATCTGGGTGTCGAAGTAGCTGAAGTTGCGGCCCTGCAGGAGCGGGTCGTCGGAGAAGCCGATGCCCGGCACCACGTGGCTGGTGCAGAAGGCGATCTGCTCCGTCTGCGTGAAGAACTCGTCCGGGTTGCGGTTCAGCTCCAGCTCGCCGATGTAGCGGACCGGGACCAGGTCCTCGGGCCACAGCTTGGTGGCGTCGAGGATGTCGAACTCGAACTTGTGCTCGTCGGCCTCGGGGATCACCTGAATGCCGAATTTCCACTTGGGGTAGATGCCGTTCTCGATGGCCTCCCACAGGTCCTTGCGGTGGAAGTCCGGGTCCTGGCCGGCGAGCTTGAGGGCCTCGTCCCAGACGAGCGAGTGCACGCCGAGCTCGGGGTTGAAGTGGAACTTGACAAAGTGGCGCTCGCCCTTGGCGTTGAGGAGGGTGAAGGTGTTGACGCCGAAGCCCTGCATCATCCGGAAGGACCGCGGGATGCCCCGGTCAGACATGGCCCACATGAACATGTGGGTTGCCTCGGGGTGCAGGAACTGGAAGTCCCAGAAGTTGTTGTGCGCCGACTGGGCCTGCGGCACCTCGTTGTGCGGCTCGGGCTTGCCGGCGTGGATCACGTCCGGGAACTTGGTCGCGTCCTGGATGAAGAAGACGGGAATGTCGTTCCCGACGATGTCCCAGTTACCCTCCTCGGTGTAGAACTTGACGGCGAATCCCCGCACATCACGGACTGTGTCGGCACTGCCCCTGCTGCCGAGCACCGTGGAATACCGGACAAAGACGGGAGTCTCGCGAGACGTGTCCGTCAAGACACCGGCTGACGTCACATCCGAGGCGCTTTCAAGAAGCCGGAATGTCCCAAATGCGCCGGAACCGCGGGCGTGGACGACTCGCTCGGGGATTCTCTCATGGTCAAATCGGTGGATCTAGCGACCCTAATGTCAGCTTATGGATGTTCGTCCTAGGTCGGGACAGAGAGACCACGTCAAGTCGGTTAGTTTAATTTACCTTCTCACGCGCAAACTGGTCTTCGAGTAGCGCAGGCCCCTGCTGGTCGTCGCTGACGACTTTCAACCAGTCGTCGGCAGTGGCCTGTCTGACACCAGTGTCGGAAGTGAAGAGGCTCTTGGGTGTGGGTGTCTTAGTATCCTTAGCCAGATCGGCCAGCTTGTCGCCTTGCGAACCCATGACTGCTTTTTGAGCTTTGTGGATTGTGTCAGGAATGATAGAAGCCATGAAGACGAGGAGTGAGGCGTCTATTTGGTCAGGGGAAGAAGAGGAAGAGGCCGATCAATAATAGACCAGGCATTGCAAATTGGGCGTCGTCTCATATAACAAGGGCGACAAAGTTCCCCCAAAAAGGAGGAGGCGGCAGGAGCCATGGGATATCATTGACGTCAAGCAGACGTTGTCGCATTGTAATTAGTAGTACATGGTACGTAACTGGGGCCTGAGTGCCTTCGCAATCCGGTAGGTGGATGTTTGCTGGCAAGTTGTATCCAGTCAAGCCAGTTCGTACGGACGTTGCAATAGACGTTAGTGTCGAGCTACGTAAATCGTGATGTAATCACTTGTCAGGCACTGCACCGACTCCATTTCTTAGGTACCAGAGCTACAACCGACTGGGATGATTGGATGATGGAGGAAGACGGACATGATGTAATTGGCCGCAAAAGAAATAAGCAGACCCTGATTGGTCTGAGGGGATTGTCATGATTCTTGTAAATCGTGATCGCTGTCTGCATTGCGAATTTAGAATTCCATATTCCGTATTCCCGCGGAGAGACATCAGAAACAGTGGGCTTGCTTGCAAACTCCCCGAATTATGGCCGTCGATTCTCGCATCTGACATGTCCCCAAGGAATCGTGCTTAATGCACGCTATTTAATGCACGCTATCGGCATAGCTACATACCTACCTACCTCAGTAGCAAGAACTTGCCTAAGTTTCTAGATGAAAAACGTCGTCGTCTTCGCTGGACACATAATGATTCCCCGCTCTCCGAGTCGGTCTCCGAGGTCACACAGACCGTGTCCAACTTCTTCCAGCAGTTCATGATAGCATCTGGAACTGCCCACTCGCCCTTGCATTCGAGGGTGACCTTGCTGCCGGCCTCTTCACTTCCCTCCCCACCACCACGAGTGTATTCGAACGAGAGCGGCCTGGGCAAACCGTGGTCACGGAGCTGGGACGTTGCGTGCTCCAGCTTGTCCATCCGCAGGAGCGCCCTCGACATGGCCTCCATCAACAGGTTTAAGGTCCGCGGCTCGGCATCGACCCGCAGCTGCAGGTGGGGACTCAGTCCGACTCGAACCAGGAGATCTCCGGACCCTCGATTGGGCTGCCGGGCATCCAAATGCGGTGCGATACCGTAGCCGGTGAAGTACCAGCGTCCGCTGGGAGAGTACCCCACTCAATGCACGCTCAGGGACTCAAGAAGCGGCCAGCGATCTCCCTCTTTCCGATTCTGGATGCCAGGGCAGAAACAGATCCGGTGACATCAACCAGTTCTTCAGCTCCAGTCTCTTCAGTTTCTTTGAGACGAGGTGGAGACTCCGGTTCACCCAGTCATAGCCGCCAGGTTCGTAGAGAGACGACGGTCTGAAGTGATGGTTGGTCGGCGTGTACCACTGTCCCCTAAGGCTCAACACCGTAAGGTTCTCCAGTGTGTCGAATGCCACCAGTGTCCTGGAGAGATCTAAAATATGGTGGGGGTGTTACGGTTCAGTAAAGCTCTTGATTAGCAGTCATGCAAAAGGGGGACTCGTACCGGCCCAATGCGGCTTCCTCTCCGCGTCAAAACACAGTGCCGGGGCCCCAGTAGTCCACTCCAACTTCTTCAGATTCGGAAACGAACGAACAATCGTGGCCGCAAAGTTGGGCGCCATGACTAGTCCTCGATTTTGATTTCTGGTAAGGGAAAGCTCCGTGACGACGGGAACAGTTGGCAGCATGGGCCCGTCGTCAAAGTTCACAAAGACCGTGTTCTTCAGGTTTAGATGGAAGGGGCCGAAAGCCATGTACCCGCGCATCTCGGACTCGATGTTCAGCGCCAAACCCACCCGTCCATCGTGGCGAAACAACTGATTGACTGCATTCAGGAACTGGTTGAAGTCCCCAAAGCAATCCCGAGTAATATAGTGGTTCAGCCGCCGGACAATAGTAGTAGAGCTGAGATATGTAAGGGCCGTGAGATAGCTTCAGCGGCGGGGATTCGTGAAGAGGCTCAAGAAACGGGCTATCTGCGATGGATCATTTTTAACGGTATACTTCTTGTAAATCCGTCTTAGAACGGCATGGTTCCAGGTCTTCGAAACGAGCGATATTGGGGCAAGAAACTTCAGGTCCGGCTTGCGCGTGCCGATAAAGAAGTCGACAATTAAGTTCACCACATTTTTTGGGGTCCTCGCGCGCCATCGTGTCCATGATGCCCGACGGGATCGAAGGATCTTGGACTTGGGTGTCGAGCTGCCGCAGTTGCTGCAACTTGAGTTATTGATAGGATCCAGGGGCGATGGGTGGTTATTGCATTATATACAGGTAATCAGGCTTGGGCCATGCGTCCATTGATTCATCTAATGATTGATTCTGAATCTGTCACACACGAGAGAAGATGTGGTGATTGGGTTTCAGATTCCTATTCCTGATTCACGACAAGAATATGACTCCTCGACAGCGGCATCGTACGAGCAAAACAACGTCACCGACTCATAACCACCCAGGGACTCCCCGAGATCCAGGACCTAACCACCATTCTCATTATGACCTGCCGCGTGGCTGTTTCTTATTCAGCCTTCACTCCCATTTCGCCCTCCTTTTTGGCTCTGTCACCGCAACGCACGCCACATCGATACTATCAATGCTTCTCTCCGAGCTTCCTCTCCTGGTCGATCTGGTCTTGATCCACAATAATGACCGCCTTCCCCTGAATTTTCCCTCCGTGGACCACCTTAAGCAGGTCAAAAATGCTCTCCAGACCATGAAACACCACCGTCTTGGGCTCAATGCCATGCTCGGCAACAAACTCAACCATATCCCTGCTATCCTGCGCCGAGCAGAGCACACTTCCGTGGACCCTGATGTCACGGAAAATGAGCTCTCGGAACGGGATCTTGACGACATCCGGTTGCGCGACCTGTATGACCGTCCCATGCATCCTCGTAACAGCACACGCCAGCGCCGCCGCATCATCCGTATCCGCCAACACGATCGCCGCATGAGCACCGCCATCCTCCCCCTCCCCAACCAGCTCCCGCACCCTCTCGGCCACCGCCTCAGCCCCCATTCGCGCATCCACCACCCCGTCAGCACCACACTCCCTCGACAGTGCCAGCGCCTCATCCCGCGCATCAATTCCCACAACCCTCAGCCCCCTCGCCTTCGCAAACCGTACCCCCAGATGTCCCAGCCCGCCCCCAGACCCCACAATAGCAAGCCACTCCCCCTCCCCCAGCCCCGTCGCCACGACAGCCCTCCACACCGTCCTACCCGCACACGCCAGCGGCGCCCCGGCGACCATGGACACCCCCCCCGGCAGCGGCGTCGTCCACCTCGCGTCGACGCGCACGTACTCGGCCAGACACCCGTCGACGAGGACGCCGACGTGGCCCGCGGTGCGCCGGCAGTAGTGGCGCCGCTGCTCCGGGCCGAGGCAGTCGGCGCACGAGCCGCAGGCGTGCAGGGGCAGGCCGCACACGACGCGGTCGCCGGGCCGGAAGAGCGAGGTCGCCGAGGCGCCGACGGAGACGACGGTGCCGGCCCCTTCGTGCGAGGCGGTGCAGGGGAGGGCGGTGGAGAAGACGCCCGAGGAGACCATGCTGTCGGTGTGGCAGTAGGAGGCGGTGGCGACCTTGACGAGGAGGTCGTGGGGGCCGAGGTCGGATGGGACGGGGATGGTGGTTAGGATGTAGGGTTTGTTGTATTCTGCTACTCGGACGGCTTGCATGGTGGAGGGGATTGGGGGGGAAGGTGTTGACGTCATGTTTGTTTTTGTTGTTGTTTTTTTTGGGTGGGATTGGATCTGGGAGAGAAGTTGGCCTGGTGGTGGAGAGTGTGTTGTTATCTTGGGTCAGATGGAATGAGAAGTTATGAGATGGAGGAGGGCGGATAACTAATATTGGCGGATTTGTATCTTTGTTGCTTGTGGATGATCTGCCGGCGATAGGAGAGAGTAAGTGGAGGTGGGGAAGTCATAGGCAGCCACGGCCTCCTCACGGCATGTTGGAGACACGTCGCATCTTCAATTGTCTCATGACAACTCCCTCGGTATACCCTGTCATTGCTCATGGCGGCAGGAGCAGACTAGCTTTTTGTCGTAGAGTCGAGATTTGTCCCTGACCTTGGTGGAGGAAGAGGTACGATGTTCTTTTCTATCCTTACCTCGGTTCATCCTCTACTCTCCGGCGAAAGGGACCCTGGCACCCTCACTTTCGTTAGGCCACCACCCGCCTCGTCTTGATTTCACCGTTTCTACGTGTGAAAGACACGAGTAAAATGGACTGTTGATTTTCTTCTACTTAATTTTGTGCTTTGGGATAAGTATGCGTTCTTCCTCCCATCATCCCCTGTCCCGTGTTCCTGCAGCTCCAGCAGCATCGCCTTGCTCCAATGCCCATCCTGCGATCCCTGCCACTAAGATATGTGTTCTCGTCATTCCGATCCGGTAGGTGCTGGTCTCATGATAAGCTGTTGATATGTCAGGATCAATATCAGGTCAGGGAGACCAGGGTCGAAGGCGGGCACTTCGAGAGACGAACCTTTAGGAAGGTACCTTGGCAAGGATGATGACGAACCAGGCAAAGGCCATGAACATTGCAAACGCAAACAGGAGGAAGTAGTTCTCGGTCAAGTAAACGGGAGGACGCGTGGCCTCTGGATTCGCCACGGGGCCACGCTCCGGAACTGGAATGGTGACGAAGCTGTCGCGGCGTCTTGGGCGGTTGGGGTGGCTCGGGTGTTGGTTCGGGTGTTGGCTCGGCAAGCCAGCTGCGTGGGACAAGTTGGCATGCCCGCCGAGGAGACCAGAAAGTTCAGCCGGAGCTGTTGGAAATCGGAGTAGAGCTATTCAAGGCAGATTTGTCAGTCAGGTACATTTACTTTCAGATACTGTACTTGTTCAAATTGTCGCCTTGTCGGCAGGCTTGGAGGAGTTCATACCATTCATCGGGCCCTGGGGGACGGGACCTGCTTTGGTGCTAGATTTGTTGTCCATCTTGACAGTTTCTGGCTCTAGAAGTCTTCTTTGCGTCGTGATGCCGAGAGATGTACTGCGAGAGATTTATCGCAAGAAGGAGGGCAGGCGACCGCTCAAGTGCAGGACGCGATATGCGATGTTTTGCAAGAAAGCCTCGTCGGAAGAAACTCGCTGGGGGACTTTGCTTTATTTATAACCCACGGTCAGACAACTTCTTCACTGCTGTTACTTCCTTGCAAAATGTGCCCTTTGTTTTGGTCTTCGTCTTCCTACCTAGTGAATGTGCACCTGCTCAAGGTCACCTCCGGCAGTCCGCCTGGTCCCCACATAGTATCCCCCTTGTATTCACCATTGGTGTTAGAAGGAGAGTCCCTACAGCATCCTTGGACCCTGACCCTACCCTCTGCTTCTTGGGCTCACCAAGTGATCGTCTCTGATGCAGATGGCGGAACTACTGCTGCGTTGAGATTCCCCTGGAAGATAATCAAAACAAAATAAAGTTCGACTTGTCCAAGTATCTAACCGTCTGTTTAGCTCATTAACGGCCTGTGATTTATATGATAGAGGACGGACCTCCGGAAAGGTAGCTAGAGGAGGTAACATGTCAAATTCTTTCCATCCCTACTTAGAGGACGATAGTCTGGTTTACATGAACAGATATCCGTCTCCCGTGGTAGCAAGGGCTGGGGGTAATTCCCTTCTACGGTTTCACAAGACAACTATTCCCCCACACGCGGCTAATTCAAGCCTTGCCATCGTTACAGATCCGTTGCCCATGGATTCCCTCAGGCAGACGTAATTATCTTCTCGATCTCGTCCGGATCCTTGACCACCGTTGTCAGATTTATAGACCCGTCCTTGGTGATGACAAGATTATCCTCAATTCTGCGGGAGCAAAAAATGGTCAGTTGAACTCTCACTGTCACCAGCAAAGCTTGGGGGTTGGAGTCATGTCACATACCGAACTCCGCCGACATCCCAGTATTTCTCCAGCACCTCGGCGTCGATGTACTTGGAGTGCACCGGATCCTTCAGGTACGGCTCGATGATGAAGTTGCAGAAGTAGATCTGGCACCCAGAGGTCAGCAGGGCCGTAGGGAACTAAAATGGAAAGGGAGTTTTCCTACACCAGGCTCAACGGTAATGACGCTCCCAGCAGGCAGCGCCCCCCTCACACGGAGGTACCTGAACATGGGGTCCGTATCGGCATAGTTGGGGTTCCCGCCCGTGTCGTGCGTATCCATGCCGAGGTAGTGGCCCAGGCCGTGCGGGAAGAAGGCGACGCTGGTCCTGCTCCGGAGGATCTCCTCCTTGTCCCCCTTGAGGATCCCCAGCGCGAGCAAGCCGTCGATGGCGACCTTGTGCGCCAGCAGGTGGACGTCGTCCCACAGGACGCCGTCCTTCAGCGCGGCGATGCACTCGCTCTGCATGCGCAGCACCACGTCATACACGCCGCGCGACTCGGGGCTGAACTTGCCCGACACGGGGAACGTGCGGGTGATGTCGGCGGCGTAGCAGTTCCACTCGGCGCCGGCGTCCAGGAGCAGGTTGAGCTTTCCTGCCAGGGGCGCGTCGTTGGCGACGTAGTGCAGCGTCGCGGCGGCGCGGCCGCTGGCCACGATGGAGTGGTATGCCTGCTCCTTGGCCCCCGCCGCGACGAACGCCGCCAGTACGACAGCCTCGAGCTCCGTCTCGTTGCCGACCCGGCGGACCTGCTCCATGGCCGCCTGGTGCGCCCCGCTGCTGATGGCGCTGGCCTTGGCCATGAGCGCGAGCTCGTACTCGTCCTTGACCACCCGGCAGGTCTCGATCGCCTCCTTCAGCACCTTGAAGTCCTTGTCGTCGAACTCGAGGAATGTGACGTGGTCGGACACCTGGTCCGCGATGGCGAACACCTTGCTCTTGTGCCCGGAGGAAGCGGACGATAGCGAGGCGCCCACGTGCGCGAGCGTGGCGTTCACCTCGGTCGTGTACTTTACCTCGTCGACGTCGAACTTCTCCTTGGCCTCCTCGGCCGAGAGCGGGAGGCCGGACCAGATCACGGTCTCCGGGTCGACAGGAGGAATGAAGAGGGTTGACTTGGCTGTCTCGATTTCGTGAATCAGATGGCAGTCGGCAAGGGGGACGCCCGTGAGGTAGTAGAAGAATCGCCGCTGGCTAGAGGGGGCCACGGAGAGGTCAGCAACGCTGCTGATCATACTTGGGAATGCAGGCTAGGGGGGAACCATCGGGTGTCCTACCGGAAGTGTTCAGGCTCGTCATTGTCCTCCAGCAACTTCGTCATGCGACCCTCAAGGTACAACACGCCGGAGGCATCGGGGACTTTCGACCGGATGTAGTCAACGACGCGCTTGACGTGTTGCTTGGCCGGGTATTTGCCTTGGAGGATCGAGTTGTAGTCCATTGTGCGAGAAGGAAGCTTGCTAAAGGATCTCAGAGTCGTAGAATAGACACGATTGAAGCGAATGAAGCGAATCGGCAAACTGAAGGAGGAGAGGGATGGCATAATTTACCTACCCCCAATCGTGCGCAGCACATTGGGAAGCTTGTTTGATGGTGCGGGGCAACGGCTTACGTCGTACAGAGTGGGGTTACCTAAAAACGGCCAACCGTTACTAACCGTCGCGCAGCGCGGGACCGTTAGTACCCGGAATTTTCGGTAGAGTTTGCAATGATTTGCACTGGAAAACATTGGATGCTGGTTTGATCGCTGAGAAATCAGAACGTTTCGAAGACAAACACCAAAATGTCATGTCATTTGAAGGGCGCAGTGCCTATAATGCATCCCTTCAGATATGTGTGCCCCCAATACACCGCCAACCAACGCTCTAAAGATGCTGTGCAATGCTGAATGAAACGCTGTGTATCAAAAATGCCAAACCATGCCTTCAAAACTCGCAGTTACCAACTCCATCCGTAGCGTATTCTCTCCTCTAATTCAAGGCCAGAAGGGATGAAGGCGGCCATCATGCCAAAGGCGCCCCTCCAGGCTGTCCAGGTCTAGCCCGCTCCTCTAGCAACCCGCACCCCTCAGCAGCTCGCACTCCTCCATGAGCTCCCGGTCCCGGACGAGCAGCTCGAACCTCGTCAAAAGACAGAACCCGACCTCCAGCCACGCCAGCTCAGCAGCCCCGACGCCGCCGGCGGCCGCGACCAGCTTGTGCTTGTGGGGGCCGTCCTCGAGCGCCTTGGACGCCACCCTCAGCGCCGCCAGCACAAGCCGGTGCGCGTTGTGCGCCGTGACCAACCCCACGCCACCGGCCGCCATCCGCCGCAGGTACAGGCTCGCCGCCAGGTAGACCCCCGTGCTCATCGGACACATCTCGTGGATGAGGCCCAGGTACTGGGTCACCGAGATGGGCGGTGCGCGCACGGTCGCGAACTTGCGCATGATGGAGCGGCGTTGCTCGTCGGGCTGTCGGGGGTCGCCGCTTACGACGATGCGCGGCTCGGGAGGAGCCGGCTCCTGCTCCTGCTGCTGTTTCTGTTGCTGTGGCTCGGAGCTTGGCCCTGGCTGGGGTCGGTTCCGGTCGCGCAGGTAGACGCCATCGATGGGTTCCGGGGTGGGAGCGGATATTGAGTCCAGCGCGGAACGGTAGTTAGATGGCCGGCGCGTAGGTCGCTCTCCGAGGAGCGGCGAGTCTAGGATTCCTGCGGCCGCCAGTTCGGCTCGGTGTTTCTCCGCGCGGGTCTGTACTCTGCTCTCCATCTTGGGCTGTATCTGTGGCGTCTGTGGCACGGGGGGAGGAGTCGTGGGGGGCGGCGGCGGTGGAGGTGGCACATCTCCCGCCATTCCCACAAGGACCTCGATGCCGGCGCTGAGAAGGTCTAGTGCCTCTCGTGGCGTCACTTTGAATAGGCTATCGATCCGGCTGTCGGGCCACGGAGGTGTGGTTTGTCGCGGGGACGCTGACGGGGCGACATGCTGTTGATCCGACATTCGAGTTCTGCCGTGCGCCCGGGACGGCCAACTTGGGGGTTTCAAGAACTGCGTGTTGCCCACCGCGAAACCCACGGTGTTTGTATTTCCAACCGTCCGCATGCAGTCCGATCAATTTTGGTTGTTCCCGTGCCCTCGTATGCCGACTGGAAGCAGTCGGCATACGCCCTAGCCAGACTAACCAGGACGACTCCTCAATGAAAAGACACCACGGGACACATAATCGCCTGTTCCTCGGTCCAAAAGTTGTTAGGTTTTGTCTGGCCTAGACGGTTGCCAGTTGGCAGTGAATGGAGGAGAAAATTTGCCATGGTGGGGTGACTCGAAACCCTCCGAATATATAAGGGTGGGCACCAGCAACAGCTGTCTTCACAGCATGGCAGATCCAAGGAGCTAAAAGACAGATCGGGAAAGCACATTCGAGGGGAAGAGAGGAAGGAAGGCAGGCAGGTAGATATTGGGAAAGGAGCTGGCGGTCTAGACCCGGTCCAGGGTGCAACGTTCCAGACCAACGCCCGGATTTGAGCGCCAAGTAGGGGGAACATGAAGGGGAATTGTGGGGGTGATCGGGCAAGGGTCCTATATTGCGGGTAGGCAAGATATCCGACTGGCTGGTCAGCGACTCTTCAATGTTCCAGAAGCGGTTAGTCCGACTTTCTCGCATTTCTGGGAAGAACTCATGGAAGTTGGACACCTTCCCCCCCAATGCTCCCGTCCTTACCAAAGCATATATGTACGTAGCTGTGTAATGGGCCTTGACTTTAAGTTCTGCCTATAAACCCATACATTGCAATCAGAGCCGATTACTTCGGCAGTCTCCCGTCCAGGGAGTCCCCCTCTTCTCACCCCCCCCCCCCCCCCCAACACTACCCCCCACCCCTCGTCTTGGGTCTCAAGACTAGCAGTTCATGGCAACCTTGCAGTCAACCACGGCCGTCTGGCCCCCCTGGACGGCCTCGATCGCCTCTTTCAGGACCCTGTCGAGGTCATCCGTCTTCTCCACCCTCGCCGCGAACAGGTCTCCACCAGCCGCCGCCTTCGCAATGCCGGCGTAGTCGGGCACGGGATCGAACGAGATGTTGATCTCCTCGTTTGTCGCCGTGGACCCCATTCCGTCCGGATGGACGAGGAGGAGCGACTTCCGGGGCGCGTTCCAACCTGTTTAATAGGTCAGCCATGGGGCGCATATGCGTACTTCAAAGTGAATCCTACCTTTGTTGTTCAGGACAATCGTCAAGATGGGAATATTGTACCGCCTCGAGATCCAATACACACTGCCTGGAACCGAGAAGAGATATGTACCGTCACCAACGATCTGCACGACGAACTTGCCCTTCTCTCCCTTTAGCTTGCTCTCGTAATCAGTGGCCAGCTTAATGCCCAGCGTGCCGCCGCCGGACCACCCGAGACCGCCACCGCCGCAGTTGATCCATTGCCCAGGCAGGGAGGGCTGCAGGTTGTCATGCACGAATGCGGTATTGGTCACTGCCTCGATGGCCCAGATCGTGTCCTTCGGGCACAGGTCCCTCAGCCTCCCGCAGAGATACCCAGTCCCAAAAGCCCCGCCCTCTAGTGGCTGCGCCTTGGCCGCAATGGCCTCAAGCCTCTCCTTGTGGGATGCCACGACAGTACCCCACATCTTCTCCCGGTCCCCACCCACAAGCTTTGCCTTCAACCCTTCGTCGCTCTTGAGATGCGCCGTCAGCTGCTCGATCGATGTCAAGGCGTCGGCGCGATACCTGGCAAGGGCGTCCAGGTAGAACACCGGCATCATTTGCTTCAGAGGATCGACGTCGATATGGAAGATCTTGGCGTCGGCCCTCGGCTTGCACAAGGTCGGGACCCACGGAACGTCACAGTCCACGACGACGATGACGTCGGCTGTCTTGATGTACTGCTCCGAGCCGAACCGCAGGCCCAACCAGGCCGGGTGATCGGCGGGGAAGCACATGTCGCTGCCGCCCGTGTCCAGCACGCGCAGCCCCTTGACCGTGTTGGCCAGCTCGACCAGCGCCGGCGCCACCGCGTGGTTCCGGCCTGCGTAGCCCGTGATTAGCAGCGGCTCCTTGGCACCAGCCAGCGCGTCGGCAATGGTTTTAATGGCCGGCGCGGGGAGGCCGCCGAGCTGGATGGGCTCCCAGACCTCCTGGCGCAGCGAGTACGGCTCGATGTCGGTCTCCATCACCTCGCGGGCGCCGCACAGGTAGACCGGGCCCTGGGGTGCTGAGCGGGCAAACTGCAGCGCGCGGTTGACCATCTGCTTGACGTTGACGCCCGTCTTGAGCTCGGCGGAGTAGCGGCAGTACTGTGAGACGATCTGCTTCTGGTCGGGTACGTCCTGGATCCAGTGGATGTACTCGGTGCGCGAGCCACGCATCTCGCCCTCCTGCGTGAATGGCGAGAGGCCGGCGAAGAGGAGGATTGGCGCGCGGCCCGCCGAGGCGTTGTGTACGGCGGCGCCCAGGCCCTGGGTGCCGACGTCGACGTGTACGATGACGCATTGCGGCTTGCCGGTCAGTCGGGCGTAGCCGTCGGCCATCGACATGGCGACCATCTAGATTTCGGGGGTTTTCTTGTAAGCTTTCAGGCCTGTTTGAACACAACTCGTTTGAACACAACTCGCTTCCCTCTCCTTTTTGCCCCCATGCACACACAATTCAGAGAACACCGGGCGATAATGAGTGCCAGCTCAACTCACCTCATTGGGGCAGGTAATGATGCGCGGGAAGTTCTCCTTCTTCTCGCGCTGCCCTTTTACCATGGCCTCGATGATACTGGGATGGTCCGAGCCGAGGTTGACGAAGCAATGGGTTACCCCGGCCTCCTGGAGGGCCTCGAAGAAGGCGAAGGATGTTGTATACATCTTGGGCGAAGTTTTGGAGAAGAGCCTGCTTGATCCGGGTGTGCGTGGTCTAGTTGGGTAAAAAACGGTATTAGTATTACTGTGGGCGTAGATGGAAGGAAGCTATTCGTGGCAGCAGCTCTCCCTTGGTTCCAGATTACAACTCAATTCATCATTGTGGGGTTTCGAAGCTATCTTAAAGAATGCTCCCCCATCCCCAGGTTTAAAAAAATAAGAAAAGAATGGGGGCATAATTACCCCGCTACCTGTGGAGAAGGCCAAGAGGAGTGATCACAACGGGATTCATTAGCGTTACCCCTGCTTCTTGCAGTGGTACCGGCAGCAGCAGGTGCGATCCGTGTGATCCCAGCAAGGCCCCGGGAATGAGCAAGAAGATAGCGGCGGCGGTGGGGCTGCGGTGTCGTCGTCGAAGTTGGCCCTCGTCGGCAGACGTTGGCGGCTGCTCTCTCCAATAGTCGTCGGGGCGGGGTTGCCAGTCGCAGCATATCGGGTCGATGTATGATACGACGGGACTGTCCAATGAGCAAGCTCACTTTTAAGCCTGGCCCAGAACGAGAGCCTACTTTTGGTGCAATTGCCCTTGGTGCCTTTTCCGTTCTCACTCCTTATGTAGGCAGCATCAAGGGTACGACTTGGAAAGATGAGAAAATGTTGGGGGAGGAACAGAGAGTTTGATGGGAACGGACAGGATGGAAGTAAAAGGGAAAACAACGACGTAACAAAGGACCCCCTCCGTACCTTACCCTTTTATATCAGAGTAATTCGGCCCTTGCATGTTCTAGGTTACAATGCGGCATTCCGTACGACGTTCCGTCCAAGATACCGTCCCGCAGCGCCGTTTGTACCTCGCATTTTGGACGGTGGTTTTCAGTTTTCCCTGCTCCCTCGCCTGATAGAACTGCCGTGTCGGGGGTCAAGAGGACGTCTCTACCGGCTCGGCGTTCAGCCTCCCAAGGCGGGAGTCGCGGGCGGCCCACCACTTATCTCCCAGCGAACAGAAGGCCTCGTTTTGGCCATTTCTGTTCCTACCCGTTGCTGCGCAAGGTACTTACAGGAGACGGGACTTCTCACAAGTTTACCGCCCAAACGTCACCAAAGGCTTGGCCTCCGCACTCGTTCGAGACGCAACTATGGGCTTATGCCGTCGATTGCCGTGCCCCGCCTGGTCACATTGATGCGGGGTAACGGCGCTACTACCAGGTACGACAAGCTGCCTCAACACTTGACCGATTTAGATAAATATGGTGATGATCATGTTGGACCTTTGTTTGCAATTTGGGGCCTCAATTCGAAGGCCACCTTGAAGACGGCAAGAGGCATTCGAGGCGGCAGATTCCTGGCTACTTGGATTGACGACATACGTATCAACCGCGAGTCTATCAAGCCGTAACCAGACGTCGAGTCCATCCTTGAACCCAAATCCGACAGCCAATGGGAACTCAGAACTGCGGCATCTTGTACATATCATCAGGATCTTGTGACCATTTGTTAGCTTCACCGTTTCACGGCACAAGAAACGAAACGGCAGCTCACCTTTCCCGTGACTCGTGATGTAGTCCCGCACCTCCCGCACCCGCTTATCAACCTCCTTAAGCAACCCATCCAGCTTCCCCCGGACCTCTTCGTTGTTCTTCGCCCCAGCCCTAAGCGCCCTCGCAACCACGTCGAACCGGCTCACGCAGTTCACGAGCATCATGTCAAAGGGCGTCGTCGTCGTCCCTTCCTCACGGTACCCCTCGACGCTCATCCGTTCCACCTCGGGGCGGCCGAACAGCAAGCCCTGCAGCTCCGTCGCATAGCCGTGGTAGTTGAACAGAATGGGCCTGTCGGCGGTAAACATCTCGCGGAAGCGCGCCCGGCTCAGGGCATGCGGGTGCCTCGACTCCGGGGCCAGAATCATCAGGTCCGTGACGTTGATGACGCGCACCCGCAGCGCCGGGCACAGCGTCCGCAGCAGCTCCGCCGCCTTGACCACCTCGAAGTTGACCTCGACGCCAATACCCACGAGCACCACGTCCGGGTCGGTCTTCTCGTCCTCAGAGGAGGCAAAATGCCAGATGCTGGCGCCCTGGCGGCAGTGCTCGGCTGCTTCTGAGGGCGAGAGGTACACGGCCGTGGGCTGCTTGGAGCCGATGACCAGGTTGGTGTAGTTCTTTGATCGGAGGCAGTGGTTGATGGTGCTGAGGAAGCAGTTGGCGTCGGGCGGGAGGTAGACCTGGAAACGTTGCAAAATATCATCAGCACCGAATTTCGAATTCCTTCGTTTTCCGACGACTTACCCGAGCAGACTCGGCCTTGACATTCAGGACGGCCCCGATGAAAGACGGGTTCTGGTGGGAAAACCCGTTGTGCTCCTGCCTCGCCCACGTGCTGGTCTCGATGTAGTTGATGGAGCTCAGATCTCCTCGCCACGGGACCTCGCGTGCAATCTTGACGAACTTGGAGTACTGCACCATCATGGTATGTATGATACCCAGGAAAGACTCATAGCTCGGGAACAGAGCGGTGCGACCGGTCAGGGTATAGCCCTGCATGAAGCCCTGGCAGTCATGCTCGGATAGCACCTCGATCACCCGCCCGCCGTTTGCTCGCGAGTACTCGTCCCATTGGAAGTTGCGCTGCGTGTGCTCCAGTATGGCGTCCAGCTTGTTACTCTCCAGTTCGTCGGGGCAGAAGAGCCTGATTGTTGAGGGGTTCGCCTGGAAGACCTTGTCGAGGTAGTTGCCTGTCACTTTCATGCAGCTCTGGTCTGTCCCTTTCTCGACGGCGTAGCCTTCCCAGTCGACCGTCTTCAGTCCAATGTACGGGTCGTAGGTCTCCTTCAGTTGGCCAAGCATCTTTGTCTTATCTCCGGGCAGAACACTCAGCACCGCTTCCTTCGGCTTGCCGTCCTCGAGTAGTTCATGGATATGGTAATGAGATAGCCACTCCTTTAATTCCCCCAACTGAGCCTCATCGCTGTTGGCCTTCGGCAATGGGACCTGGTGAGAGCGGAACGACCCCTCGATAAATTTGCCATCCACCTTCTTTGGCCCTGTCCACCCCTGCCTGCTGGTCAACACCTTTTCTCTGGGAAAAAGGTTAAAACGGGGTATGCGAATTTCACCCACCTTTGGTGTTCTCAACACTATCATCGGCCACCGAGGCTTCACGATCGGCTTCCCCGCCCGCGCGGCGCCCTGTATCTTCTTGATCTCGGCCAACGCCCACTCCAGGGCGTTGTGTACGTCATCGTTGATATGATCCAAGTCTTCTACTATGCGAACCTGATAGCCGTAACCGGTGAACAGACACACGATCTCCTTGTCATCCATGCACCCGAAGATGGTGCGCTCGCTGATCTTGAAACCGTTGGCGTGTAGGATCGGTATGACGGCGCCGGATTCCTTGGGGTCCAAGTACTTGATTGCGTGCCACGCCCTGCAGAAACACGCTGTCAGTCCAGGTATGCTCAAAACATGCCTGCTAGAAGGCTTAGTCAGTTCTCACGTCGCGGTTGGCCCCGTCTCGGCCTCGCCGTCACCGACCACACAGGTGACAATCAGGTCCGGTTTGTCCATGACCGCCCCGAAGGAGACGGCAAGGGCGTAGCCCAGCTCGCCGCCCTCATGGATTGCGCCAGGCGTCTCGGCATTTATATGGCTGGCCAGGTAGGTAGATGTCAGCACGGCCCCAACTAAGCCTTCAATCGCCCAGGCAGCACAGAGCCAATAGTTGGGCACACGAACCTCGGAAATCCCCCAGGAACAGAGAATCTCGTGATCAGGTTCCGCAACCCAGTGGAGTTGCGATCATACTCTCCGGGGTAGAATCGCTCCAGCGAGCCCTCCAGCCACAGCGCGGCGAGGGCGGCAGGTGCTCCGTGCCCGGGACCAATGACGTAGATCATGTCCAGATCGTGGTTGCGGATCAAGAGATCCAGGTGCGACCAGACCAGGATGAGGCCGGGACACGTACCCCAGTGACCTTGGAGTTGCGACGTTAGTTCCATTCATGATCTGGTACCACATCCTGAAGCGAGGCATAGGAACAGAACACACCGAGCAGTCGAGGTTTGACATGGTCGAGCCGAAGTTCGGACTCGAGCAGGACGTTGTCTCGGAGGAATATCATCGCTGCCAGGGCACATCAGTCATGGGGCCCTTCTAACACGACGAAGAGGGCTCAATGATCTCACCGGCGGCGATGTAGCAGGCCGCCCGCTGGAATGCGCGGAGGCCATCTCGGACGTCGTCCGGCAGGGGCTTGCGTTCGAGCCGCACCGCCAACTCCAGCACGTTGTCGGGCAGATGCGACGGCAACGGTGGGGGGTTGGGGCGGTCAATCTGCTCGCCTGGCATCGTGGGTAGACCGGGGGGACGGACTGGGAATGGGAGGTGGGCCTTGCTCAAGGGTAGCAATTAGTTCCGTTGAGGATATGATATGACTGTGAGTGGGATGAATCAATGGCGCGGATGGAGATGGCTCAAATGTTCTCGGTTCTGGTGGCTGCCAGTAAAAATAATTATTGAAGAAAACCGAGGGTTTATTACCTACATAATGCCATCTCGATAACTTCTACCGGCTTTGGAATTATTTTGGCGAGTATTCAAGCTGGTCGAGGTTGGATGATATATCTATGACGTAGTTTGGTGTTGCAGCTTGGTGAAGCTCCAGTGCGTGCCTGGCTAACACCTGCCAACAGGTGGGTTGCACTTCTGTTGAGAATTACATCACGATGATTCGGAGTGCTACTGGAAGTAGATCACTCTTCGAACACGATGGGAAAAGTGGCAGCACTGATGCGTGTATGTCCTCTCCTGGTGTAAACCTCCTATGGGCCGCAACATGATTTTTATTATAGGCACCTTGGGAGCACCTGGACAGCGGCAGTAATGCATATTGATTGTAGATCACTGGATGTGATGCACAGCCATGGGACAATCCGCCGCATGCGAAATGATTATCGTTGTCAATGGAACCTAAATGTTTGTTGTGTCTCTCCCGCAAGGCACCCCAACAGCCCAGGCGCTCAACTGCCCCATCTATCTATACGACTGGCCAGATTAAGGATCTATGCCCGGCAGGCCCAATCCATCTACCGAACCGGTAAAGTTCATGCCAGCCCCGGCCAGGATCTCCCCACAATTTGCCGAGCACGTGGTTGAAGCGCCAGTCGTGCAGGTGAGCTGAACCGACCGGTTATCCCGCTGCAGGTGGCAGATGGTGCGGGCGCTACTAGTCCAGGCGTAGGGCGAGGGCCCAGCAGTCACCATCACAATGGCCGAGGAAGGACTCCAGGACTATCTCGTACGTGCCGTGCCTGAAATTGAACAGGTGAAGGCCCTCCTCGCGGCTGGATTGGAGCTGCCGTACCAGGGCCTGTTGCCAGTCCTCCATGTCTGGGACGTTGTCTTCTGGGCTGGGACAGGTGGGCTGAGGCCAGCGAGTTACCTCGGCGCAGTTGAATTCCTCGTCGACCATGTGAAATATCTTGTAGAGGAGGAATGTCCGTGTCAGCCACGAGGTGGTGACCCGAGGGCGCGGTGAGTATTGCCACACAAATTCGTTTTCGCTGCGTTCCGCGAGCCCGGCGATATAGTCGTTGCTCATGTCGTTGACGTACGCGACGAAGGCACTGGTGAAGGCGCCGATGTTGTGGTGTATACTGTAGAGCTGCAGAATCGCTCGAAGACAGCCCGGCATCTTGTAATCGAAGGCCTCGTTCAAGTGGCCTTCCACAAAATCTAGTGGTCGGATGCTCTCTCCCAGCTCGGCGGATGGGTCGGTAGGATGGGCATCTCTGTTGCAACCACGTCAGTGCCTCCAAGTCTCTCAAGCAGGCTCAAGAGGGGTTAGGTTTCTCATACCGTTCCACAAGCCTGAGAACATAGAGCAGCCCAGGGGCGTCGTGGAGGCTGTCTCCAAAGGCATTTACAATGACCGAGCTGAGTATGCTGTGCCGGGAAGTGTTGAAAGCGCAAAGTAATGTGGGAGATGATCGGATTGCTTCAAAAAGGTCTCGGGGTGTGTCGATTTTGCAATGAATGCTCACGCCGATCTCAAGCGGGAGAGTGCGGAGCGATGGAGATGAACTAGGTTGAAGGGCAGGCAGTAGGGGGGTGGCGGGAGGTTGCATGCTGTTGGTAGAGCAGCCTTCTAGCGGCCTGACCTGCTGTGAAGGCATCTTCCTTTCTTGATGCTAGATTGGTAATGGATGGCGTGCCTGATGATGGGGAGAGAGATATGGGAGACTCGACTCGGAGCAGACGGGGCTTCAAAGTTATTGGTAGAACGGAGAAATACCATCTATCTAAGAGGAATTTGATAAGGGAAATATCATATACCTACCTATGTAAGAGGAAGAAGGTGAGGTGGGAAGTAGAGTGTCACGGCCAATATTTATATGTGTGCTGTAGTAAGCGCTGGTGCTTTCTCACTTCCTCTCTCACTTTCCCATCACCTTTGCCATCATCTGTTTTCCGATTATGGACAAATATTTAATACAGATACAAGGATGGAAAGGGAGGAAAAGAATGAAGAAGGCCAGACTTCTATGGTGGTCTACCTACGCTGTGTATTTTCACTGCCTGCCTTCACTCTAGTGGCGGAGGAATCTTTCATTGACCTCTTGGGCAAGAAGAGACTAGCTGAGGTGGTCCAACTGACTGCCTCCATTTCCTTCAAGCTTGGGTATGATTATCCAGAGGAGGTATGCAATATGATCTAACCTTGGTTTCATTTCTGGTGTCATAGGGAGAAGGTAGAGAGGAATGAGAAGAATTAGAATGGGAAAATACTAGAATGAGCGGCTAGCACCCTCATCTTGATGTCGTCCGCGTTGATGGTAAAGCTTTCTACCCGAGTTTCTTGAGAGATGAAGGACAAAGTCAACGGTCTGATGGCCTCATGTCAGGTTGTGAAGCTTAAATACCTAAGGTTGGTGTCAAGAGTCATTCTACGTCGTTCCAAGCTTGGGGGGGGGGGCGTTTGCGGGACGGCCCGCACGTGCAGATAGATCAACGGTAGATTGCCCGGATTGTGAAGGTATAGACACCCACTTGCATTTTAATTACAAGGTGAAAACTAGAAATGCCTTCATCGTCATCCCTATCCCTTTTCTTGGGCAGTTAATGCGCACAATTATTCCAATTTTGCCGAGTCAGCCTGGAATTCCAAGCCCGCAACTTGACAGATACCGAATTCAGTCAGCAGCGGTGATCTCTTCCTGTTTGCTCGTCTGATTTTCCTCCTGTGGAAACTCAGTGCCACGTCAGAGAGACCGCCTACCGATTCGGGATGGCCAAGCATGCACCCTGCAGTATCGGACTCCATTCGGCGACTGTCATTTATGATCCTTCAAATCAATGGCCTCTGATTTGGCCAGCTTCTCCCTGCATGCAGGCGGGGTAGAAAACGAGTTTCCCCTTCCTACCGCCCTCTGATGAGGGGGAAGGACCAACTATTTAAGAACAGCAAATATTTGCGACCACGACATATTGTCTGTGTCACCATGGCGTTTCTCGTGTCACCCTACCTGCCGGCAGTTGCTGCCGCGATTCTGGTTTCCGTTTTGCTGTTTCAACTGCGACCTAATAAGCAATCACTACCACCAGGAACAAAGTTGCCACCTGGCCCGCCAGGTTTGTCACCACCGATCCTAGATTCTGTCGTGAAGTCCAGAAGGAATGCTAAACCAGACAACTTGAAGGGAAACTTGTAATCGGAAACCTCCTCGACATACCTCCCCAGCACTCGTGGTTCAAATTCCATGAGCTGCTGCAACAGTATGGCCCCATCGTGAGAATCACCATTGCAGGCCAGGAGCATGTCCTCCTAGGCAAAGAGCGGTTGGCCAACGACCTGCTACGCGAGCGCGGGAACATCTACAGCGACCGGCCGCAGCCCATCGCGTCGGTCAAGCTCCTCTCCGACGACCGCTTCGTGCTGTTCCTGCCCTACGGCGACGTGTGGCGCCGGTGCCGCCGCCTGATGCACCACGTCACCATGTCGGCCGTCGCCCCGGCCTACCAGCCCGAGCAGACCATCGAGGCCGTGCGGCTGCTGCGCGACATCATCCGCGACCCCGCCGACTACCAGGCGATGTTTGAGCGCTTCAGTGTCGGCATCGGCATGCGCCTCATCTACGGCCAGCGTCTGGCCTCGGGCCACGACAGTGACGCCCGCACCATCCTTGACATTGTGCACGAGCTCGAGAGGGTGGGCTCGCCGGGCGCGTACCTGGTCGACATCTTCCCCGCCATGATGTACATCCCCGACTTCCTGGCGCCATGGAAGCGCTACCTGAAGGGGAGGCAGCGCACGGACGAGGCCTTCTTCACCGATATGGTGAACCGCGCCAAGCGGGACATGGACGCCGGGAAGACGTACAAGTCGTGGGTGAGGACCTGGCTCGAGAAAAAGGAGCAGTGGGGCCTGGAGGATGGGATAGCCATCTACCTGTTCGCCTCTGTCTTCGACGCAGCCGCCACCTCGACCTCTTCGGCCATGATGTCCTTCGTCCTGGCCATGGTGCGCTACCCGGAATGCTTCGCCAAGCTGCAGGCCGAGCTGGACCGCGTCGTCGGCCCCGACAGGCTCCCCACCTTCGACGACATGGCCGACCTGCCCACCGTCCGCGCCTGCGTCAAGGAGACGCTGCGGTTCTATCCCGTCACGGCGGGCGGGTTCCCGCACAAGCTGACCCGCGACGACGTCTACGAGGGCTACTTCCTCAAGGCCGGAACGACGGTCCACCCGGTGCAGTGGGCCATCCACCGGGACCCGGAGCTGTACCCGGACCCGGACGTCTACAACCCCGACCGCTGGCTCGATCCGTCCTTCCCGACCTACCGAGAGCCTCTGACGGAGTACCCGAACCTGCAGGGCTTCACGGCCTTTGGGAACGGGCGGCGCATCTGCCAGGGTATTAACATCGCCGAGAGGAGCTCCAACTTGCAGGTCGCGATGCTCGCGTGGGGGTGCGACATCCGCAGGGCCAGGGACGCCGAGGGGAACGAGATAGTGCCGCCCTTCTACGATTTCTCTGCTGGCTTCAACGTCGCCCCCAATACGTTCCCGTTTGACTTGACGGTCAGGAGCAAGGAGAAGGCTGACCTGATTGAGAGGGCTTATCAGCAGAGTCTGGATGACGACCCCTTGCTCTGAAGGGGTTATTGTGATTGGGTCAGTTCGTACAACGTTTCCTGGGCCTCGCGATCTTCTTGAGACTGTGGCAAGATATGCATATATGGCAGGATAAGGGGGCGGGCGTTGTTGCTTCACTTTTAGGTGATAATCCCAATATGAAGGTCTCTTACCTCTTGGTTATCTGGTCCACCATGATTGGAGGCTGGTGATTTTGGTGGCCGCGGACGTGCATATCAAGAAACTGCCTTGGTTGATTCCATCCCATAGTCTCGGGCTTCAATGGCCCGTTCAGATTGCGGAGCAATGCACCCCTGCAGACGTGTTCAACGACATCCTCTTCTCCAAGGGTGCGGTCCGTTTATTCAAGTATGTTATGCATATGTAGATGAATACAATGTAAGTAGGGTGAGGTGTGAATTCAAGGGTTAATCCGAGGATAGTGTAGAGAGCGAGGCAAAGTACAAGTCAAGCAACTCTCGCTTCACTTTGCTAACCCCTCGAAGACGACGCGCTACTCAACAGCAATAAGGTGGTCTAGATCAGAGATAGGTTCATGAACTACCTATGAAGCCAGGCCAGTGGGGTTCCCAACCGCAGTCCCGTTGCAAGGGGGCTAGGAAGTCGAGAATATTTCCGCCGGCGCGAAGGAATCCGGGCTACCTTGGAGACATTCAAGGATTCGCATTCCTCGTGTTATGAACATTGGACGAGGCGTATTCAGTTCGCAAAGAAATAACGCGAAAAGGGAGGCAAGAGAAGGAGCAGGGAGGGGGGCAAAGGACACAGTACATACGCGCCAGCTTGTTGTAACCAGTTTAAAAACAACCACGGCTCGACGTCTCTGTTGTTGACAACGGAGATTATGAGACGCTCGCTAGCAGAACGGGTAATATCTCCACAACCTTGTGAGGAAGGGCTGACCGAGGCCGGGTCATCGGAGCCGTGGGCGGCACGGGGGTTTGATTCTGAAGGAACGTGCGCCTTCGGCACCAGATTTAGATTGAAAACAGTGCCCTATCCCGCGAGGTACAGTAGTATTTAATTTACCTGCAGTCCCCTGCGTCTCCCGAAAGGATCAGCACAAGATGGGGCGGGAAGAGCAGGGGCAGCGGCTAATATGGGTTTTGAGGGGAAGAAGAGGAGCGGCGCGGAAGCTAAGTCGGAGAAAAATGAAAGAAAAATATCCTTGCAGATTTGGGACAGTCCACCATTCGGCTCAGGCTCATCGGTATATATACCGTGAGATGGAAGGGCCAAGAATCCCTTCCCTCTCTTCTTCGCCATGTTGACGGACTGGCTATTGCCTCCAGCTTTAACATGTCTGTCGCTGCCATCCAACGGCTCCTGTCGCTGTCGGCGCTAGCTGCAGTCTTGAATCTCCCCCGCGTGGCGGCGAGCTGCAATCAGACCTATCTCGACGGCGGGCTCACCATTCTTTCCCAGAATCTCCTCGATGGTAAGTGTCGCAGTTCAAACAAGAAGACCAACCGACCACCACTAATACCCTTGCAGGCGCGGAGAATGATGGCTCGGCTGCAATTCTCGTGAGCAAGCCGGACACGTATAGCGCGACAGAGACCGTCTGTAAGCTTCTTGGCGAAAAAGTCTGGAACCCCGATATTCAAGACTTCGGAGCTGCACTGAACGTCTCCCTGGCGTACCAAGTCTTCCAGGGCCTGGCTCGTGAGGACGAGCTGTACTGGGTTGCAAAGAAGGAGCCGAAGGGCAGTGCCTGCAGGGCTATCAATCCCAACGGCGAGGTGTCGGAGGTCGAGTGTGGAAGCAAGATTTCCGGGCTCTGCACCCAGAGCGCGCCGGTTTCGAACTCGTCCTTCGCCGACAACTCGGCGCCGTGGCAGGTCAAGCAGCTAGTCGACAAGGTGCAGCTCACCGGCTACCGGGACTACCACACGTGGAAGTTCCGCGGCATCCGGTTCGCCGACACGCCGGACCGCTTCACATACTCCAAGGTCAAGTCCTTTGCCGAACCTGCCGAAGTCTCGGCCATCGAGGCGGGCGCAGACTGCGTCCAGCCGATCGGAGAAGTCAGGTCCGGGAGCAGCGAGGACTGCCTGTTCCTCAACGTCTGGACCCCGTATCTCGCTCCGAAGGACGACGACAAGAAGACGGGACTGAGGCCGGTCATGGTTTACCTCTACGGCGGCGGGCTGCAGAGCGGCTCCGGCAAGAACTCCAACACGGACGGCACGAACCTGGCGTCGCGCGGGGACGTCGTGGTGGTGTCGGTGAACTACCGTGTCGGGAGCATCGGCTTCCTTGCCTTCAACGATGGCGTGCACACGGGCAACTACGGCGTGTCGGACATGGTGACGGCGCTCGAGTGGGTCAAGGAGCACATCCACAACTTCGGCGGCGACGCGAGCAGGGTGACTCTCTTCGGCGAGTCGTCCGGCGCGCAGTCGACGCACTTCATGCTCTCCTCGCCAAAGGCGAAGGGCCTTTTCCACAGGGCTATCATGCAGTCCGACCCGACTGGCTACCCCATCTCCGGCCAGTTCGCCCCGGCGCAGTACTCCTCGCTTGAGGACGTGTACAGCTCTCTAACCACGAAAGTGCTCGCCCAGGCTGGGTGTCAGAACGCCACAGATGCCATTGCCTGCTTGGATAAGATTGGCGGCTTCGATCTGGTTAACCTTTCAACCAACGCCAAGTAAGTCTTGCTGGATTGCGTAGCAAACTAGATCGAGCCGTTGCTAACCAGCCGAAAAAAAAGCGCCGTCGTCACGGACGGAACCTACATCGTCGACCACGAGCTTGACCTTAGCAAGCCGGGGTACGCAGCTGAGGTCGACGTCATGACGGGCTTCAACCGCGACGAGTCGGGCGTGCTGGTCGACGACTACCCGGAGGAAGGCCAAGCGTTCGCCGACTACTTCGCCAACAAGGTGGCCTCGATGTTCAGCCTGGAGTCCAACTACACCTCGGGCGCCGACCTCGCTCCCTTCTTCCCCGCGGGACCCGACAACGCCACGGCCGAGCAGGTCTTCAACGCGTCGATGCGCATCGCCTCGGACGGCGCCTTCAAGTGCCTCGACATGGCCAAGGCCTACTCCGGCGCGCTCAACGGCGCCTTCGCGTCCACGTACGCCTTCGAGTTCAACCGCACCTACAACCCGTCGGGCTACACGCGCACGTGGTGCGACGCGCCGGCGACCGACGCGCGCCCAAACGGCGACCCGGACGCCGAGTACTACAAGTGCCACGCGGGCGAGCAGCTCGTCGTGTTCGCAAACGAGCGGCGCGCCGGCCAGCCCGACCGCGACGGCAACGATCTCGCCTTCATGCAGCTCGTCGTCGACTACTGGTCGGCGTTTGCCCGCGCCGGCGACCCCAACCCGGACCGCGAGTACCTCGCCGTCAGGGGCCACACGGATTCGCTCGCGCAGGTGGACGCGACGGGGGCGTGGAGGCCCGTGGATCCGAAGGCGCCGACGCTGAGGCTGCTGCAGTGGAATGGCGCGCAGGTGGGCTTTGTTGAGGTTAGCCAATGCGAGGCGCTGGGGTTAGCTTTCGATTCTCTGGAGTCGTGAAGGGGGGAGGGGAAGGGAGAGAGATGAAGAAAAGGCGCCTTCTACCGCCTACTCGGTCAGGGAGGTGATATCAGGTACCAGAAGCAACCGACTCATCGAGCTGTCCAAAATCTCAGAAGAAGAACCCTCATTTCTGGCCTTCCTGATACTGTGGAGTAGATACGTGCCCTGCCACTTGACATGAGTGTTGAGGCGTCCCACGGTGGTGAATGTTCGACAAAAGGGTGCTAGATCAAGGCTGATGTGGGATGGGAAACGCACGAGGTCATTTAACGAACCACCACGGAGGTCACAATGGTGGCAGTCGCCAAATCCTCCCTTGGGCAGCTGCCAATATCGTTTCTAGGCTGTACACCATGTCAATGTAACTTGGCACCCATCCATCCCTACCTAGGTATCTCTAATATGGTTTCGTTTTCTTCTCCTGTCTTGGATCAGTTCGGACCACTGTTACATTTCACTCTTCCGGTTTACCTCCTTTTCTTCATCCCTTCCCTTTCTTTCATTGTCTTGGCGGATTGTATGTGGACCGTGCGCCAACCAAACAGATGTCCAGGCGTACGCCGCATCGCCAGGCTGACGCATGTACTGCATAGTAATTGTAATTCTTCCAAATCTGTAGTTCAACCAATAACGGCTTGAATACTCGACGTGGGTTAGAAACGTGGCTATAGGTAGATCGTAGCTGAAGTGGGAGACATGCGAATGGAGGTAGGTGGGCTGGAGGCCGCAGGTGACGTACTTTGATGCACCCCACAAGCGGCCCGTCAGGTGACAAACGGGCATGCATCGCCGATTTTGTGTTGCATAGCCCTTGCATTATAGGGGATTATAGGTGCTGTTGCTGCGGTTGTGGCCTCTGATTGGCTATAAGCCCCTACCTGCGCTACTGCGTAGTAACGGGGTGCTGGGACTGTCATTTCCCCAGAGGCGAACCATCCGCGCACGCGATGATGAGGAAAGTGGCTGCCCGGCATTGCACACCAAACGGGTGGCTGACAGGCCTGGGCCTCCACGGCCTTGTACAAGGATTGCCCGCCGCGCCTTCCTTGGTGACGCCGAAAGTGCTCATGACTGGCCGATTCTTGGGAATTGCAAAGTGGGCAGCCGCTTGCCCAAGCTTGACCGCGGTGCAGCTTTTATCTTTCATATGGGCGTGCCCACCCACATTTCTACCACCACATCGACTTTCTCGCAAACATGGAACATATGCATCTTTCATAGATGTTGGTTAGGTAGTTATCTACCCTTCCATTCCTTCCTCGGACCTACACCAGCTTCTTCTGCGCATCAACAAGGGAGGCCTCGAATTTAATATGGGCAACTCGGGGAGCTCTCTTCAGACCTGCCTGAACGCCGTCTGCAATGGCAGGTCGGGGTGCGTTGGCTACCCCAGTGACCCACTCTACCAGATTTCATGGGTCAAGCCCTACAATCTCGACATCCCCGTCACTCCCGTCGCTGTTATCCGGCCCAATACGGCGAAGGATGTGGCCGGCATCGTCAAGTGCGCCGCGGCGAACGATGTGAAGGTGCAGGCCAAATCCGGGGGGCACTCGTATGGGTATGTCAAGGAGCCCAGACGCGAGAACGGAGCAGAGAACTACCGAGGCTGACCTGGTCGATAGGAATTACGGTATGGGATCAGTCCCGAGGAGCCTGCGAGGGTCTAGCCTCTATATCCTCCGTCCCCCACCAGCTGACAATGGATGTGATTACAGGCGTCGGCGGCACCAATGGCGAGATCGCGATCGACATGGTCAACTTCCAGGGCTTCAGCATGAACGAGACGACCTGGCAGGCAACCATAGGCTCCGGCACGCGCCTGGGCGACGTGACCAAGAGGCTGCACGGCGCGGGCGGCCGGGCCATTGCCCACGGTGTGTGTCCCGGCGTCGGCATCGGCGGCCACGCCACCATCGTATGTTCTTTTTCCAACCCCGTCCACAGAGTCCATTCGGCGCGCTGACAAGGGGATCTATCTGCAGGGTGGACTCGGCCCCATGTCGCGCATGTGGGGTTCTTGCCTCGACCATGTTGTCGGGGTCGAAGTTGTGACTGCCGACGGCAGCATTCGCCGCGCGAGCAGCACCGAGAACTCGGACCTCTTCTGGGTAGGGACTTCTGGCCTCTTCTTCTCACTCTTCTCTCCAAGACGCATCTTACTAACACAGGGTCTCATTCAACAGGCGCTGAAGGGAGCAGGAGCCGGGTTCGGCATCATCACCGAATTCGTAGTCAGGACCCACCCTGAGCCGGGCAGCGTGGTGCAGTTCACCTACACCATCACTGTTGGCAGCCAGGCCGACATAGTGCCATCCTTCAAGGCGTGGCAGGACCTCGTGGTGGATCCCGATCTCGATCGCCGGTTTGGCACCGAGTTCATCATGGAACCCCTCGGCTGCATCATCACCGGAACCTTCTACGGCACCCAAGCCGAGTTCAACGCAACCGGCATCCCCGCCAAACTGCCCAAGGGAGGCAAGCTGGGCCTCACCATCAACAACTGGGTCGCCTCCCTCGTCCAGGACGCCGAGAACGAGGCCCTCTACCTGACCGACACTCCGACGGCCTTCTACTCCAAGAGTCTCGCATTCCGGCCCGAGGACGCCATCCCGGAGGCCCAGATCCGCGACCTCTTCAAGTGGATAGACGGCGCCACCAAGGGCACGCTCCTCTGGTTCGTCATCTTCGACGCGACGGGCGGCGCCGTCAACGACGTGGCCGCCAACGCCACGGCGTACCCGCACCGCGACAAGTTCATGTTCTACCAGTCGTACGCCGTCGGCTTCCCGCCGCTGCCGCGCGCGACGCGGGACTTCCTCGCGGGCGTGCACTCGCGCATCCTCGCGGCGCTGCCGGTTGGCGCCGATGCTGCGCCGCACACCACTTACGCCGGCTACGTCGACCCGGCCCTCACCGACGGGCCACAGGAGTACTGGGGCTCCAACTTGCCCCAGCTGGAGCTCGTGAAGCGCACGTGGGATGCCGCCGACCTGTTCAGCAACCCGCAGAGTGTTCGGCCTGCTTCTGCTGCGTAAGTGGAATGCAAATTAAGTAATTGTTTGTTGTTGCTATTTTGTTTGCGATGGTTTTAGTCGATTGCGTAGATACCACTATTGATTAGATTAATCTTTGTATCCCTCAACTAATACAACTGCTACGCAGTGGGAACCCACCACCAAGCAAGTCGTCGCCACCGCCAAGCGCGTCGCCATCAAGCAAGTCGTCAACTACCAGACTCGACGCTGGGAGGAGTGCCGTCGTCGGCCTAATCGGCCTGGCCGTTTTTGGCACCTTGTCTGTGTCGTATCTGCTATAATTCCCCTTTTTTTCTTTGTTTACCTTTCGGCATTTCCGGTTCAGCACTTTGTTTACTTCGTGTAACCTTGCATTTTCTTGATACCCGCATCCGCATTTTTGCGATAGATAGAAGGGACGGCGTGGCGCACAAAGCCACCAATGAATCTCGTTGCACAGACTCTTGACGGGCAGACTGAAGAGGGGGAATGCTGGAAGTAAGAGGCGTTGGGTGAAGCCATCGCCGGGGGGAAGTGGGACGTCCAATTAGAAGGCAGCATTGCGAGCATGGAGATTGCGTCGACAGGGAGGAATAACGAATCATATACGGATACCCAAAGGTCAATAATATTTTCTACAACCAACCCCCACAGGCCCTACTCTACACCACAGCCACCAGTATTTCATCAGTGATACACATAAGGATGAACCTAGGTATCTAGGTAGTCGCTCTGTCCTAGCATAGTACCTACGATACATACATACACACGACGAAGAGGAGTGATCCCCCGATCCATTCAAGTGCCCGCCCAACTCCGCCCGATAGGAGGTAATACGCGCCCCCCTCGCTGCCCCTCAAACGCCAGCATGTCTCCTCCACCCCTTATCAAACGGAAGAGGCCATCAAAAAGAGACCCCAAGGCAATAATTACAATCTACCATTGCGGCGGCGCAGAGAGAGAAAAAAAAAAAAAAAAAAAGTCGAAATAAAATCACAACCTCGCCCCGCCAGCCCTCCAAGCCCCCCTGGCCCCTCCGGTAGGCCCGTTCGCAGCAGCGCCGAGGTTATGCAGCCTCTCGCCAATGAGGTAGGCCTCGTCGCGGGTGCGGGCCCCCCACCCGCGGAACACGCTGACGAGGCCCCACAGCGCCGCTCCTGCCGCCGCGACCAGCGCCGCCGCGGGGAAGCTGAACCGGTACACCAGCACGAGGGCTGCCGCCTCGGCGAGCCGGGGCTGCTGTTGCTGTTGCTGTTGCTGCTGTTCCCAAGCCGACCTCGCGAGGATATTCTCCGGCAGGCCCCGCGCCGCGAGCAGGCTCGCCGCCGCCAGGGGCCCCGCCACGGCGGCGGACCACAGGGCCAGGCCCGGGACGACGAAGGCGCGCGTCAGGACCGACAGGTCCGGGTCGAGCCAGCCGCGGCGCAGGACGGCGCGCACGGCCGCGGCGAGGCGCGTGTCCGGGTACCAGCCCGTGACGGCCCGAACGCCCAGCTTGAGGTAGAGCATGCCGATGGTCCAGGCCTGGATGACGCACACGGTGTGGCTCGGACTGAGCTGCTCCGCCGTCAGGGCGGCGGCGGTGGACGAGTCGCCCGAGATTGCCTGTTGCAGCGCGGGCGTGGTCGCGGACAGGACGCCGCTGTACATGTAGGTATGCAGCGGGATGAGGAGGTAGAGTTCCAGGAGGGAGATGGCGAGCATCGGGAAGACCACGAGCAGGAAGAAGTAGGCGTAGATCAGCTTCACGGCTCGCAGGGCGACGTGGGCTGCCCGGCGGACGCCCTCTCGGCTAGATATCGAGCGCGCGCCTGCCGCTACCCGCGACCGGGCCTTCTCGAAGATGGAGCGCGCGTGGAACACGGCATACGCCGCCGAGCCGAGGATGTAGATGCCGATGCTGAAGGCGTAGATGTCGTTGGTGCGGATGTGCGCCGGGATGAGCAGCTTGAACATTCGTCGGCCAAAGACCAGCGGGACGATGGTGATGCCGACGCCGGTCACGGCAGCGAAGATCCATATGAGCATGATGAAGAGGAAGATGCGAAGGCGGAAGAAAGGTGGGATGTAGACGAATTGGTATTGGCCGGTCGAGTAGAGGTCCGTTTCGGCTTGGTCCGGCTTCCCGTCTTTCCTCTCGTTTTCCTCCGTGACTTCGAGGAACACGCTCTTGCCCTTGGGTATCTTCACCTGGTCGGATGCGGGAGCGCGGACAAATCGCCCATCGGGCATTAGCTCCTCGGTGCCGGTGAGACTGGCCTTCCTCAGGTTTAGCGAATACATCCTGTCCTCAGAGAGGGATGCTGCCGGCGGCTCCTTGCCGCCCTCAAACGTGCGCTTCCAAGTCTTCGGCACGACCACTCCCTTGTCATCATCCAGCTCGAGGAGGAGCTTCCTCCACCACGGGCGTTCGCGGCCCGGCGCATCTACTTCGAGTGCCAGGGTGCCCTCTTCGTCGATCCGCCTCTCCCCGAACAGGAACCAGGTGAGCCGCAGCACACGGGCGCATTTGCGGAGCCACCAGGTATACATGGCGTGGAGACCATCGCTTGGCTTGAAGAACTTGACGGCGAGGGGCATGAGGAAGTTGTAGAAGAGCAGGTCGATGGGGAACTCCAGCACCGGCTCGTTGGACGAGTAGTGGATGGGTAGCACGTTGGGGAGCGAGAAGGACAGGCCCCATACCACGCCGCCGAGGCAGACGATGACCAGCGCCCCGTAGACGAAGGCCGAGAAGAGAATCTTGCGGAGCTGCGTGGTGACGTTGCGCTCGAGCACGTCGCGGACGGGATGGAATTCCGGGTCGTCGGGATCCCGGATGAAGTAGAGCACGCCCTTGCGCAGGATCTTCCTGCACATGGACACGAACAGGGCGAAGTGGAACATGTATCCGGTGCCGACGAACCAGTGAACGAAGATGGATGTCAGGGGATAGTTCAACGTAAAGAGGAGCCTCGACTTGATCGTCGTGTCTTCAAAGAGGGGCAGCAAGGCGAGGTCGAGCAGCAGGCCACAGTAGAGCGGAAAGGCGAGCATCTCGATGCCGATGATGAGGATGACCTTCATCACCCCGCTCGCCTGGTTGAGCCCGTCGATGATGGACGCCTCCCACTCCTGTCCAGTCTGTCCGGACGAGAAGGGTGTGTCCCGCCGCAGATATAGGGCGGCGATGAGCGACAGGGCAAGGTAGCCGCTGAGGATGGCCCAGAACCGGTCCATGCCGCCCCAATAAGCCAGTTCGAGGTCGACGGGGCCGGACGGTTCGGGCAGATTCAGGTTGATGACCCAGGATTCGGGATGTGAAAGGACGATCGGGACTACTTTGAGGCCGCCCCAGACAGCGCCGGTAACGTTGGCGGCCAAAGACACGGCTTCTGCGCCCCTCGACCAGTAATCACCCGAGAAGAGAAAGGCGACGACGTGGCCCAGGGCGGAGAACGACGAGGCGACATGGCCCTTCACGACGAGAAGGGACTCGTGGCTGATGGCCGAGAAGTTGCGCACTTCGCCGCTGGCGAGGATGGGTATCTCAGCCATGAAGCTGTCTCTGATCCTCTCGGCAGCGTTAGTGGACATGTTCCAGGACCCGGCGAGGGTCGTGTTTGCGACACGCGAGGCCACCTCGGAATCGGTGACGGCGTAAACACAATACGAGATGGACCCCGAGACCGAGCCCAGGACGATCAAGGCGAGATCCTGCACAAACTTTGACAGGCTAAACAGGATCCTTGCCGGCCGCATCGGATTGGCAACAGCCCAGACCGTGACCCTGCCGACATTGTACGGCAGGAATATGCCCACGAGAATGGTGACCGACACCAGGAATGCGCAGAATATGGCGTTCTGGAAGAGGCCGGCGATCGGTCCTCGCATGCCGAGGAGCTCCATAATCCCCTCGAAGTCTTCGGCGTCCTCGATGGCGTCGGGATCGAGGCCGGCTGCTACTGCGGCCTCGACGACCTCTCGATCTCGCTCCGCGTCTTGGCCCATATCGCCAACCCGCACGGCATCGGCAAACACGCCATCTTCGCCGTCGCCAAGATCATCCATGTCGTCCTCGTCGTCGTCGTCGTCATCCACGACAACCAGCTCGGCGGGGTCGATGCGTTCCACATCGCGCCACATGAAATCGGCAATCCGATCGACGAAGTTGGCAGGTTGGCGCCGTGCTCCGCGTCCACCATCATTTGGGCGTGGTTGGGTGTTGAAGTCAAAGTCCGGCAAGTCGGGCTGAGTGGCCGGTTGTCCGGGTTCGACCTGAGCATCGGCTGCTGGCGGGGGGCTCGAAAGGCGAATCTCCTCCCTCGTGCTTCCGGCTTCTGCCAGGGTGCTGGATGGTGCGCTTGGAAATCCGAATTCGGCTTCTGGTCCGACAGGTCCCGACTCTACAGACGAGTGCGGTTGAAGCAGAGGGGCTTCAACAGACGCCGGGGTGGAAGTTGTCGAGGTAGCAGAAGGCTCGGGCGGTGGCAAGTCTGAGAACGACCAGCTGTTGTTGGCCAGCGGATTGAGAGTGTCGTTGGCCTTTGGTCCATCCGTGTTTGCCCGTGGCCTCAGAGGGTTTCCCAGAATTACCGTAGGATCCTCTCCGTCGTCTTCTTCGGCCTTCTGCTTCCCTTTACCTTCCGTGCTCCCATTAGCCTGCACGTCCACGCCTCGATCCCCGATCCAAGACCAGTCCGCGCCATCAAGAGGCGGCGTTGATTGCCCTTGTTCCCATGTGGTGCGGTCCGACGCATCATACCGCGCTCCCGTGGTCGTGGTGTCAGCGGATGCCAATGCTGATGCAGATGCAGATGCAGATGCTGATGTTGAGGATTCTGCAGCGCCGGTTCCGTCCCAGTCAGACACCCTGTTGCGGTCTATAACTGCCCTGGTCAGTCTGATCCAATAGTCTAGCTTGTCTTCCAAGTCCTGCTCCCTAGCCAGGGCGAGGATCTTCTCGGGATCACCTCCCGCTAACCGGTACAGCCGTAGGTAGTCATGCAGCGCCGTACCATCGGCCTCGCCGATGCCGGAGCCATTGGGATTCGGCACGTGCAGTTGATTCGGCTGAGAGCTGGGAGTAGGGCCCAACCCAGAATTAAGTCCCAGCCCGGAATCAAGTGTGTCGCCCTCTGCTGTTTGGGAGCGAGACGCTCGGGAGCTCGACTCCAGCCCAAGTCCAGACTGCTGACCCTGCTCGTCCTCGGAATCGTCGGAAGAGCCACCATACAGCACCCGCGGATGTACATCTCGATGTGCTGCTCCCAGGTGGCCACGGATTCCATCTTCCCCGTCCACTACGAGAGGCTCATTCTCAGCATCACCGTCTTCGTCGTCCGAAACATGGGGACCACCTAATTCCTCGACCTCTTCCAAGTCAACCTCCACTTCTTCCTGCGGCGGCGGCGGCGGATTTGGAGCAGCGAAGGCGGCCCGCATGTTTATCTCGGGTTGCTGCTGTACCACGTAGTCTCTGACGAGGATGATGAGGATGAAACAGACGATGACAAGGACAGTTATGATCTGACCCTCGAGCATCGCAATGACGGCCTGGTTAATGGCGGGGACGCGCGTCAGGTTTCGCAGGAAGCCAACCTCGCTCAGCAAAGAGGCATGACTTGGCGAGGACGAGGCGATCGCGTTGCGGACAGCCAAAGTCGAGTTGGCCAGCGAGAGCTTCTCGGTCAAGGTGGCGCTGCCAAAAAGGAGCCGGATGATGGTCGAGGCGAGGGGGTCGGCCAAGGTAAGGTTCATGCCGTACAGGTTCTTAACAAGTTGCGGCACTGAATCTAAGGGGAGTTGATCGATGACTCCGCCGATGGTCGCGACGGTTGTCGTGGCTGCAAAGAGAGGGCTCGAAGGGCAGACCGTTGTCCCCATTTCTGCCAGCACGCCGACATTGCTTCCTTCGGCGGCCACACCATTCTGCCTCCCGAACAGTGAGCCCCCGCCGACCAGACCCTCGTCACTTATCCAGAAGAGAAAAGACCAGACGGCGCGCATCACATATGGCAGCCATCCCAACCAGACACTCGCTACCAAGGCAACCCGGAGCCAGACCAGAAGGTTTCGAAGGAGGAACTTGGCCAGGTGGCTGATGAAGATATGGATGGGCAGGGCTGTCGGCATGTCGGGGGCATATAGCTTGGTGAAGCGGAAGGGCGTCTTGCAGAGCTCGCAGTGTTTCTTCTGCGAGTGTGACAGCCACTCCATCAAGCAGTCCTGGTGCACATACTTGATGCTTCCGCTGCACTTGCATGGGAAGAACAGGGGCTCCTCCCCTGTGCCCTCGCCCCTGCATATTCGACAGGTGTCGGGATCTGCCGCTGTGGCTGACTCGGCGGTAGGAGGGAAGCGCGCTGATGATGTAGAGCCGTCGCCCATCACGAGAGTAACGGTCGGGTCGGCTCTGGTGTCGCCCATCACGAGAGTAACGGTCGGGTACTGGTTGAGAAGGTTGGAGGTCGGAGGTTAGAGCTCGGAGATTGGCTCTAAAGAGGCGCCATTCGACTTTGCGTTTTGCCAGAGGTGATCTAACTCGGATATCATGGGAGGGCAGATCGCTAAGAAATCCAATGCGCAACAGGCTTCAGGCTTCAACAGGCCGACTACCGAGCAACTGTATTCAAGTCACCGGAACGGGATTTATTAGTGAGGCAGTCGATGGGAAAGGCGCAAGGCGCAGCCTCGGGAACTTTGCAAGGACTTGAGAGAGTGTGTCTGCTGTTGGGAGGTTTGCCGATTGGGCAAAAAGAAGACGAAATGCGAGGTGGAAGGCAACCTAGATGGGAGGCGATAATTGCATCTCATAAGCTTCATCGGAGGCGGTGACTGCTAAGTCCGACATCGCATCACGTGCATGGGGAAGCAACCATGAACGGGTCACGTGCCCACTGTCGAGCTTCCATCAACCGAGAAATCCTCAACTTCTGCAGGCCTACAAGTAAGTACCAGTACTATGTAGATAAGTGAGACGGTGAATCTACTATATACACGTCTATGGTAAGTTGGCGAGTATTTAATCTATGCCATCATTCTCCAAAGCTATAATCCAATAATGTTGAAGCGATGGGAGGAGGATGAAGCAAGCCGCCAGATGCAGGTCAGAAGCTCCAGTTGATCACACGGCACTGATGACGTAGTATCCAAGCTCCGTTGCAAGCAGTCAGGAAGTTAGGTAAGCAGCTGTTGGCTGGCAAAGTGGAATCATTACCTACAGTACTTGCATTGCACATCCTACCCGGTTGCTTGATCACAATAATAATCATCATTTGTATGTTGCAAGTAATGTCGCCTACCTAGGTATTCCTGGGGGGTTGTTTACAGTTTCAGAATTGACTGAGCTCGAGAAGATTCTGCCGAGCCGGGAGGCTTGTTTTGATTCTACCCCCCAGCCCCCCCTGCAGCTCGCTAAAAGCCTGTGACATTGTCCAAGCTTCATTTTCCTCTTTTTTTGAGGTGTCATCATCGTCGGTCTCACCTTGAACCTCACTCGCAACTGCGAGGGTTAAAGAAATACCTCACCCTCCCCTCCTGATCCCCATACTCCTCATTCGGCCTTTCCTGAGTCATTCATTTCTGTTTGACTGATTGGCACGACCTTTATCAGCCGTCATCATCAGCCTGGCGCTGGACACATCCTCTCACCATGGAGGATACAAATGGATCTCTGAAAGGCTCCCACGTCGTGGACGGGATGAATGGGTCCCTCAAACCCTCTCTCAGTGGATCCACAGGCATATCTAGGAGGAGAACGGCGCACAAAGGGCCTAGTTTCCTGGCCCGCAGCTTCAGCCTCGCGGCAAGGTAGGCAGGCTCCCCCTCCTCCAATCACTCCCAACACGTCTCCCACACTCATCCCCATCTCTCCTTCGTGCCACTAACTTCCAGCCAGGGTGCTTACTTGGTACTCCATCGTCACCATACTTTTCCGATGCCCGTCCACTTTAGAAGCATGCGACGAGACCTCTCCCGCGATCTGTAGGCCATACCTCCAGATCAGACACGCCGTGTCACCGCACCTTGAACCATATTACGATGCCTACGCTGCGCCGTACGTCGACCTTGTTCGGCCGTATTACAACACCCTCGACCGCGTAGTCATCGCGCCTAGCTGGGGCTACGCGTCCAAATACGGCGCGCCGCGAGTTGCACAGGCACAGGCACACGGGAAGGCGCTGTGGGAAACGAATGTCCAGCCGCAGTTGCTGAAATACCAGACCAGCGCGAAGGCCCGGTACGACCAGAGCCTCGCCCCCCACATCTCCCGTTTCTCGACTACCGTGGGCCCATACTACGATGTTGCGAAGACGAATGCTTTGCAGACGTACTACGAGTTGCTGCTACCGTCTTACGAGTTCATCCAACCGTATGCTCACCAAGGCTACCGCGCCACTTCTGCCTTCGTTACCGACACGGCTGTCCCGTCGGCCGTCTGGTCGTTCAACAGGACCTACGTTTTCCTCGACAGCACCATCTGGCCACGACTAAGGGTCGTCTACGTTGAGAATGTCGAGCCGCAGCTGGTCAAGATTGGGCAACGGCTAGGCCGCTACAACGGGAAGACCCGATCTCAAACACCCGTTGTACAGACGTTTTCTAGGTAAGAGTACAGATCATGTTTGTTCTACTTTATTTGCGTCTAATCCATATCATAGTCCAGTGAGCACTGCCGCCTCTTCCTTCACCAAGCCTGCCCCGCCTGCATCGTCGTCCTCGGTGGCCACCTCATCTACTACTGAAGAATCATCGAGCACCCCTAGCCCCGAGACGTCCAGCGTACAATCCACCGAGCCATCTCATGCCGCGGCGGAGCCGGCAGGGCTAAGGAATTCCGCCGAACAAATCCAGGCGCCCGAGCTTGAAAAGGGCGAAGAGGGGAATGAGGTGCGCAAGACGGCTCGCGAAATTGTCGCCGAGGATCTTAGGGATTGGCAAGAGAGATACGCAAAGGCGGCGGACGAGGGCGCTGCCGAGATGGAGGACCGCGTCGCGGAAATATCGAATCGCATGATCAGTCAGAGCGTGAAGAGGACTGGCAAGGCGCTGGTTGGGCAGCTCCAGTCCACCGTGGTATCCGATCTCGTAGCCTTGAGACGGGATATCCTGAACATCGTCGGCGCCGTGGCCAAGGGGAGCGCCAGCGCCGAGGCAGCCAACGAGCAGATCAACATAGTGGTGCGCCGAGCTGGCATGTCGATCAAGGACAAGGCCCAGGAGGTCCGCACCTGGCGGGAGAAGTACGAGACTGAGTTGCAGGCGTCGATAACAACAGCTGCCCAGGAGCACTTCACAATCCTGGACGGGATCCGAGACCTCGCCATCCAGAAGATTGGCATGAAATGGGCCTGGATGGACGGCGTCACGTATAGGGACTGGGCGAAGTACCACCAACTGAAGGGCCGGTTCGACGAGTGGCAGGGTGACCTGCACAAACTGATTGTCAGCCACCCCGCCCTCGAAGCCGCGCAGCTCGAGGGTGCCAACATCGAGGACGAGGCCATGGCGCTCGCGCAATCTGCCGCCAAGGAACTCGCCCGCCTGAAGCAGGTCGCCGGCTGGAAGATCGTCGCCAAGGACGCTACGACCGAGTTTGACAGCGAGCTGATGAAGCAGGCGGCCGAAGCTGTCGAGAGTGCCAGGGCTGCTGAAGAAGCCGTCGATAGCGAGGTCAAGGGCCGGACAGACAACGCGGCGGATACGGCCGAGTCCGTCGCCGAAGCAGTCGTCGGCGAGGCCGCATCCGTATTCGAGCCCGCAGATGCATCCGAGACTGTCGTGTCAGCCGCTGAGCCAGTCGAGAATGCCGCTTCGGCTGCGTCGGAATCACTCGAGGCTTCGGCCTCAGTTGTCTCTGAACCGGTTCACAGTGCCGCTTCGGTCGCGGCAGAGTCCGTCGGTAGCGCCTCTTCTATTGCGTCGGAGTCGCTCGAGAGCGTTTCCTCCGCTGGCGAGAGCGTTGCCAGTAGTGTTTCCGACGATGTCTCCAGCTTCGCCGAGGAAGCCGCGTCGCCGACTTCCAAAAACCTCAAGTCATCAGCGTCCGGAACGATCAGTGAGGCCACCGAGCAAGCTTCCAGCGTAGTCGAGGAGCTGTCCAAGTCAGCCAGCAGCGTCGCTTCAAGCGTCGAGACCGCCATTACGGACGATACCGAAGAGCTGGGCCAAGACGCCCCCGATCTTGCCGCGGAGGCGACAGCGGCCGTCCTCGTCGAGACTCCTATCATCCTTGGAAACACAACCGAGCTTGAAGAGGATGGGCCGGCTCCGGTCGAATTGCCGGTTGAAGAGTCGGAAATCGAAGAGTCGGTGGAGGAGGACTCGGAGGAGGAAGACTCAGAGGAAGACGACACACCGATATCATCAGCGACCGCTTCGGTCAAGTCGGCCATGTTCGGCGCCGCGGCACAGTCTGTTCCCAGCCGCGAACCCGTCTTCGACGATGACGCCTTTGACAACGCCGCGAGCGCGATGAAGTCGATCCGGACCGAGCTGCCCGCCTCACTCGCATCCATAGCCGAGTCAGCCTACTCGGCAGCCAGCTCTCGTGCTGACCAGCAGTACTCACGGGCACTGTCCATGGTGTCTGCGCAGATACGTGGGACCCCGAAGCCGATGCAAGAGAAGATCCTGGCATCCGTCACGTCCGCATACAGCGATGCCATGGAATCCGCCAGGTCTCGTCTCGACGACGCACTCCGAGTTGCCCGCGAGCAAATTGGCGCTACGTCGACAAGTACAAACATACTTCCCACTTCCATCCCCGTTCCAACGGTTCCGACGGTGGACTGGTCGCGTGTCGAGTCCATCGCCGCAGAGAGACTCAACGAGGGACGAGCTTGGGCTGAGGAGCAGTACGAGAGCGCAAAGATAGCCGTCGGCCTCGCAACACCAACCGCCTCCACCCCTGCCGAGCTCGCAGAGAAGCTGCTCGACAGCGCGAAACACAACTACTACGCCGGCCTGGGCGTGGCACACGCGCGCTACTCGGAATTCATCGAGGCCGCCTCGGCCGCCTTCAGCTCCATGACGGCGACGCCGACGCCCACCGATCTGGCCGGCACCGTCTCATCCGCGGCGTCGGTTGCCAGCGAGTCCGCCGTTTCAGCGGGCGGGGCTATTGCCGACAGCTGGGACGCCGCGCTCAGCGGGATCAGCGCCCAGGTCTACGGGGCCCCGACCCCGACGCCGTGGTACGAGAGCCTGTGCAGCGCGGCCAGCGACGGCGCAACATCGGCCGCCGCCGCGGCCGGCACACACGCCGCGGCGGCGACGGAGGAGGCGGCAAGCCGGTACTCGGCCGTGAGCAGCATCGTCTCGGAGCTCGTCGCCGGCAAGGAACCTACCTTCACGGAGAGCGTCTACTCGCGCCTCGACGCAGCCTACTCGGGCGTCGCGGCGTCGGCGGTCAGCCTCGCCGGCGAGGCGCAGGCCACGGCGTCAGAGGCCTTGGACAATGCATCCGAGGCAGTCATGAGCGCCGGCGAGCGGGTGGCCAGTGCGGCGTCGGGGGCGGCGGAGGCCGTGAGGGATACGGTTGGGGGAAGTAGTAAGGATGAGCTCTGAGAAGGTGATGGATGCGGATGCGGATGTGGATAAGACGGCCTTGCGACGTGACGAACTTTTGACGAGCGCGTGACCTTTCCTTGATGCCGACCTGAGCTGGGAACGGACGGGAATGGGAATGTTTCACGGCACGTAGGGCGTAATGATGGTCCGGCACGCGCGATGCAGACCATACGGGTGACATGGTCGTGGAATGGACAGGTGATGGAGCTATGGGGAGGCATTTTGGGTGTTTTTTTCTTTTCCTTTTTTTTTTGGACCGGTTTCTCTTTTCCTATTATCGCAATGCTCAAGGGTTTCCCTCGTTTGTTTGTGGACATATACCCTCGCCTCGACACAACGGAACTAGCTACCTACCTCCTTTCAGTCTCTTGCCCCTCTCGTCTCTGGCTTGGTGCTTTTTCTTTTTTTGTCTGGCTATATTCTTTTGTAAAAATCGGAGCGCGGTCCAGTTTTCGACCCGACAGGCTGTCTTGTCTAGTCTCGTCTCAGGCGATATGTACTTTTTGTGTATCTTGATAAAATCAGTACCTCATTCGAGATCCCCCAGTACCTGCCAGGGCTGGCATTGATCGACATGTGAAAAGGAGGATCAGATATGGACTAGTTCGTACAATGGCGCCCCATGTAGACTTCTTCAGCCAGCCCCCCCAGCAACCATGCTTGTGTTGAGAATCATAGTAGCATCGCATGCCCGGGGTTCCCCTTGGATCTCGCTGCTGATCGATCACATTACCATTCGTTGATACACTACTTGGCGTAGTGTAGACTCCCGGGGTCTTTCCCGGCCAAAAGAAGGTCATATGCGGTAGACGATCGTCGCTCATCTGCCGCTCCAACGTCCGTCGAGATCCTTAGCGGGTGAAGATCGTCATATTACAGATTTGCTAGCCTCGCATGCCAGCCCCGTGGGCCGGGATTCGTGCTCGTTGGCGCGCATTATGGGCAGGCATCTTCTTTTTTCAGCTGGGGAGGGATACACTAGATAACCGCTGACAACATCGACGATGGAGATGCTACGTGGTACGTTGTGGTACTGAGTCAAGGTCAACTTTTTTGGGGCCGATCTGCGCTGGTTATTTGCACAACTTTTGGTCTGTTCTTATAAAACCACTCAAAAGTTGGTCGTGTTCTCGCCCCTGAACTAAGTCCAAAAGGTTGTGCTAAAGCTTAGCCAACCCCCTAAACTAAACAAGTCCCGACACTAAGGATACCGACGACGAACTTCCAACTCCCGGGTCTTGGATCTTGGATCTTGGATCTTGCCCTCGAACTGGTGGAGCCGGCACCCAACAACCCCCTGGCCGCAGCTACGGAGGACCTTCCTTCCCCACACACCTAAACAAAAGGGCGCCCCGTAAACTAGTGCATGCCGAACTGGTTCCGCTCACTATGCGTAAGTGGTTGACCAGCGCCAACGCTAACGCGCATGTCGTTCTAACCGCTTGTCTGGTCTGGAACTGCCATTGGACGCTTTCCGCGGATCGTCACACGCCAGGGAATGAAGACAGACAACGCCAATTGCAACGGTCAGTCCAATGGGAAGCATGTGTTGAGGCTGGGAGGAAAGGGGTTTGATATTCGACACTCGAATGACGGCCGAGACAAGATACATTTCTCGAGTCCCGCTGTTAGTTAAGTTAGGCTACACAGAAACAGTATGAGAGAGTCAAGCGTGGTTTCTGAAGAAGTTGGCCTGCACTCCTTTCATTCTTGATAACTAAATATCTATTCGAGGGTAGCAACGCGGGCACATTATAGGTATCTATGGCTTGCAATATGCGGACAAGAAAAAGAGTGAGATGTATGTTCACACACAGCCAGTCCAGGAGAGCAAACAAAAAGAGCGAGCCCTCATGTGGTATTTGATACGACCTGCCTCTACTGGCGGCCCATTTTCTCGTCGGTCCTTTTGTTTTTCTTACAGGGTGAAGCGGAAGCTCGGGTGGTGGTCGCCCATGTTGTTGACCTTCTCCTGGGGCTCGGCGAGGCGGTGGTCCATCTCTCCGGCGTCGCGCCTGGCGTTCTCGCGGCGCATGAGGAAGAACATGGCGGTGGCTGCGATGCAGCCCATCCAGAGCATGCCGAAGGCGACGCCGTAGCCGGTGTGGTAGGTGGGGGCCTCGTCTACGAGGAAGATGTTGGCGCCGACGATGCCGGCGATGTTGCCGAGGGTGATCTGCAGGCCCGACGCGAAGGCGCGCTTCCAGTGGCCGGACACGTTGTTGGCCAGCCAGGCGAGCGGCATGGGCGTCGCGATGTAGCCGCCCAGGCAGACGAGGAAGACGGCGGCGTACTTTGTGTCCCGGCTCAGGCCGCCGTCGGTGGTCTGCGCGAGCAGGATGCTGTAGCCCATGGTGGCGATGAGGACCCCCAGCACGATGAAGCCGTACCGGTGCTTGAGCCGGTCAGAGGCCCAGGATGCGGAGAGCATGCCCGCCGCCGCCACGACGTAGACGGGGATGGTGTGCACCTGCGCCTCTCGGGCGGTCCAGTGGAATTCGGAGAGGATGGTGGGCATGAAGAAAGTGGTGGCGTAGCCGGTGGTGCCGATGCCCATGTACATGAGAGAACTAATTAGGTAATTAATCAATGTCAGCACAGCTCACACACACAGAGAGAGAGAGAGGGGGGGGGGGGGGGGGGCCCCCGGATTATAAAAACCCCCCGCCCCCTCTTTTTGTCGCGGTAATAAAAAATGGGGGGGTTGGGTGGCAGGGTTTACAAGGCGCCCAACCTTGGGACCGCGGCGGGCCC